AGCACCACTTGGTGCTGCAGCAACAAACGGCGCCTGTTGGGCATAAACTTGACCCAGAGACAAAGTGGGGCTGTACAGATTTAACGCTGATGGCCCCTGTGGCACATCCTGCAGAGGAAGTCCCCCAAATGCCGGCTCTGCCGCAGGACACACAAAAGGCAGAGGCCCGTTGTGGAGCAACATTGACTGCTGCAGCAGCTGCTGCTGTTGCTGCGGCTGAAAGGCCTGATGTGGCGGGAACTCTTGCGCAGGAAGCATATGAACCTGCTGCCGCAGAGAGTGCTGCTGCTGCTGCTGCAGAAATTGCCGCTGTTGCAGCTGCACTGACTGCTGCTGCCGCTGCACCATCGAATCCTGCTGCCGCTGCACTATGTGATACTCTTGCACAGGCTGCTGCTCCTGCAACAACTGCGGCCGACGGTGGTCGGGCTGCTGCTGTTCTTGCATCAACTGCTGCTGTGACGGGTCCACTGGCTGTTCCAGCTGCAGTGATTGCTGCTGCTCCAGTAACTGCTGCTGACGCTGCTGCTGAAGGAAAATTTGCTGCTGAAATAGATGCGGCTGCTGCCTCTGCTGCCGAAGGGAACTGTCAGGCACCTCACTTGAGCCTGAAGGCCCTTGTAGCAACATTTGACTATGCGGCTGCTGCGGCACGAACTGTTGCTGGAACAGTAGCTGTTGTTGCTGCTGCTGGTGCGGCTGCATCGGTAACATATCAGCAACAGAGCTGGAGGTCAGCCTCTTGTCACTTGCCCTTCTTTTGGCCGGCCTTGTGGTACAGCTGTTGGTTCTGCTCCCCCGGCTGCCGCTGGTAGCGGCTAGGACCGGCGTGTTTCGCTTGGTTCTATTGCTACTAGTGCTATTCGTGATGCTCATAAGCCCATTGCTTCGCACCGTCCCAGCAGACGCTGCAACAACAAGTGGGGCGTCGCTATTGGCTCCGATGACTTCACCATTTAGTTGCAAGGGCGGCTGGCGTTGCTCACAGCCAGCCGCCGTTGCTGCTACCGCTGTTACTGCTGCAGCTGCTACCGCTGTTGAGTTGTTGATTTTGGCCGTCATCTGCTGCTGATGCTCTCGCAGTGCAGCGTCAACCTTCAACGAAGAAACACACCCTCCACCCAATTTGGAGCTGATAACCCAAGGCAGCTCCGCAGCGCCCAGAAGCTTCTGTGGGTCGCCATGGGTACCGACGGCTGCACTTTCACAGTCTGAGACGGCGTCGCCGCTGCTGCTGCTGCTGCTGGTGCTGCTGCCACTGCCACGTCGACAAGTGTGCTGTTGCAGCTCCAACGTCGAGCGTCGCTGCCGGTGCATTTCGGCGTAGCTGTAAGAGCAGCAGCAAGCAGTGGGCTCTACTGGCTTCTGCTGCTGCTGCTGCAGGTGCTGCCTCAGTTACTCATGGACGCAGTGCGCTTCTGCTCCCGTTGAGGATCCTGTGCTCCGCAGGACCCCTACAGCGGGACAAGGAGGACCCCTCATGTACCATAAAAGCTATTGATTTAGCTGCTAAGGCCCTCTGCCTGGCTGGGGTCAGAGCACCGCCCCTGGGGCACTGCAGATCAGCGTGTGAAGACAGCACAAGGCCCAGAGAGATCACAACAGTGGCAGAAGGGCTAGGAGTCACCTCCTTCGTGTTCTGCTGTGTATATTCGACCATTAGTCGCAGTACGTGAGGAGGCAGTCCTCTGTGTGCTAACTCGAGAAGGGACCTACAGCCCACAAGGGCCTTCCGTGCCTTCCTGTTGCCTTGTTGCTGCCGTGAGTACCGCTACTCCCGCTGGTGCTCTTGCCACTGCTGTTACAGCTGTTGCTGCCACCGCTGTTGCTGCTGTTGCACGTATTTGCTCACCTACAGGCCCCTCTCATTTTCGTCGGCTCTCGGCATGCACGGCCTGGGGCCCCAGCTGTCCTCCTGTGCCCGTGCGCGTCTTTTTTCGGTCTGGCGGCTGTACTTGAAACGATATTGATAAATGACCTCAATTAATACGCTGAATTTACCCAGATCTGCTGGTAGATTTGTTGCTATCGGCTGGTGATTTCACACCTTTTGTTCATCGGTGTTGCACGTGGTAGGCGGCAGGCTGCTAGCTGTTGCTTCTGCATTCCATACTTTCTAAAAGCGCACATAGAATTTAAATTGAATAATTAAGCTTATTCCAAACCGTAGTATGGCACTTACAACAGTTGTTCTGTAGCTATGGCACTGGCGACGCAGAGGCAGTGTGTCGTATCGACAGAGCAATCGCAGTCTAGTTGTTTTGCTTAGAAGCGGAGACACCCTTCTACTTCCGTAGCACTTAAGTCTCCTATGACTGCCCATTTCTGCTATAGTATACTTGTTTCTATGTGGGTTCCCGATACACCAGAAACGTTTACAGAGAATCCCTTGCCTACCCAGTCTCTGGTGGGAGGCTGTGCAGAGGACGGAGAGCCCTTTTGTTTCCGCTGCTCCTCCTTTACCTCCATTAAGAGAAGGAAAGTGAATTTAAATCAAACTAAAGCGGCGCATTGTATTTAGAGTTGGCTTCATTGGGAAGATATTCGAGACACCGCACGATCTGCAGGCCACTCAAAGGGAGAGCGACAACGAAGGACCGCCTAGAGAGCACTTCTCACAGCTACTGTACCAGCAAAGTGCCAAATGCATTCTGCCATGATTTTTTCTGCTGTTTTTGTCTCGGCAGTGTGTGGTGGGTTGGACACATTACGCTATTTGAACGCTTCTCTGTAACCTGAAACAGTGCGCCCTGTGCTGCCACAAGTTATAAAAAAACAGTCAAATTTTAATATCTTCGGTGCAAGCAACACGAAAATAAAAATTGATTGTGTTCCATCACGCATGGGTGGCTATTCTTCGTCTACTGATGAAGCCAAAATCCGCATGTACACCTACATTACACTGGGACTATCATAAATAGCACAAAAGAATACAATTGGCTGTGCGCAGTTGGGAAGTTCAGTTGAAACCCCTCAATATAGGCACAGTACAATCACTCTTACCATTTCGACCGGATGAAGTGTGCTATGGTGGGCATTCTGCGGTCCTGGTGCCCACTCTGCCTTGCTTTAGCTAGCTGTAGATAAGCGTAGAGAGGTATGGGCGCTTGGCACTGGCTGAATTCCGCGTACTAGCTATGGCTTGCCGATTTAGGCCTTCTGATGAACAGTGAATGTTCTTGTGTTGGCATTAATTGCACGGAAGGTCATCAGACCGTGGGTACTGGGGATGAAATTAGACAAAGGCTGAGTTGCGTTGAGAGCCCCCTTACGCCAGGGATGTGGTGCCCTTCAGATGCAACAGCAGCTATACAAAATCAATGGCTATCACATTTTGCTTCTTCCTTTGCCTGTTGCTCTCCTTAGATACGCTTTTAGTGGGATTTCGAGCTTGATGACTGTTTCAGCCTACATTCCCAGTAAGAGGCCTGCGTTTATTTGCTTGATCGCAGATGTATGGGAAAGCATGTGCATGTGTGTGGGCAATGGACACACACACACACACACACACACACACACACACACAGACACACACACACACACACACACACACACACACACACACACACACACACACACACACACACACACACACACGCACACACACACACACACACACACACATGCATCCATACACACTCGCGTAGGCCCAGTTAGTTGTGCAATGCATATATGTTTGAAAGTTCATGAGTTAGGATTCTGCGGAATGCGAGCCAGTTGGTTCTGCAATGAGTTCTGCAAAGAAGGCTCCACGTACATAGTCGCGCTCAACAATTCCCGTTAGGCAAATAAAGAAACCCATTCGGAATACTGCCAGAAGAGTGGCTTGCGAGCACGCGTGCCAGTAGTTCGAGCCACAGACAGTTTTTACAACTGTTGTATAGCTTGTATCCGTTTTCTCGTCTCATTCGATGTAGGACATCTGCATACACTATCGAAAACTAAAGCTTACAAGCAAAGAGGAGGAACATGCACAAAAGTCTCTTTGCTGGCTGTCTTTGGTTCACCGCCTGCGTTTGCACCTGAGGCGCAACTTGCCGTGTACGTCTATTTATACGTCTATTTATCAGGGTATCTGCTGTCTTGTGGCTTCGCATTTGTTGGGCTGCACTTAGCATTTACACAACCATCTGAACTTTTGTCTGCCGCTGCTCCTGTTTGTCTTGTGCTTCCCCCTCCTCTCTGTCCTTCCCTGCGTGCACCTGATTTGGCGTGCACCGGCACCTCCGTCTGCCCTCCTGTCTTCTCTTCTTTCCTTTCACCTCTCTCTCTTTTTGTTTCTGTGTGCTAGCCTAATTTTGTCTCTTTGCTTGCCTATGTTTTCCTTCAGTGGGGCACTGTCGACCTCCGCTTCAGTTTGTCCGTGTGCCAAGTGCTTTCGGAATTCACGATGAGCCTTCCTGTTCTGCAAACGCCCATCCTCTATGCATGTTTGCTTTTAGCTTTTTGCCGCTACAAGTCTGGTTGTTGATTTGTTGTCGGTCTCGTTTTCGTCAGCCTTTCGCTTTCTTCTCTGCCACCGTGTGTCTGTTCCGTTGTGCCTATTTCTGTCGGCTTTTAACCGTTGGGCCTTGTCGTTTCTTATTTTCTCCGAGCACCTACATCTGTACTTTTGTCTCTACTGATGCTGATCTATGACTTCGCCCTTCCCTTTTGTCCCTCCCATCTCATGCACTGCGGTCAATCCTACATTGTGCGAAGAAAGAAAATTATCCGCTACATATACCCAAAAAGCATTAAAAAATATTAGTTGTCTGTACACTTTATTATCACGCGTATCTTAGTGTGCCGGGGGTTGCTGTTTTTCCTTGCATGCGCCTCTGCCAATGCAAAACCAGTACACAGCCCCCAACTTCATGAAGGCAAGCCAGCATGTCTAGCTGCTTGCGCTGACACACAAAAAACGAGGGCTCCGTCGCAGAGTCGTAGAATAGTGGACTACATACACACAACCAGACAGCGTAGGATACAGATACCATGAACTGTAGAGGATATGGCCGTCATGCTGCAGTCAATTTCGAGTACTGTGGTGGCTGAACAATTTTCTTCACGACGGCGAATAAATGAGGGGGCAACCATGAGGCCAACGTGATGACGAAAACTTTGGCCCAGAAAGCGTGTGTCATCACAAACTGAAAGCACACGGAGCCGCACCGGCACTTCAGAACCCTATGTCTTGTCATATGGGCAACCATCAAATGCATTTGGAAACGAATATACAATAATCAGAGCTAATTACTGAGCCCTGAACAGTTGAGCACCAACAATGGACACCGTAAGCTGCATGCAAGGAATAGAACGCACGCGAGACAGAAACAGGAAAGTAGTACATGGTATCAGCTCATTATAATAAACGAACATTACAGTCACAAAGGAAGCAGGCATGCAGGCGAGCTTTGCAGCCGCAGGCAGTTAGGGGTCCAGTGAAAAGTACACTCAGCGAGGAGAAATACTTCATGGAATCAGCAGAGCCAAGCAGAAAAGATAGTGGAGCATTTGCAGTTCGAGATATATGAACAGAGGGCGACCCTCAGTTCAGCCTGCAACGTTATTCATGACCCATCGACCCTCAAGGCTACATTCGTCGCAGGCAAAGAGGCAGCTGGGCAGAGATGCAAGCTCATATATTTGAAGGCAACTGGCGACTTACGGTGATGTCGAAATAGCTGCGGAGGATGAACATGGAGAAGATATATATGGTGACAGTGCATATCTCAGATGATACCATCAGTGGGTGCCTACAGAAACACAAGCAGCGCCAGCAACAGCGAGACCCACTAAAGAACTACCCAGGAAACAACAGAAGAAGGGACTTCAACGAGCTCAACAACCATAGATGAAAGAGCGGAAGCAACGGCAAAATGGAAAGCGGTAGCTACAGGGAAAAAGCTTAGCAGTCATAGCAGCACCATCAGCGCACCATGTTTGTATTTCGGATGCGACATTCAGCAATTCGGCGAGGACAAGAGAAGTAAAAGTGATGGAGACGATGTTGGTAAGACTTTGTTCAAAAAGAACAATTGCCCCTAGCATGACCACAGCTCCCTAAGACGAAAACGAAGAGACAAGCAAGAAATGCATAATTTGTCACACAGGAAAGGCACGAGGAAAACAAGGCAACGAAAGAGCAACAGTAGGAACAAGTGCAATGCGTTCCTAAAGCATAGCAGTGTACACAGCAATGGCAAGCGGAGAAAAGGCAACAACAGCAGATACAGAGCTGGTACGAAGCAAGCACCCTTTCATTTAAAGCAGAATGGAGCAAGAGCACCCAGGCAGGGATAATGCATCAAGTCGAAGGACAGAAACTCACACAAAAATATACGTATACGTTCGTGGGTAGCAAAGGCCACGAGAGACAGCAAGCAGGAACGAAAATGATGCACGACTCAGAAAAATACACGCATTAGGACAGATATTGCTTCAGAGCATTCGATGAAGCAAAAGAAGCACCAGATGCCTGAGCAGGAAAGGGTAAGGGACAGGAATAAACAATGTAGCATAAGAAACAAAGAAAAGAGGTACACGCGAAGAAGCCACGCAAAGAACGAGCAGTCGAAAAGCGAGTTCAAAACAGGCTACAATCCACAAGCGGAAAATGATACAAATGAAGGAACAACCGAACAGGATGACGAAGTGCGCATCGGACAAGCCAAAGAAAGCAGCCGCAGCGAGAAAAGCAGCAGGCGCAAGAAAAAAAAAAAGAAGCTACAATGACGGTGACAGCAAAAGCGAAGCAGATTGTAGCAGTACTAGCAATAAACCATAACAGAAGCTGCAAAAGTGCCATTAAGACCGACAATTCACTGAAAGCAGCAGCAGCAACCCTAGCAGAGCAGCACGACGAGTAGCAAGATAAACAAGGGCAACGGTAGCAGCTAAAGCTATTGTCAGCAACCCATCCACCAGCAAAAAAGATGGAACATGACAGGCAATACCATGAGAAACTGCATCAAAAATGTTGGTGCAGCCCGAAGCCCCAGAGGCAAAAGAACAATACGGACATGCGCAACCGTCGCATCAACACGACCAGAAGCAGCAGCAGTGTCTGTGCGTACCTGGTAAACAGATCTCCAGACCCAACTAAAGAAGCTTTTGATGGACAGGGCTCTCCCTGCCCGTAGGGACTGGTACAATTCAGGAAACATAAATACAACCTTTTCAGGCAGTTGCACATCTAATACGAGAGACAGCACAGGCGCCGTGGTGTAGTATGTTGCGTACCCGACCTGCAGCCAGCCCTGTAAGCACATTTCAAGATAGCCAGCAGCATGCGCAACTAGGCACAAGCAGTGAGCTAAACAGAAAAAAACGATGAATACACTGTGGACAATGAAGCAAACAAGAAGAGCGTGGAGATAGTACTGGAAACAGGGGCATAAGTCGGCAGATCAACATGAAGTCATGACAGGACGCAGAGGTATAGCGGCGTGCAAACACACTGAACAGACACAGGACAAGCAAAAAAGCACGTAGGTCAGCAAAACCGGACAGACACCCAGTGCTGGAACAAGAATCTGAACCCGAAAGCTAACTTCAGCACGCGCATCATGTTAAAAGATATAATGAGACACAGGACATTTGACGGCAGACCCCAGGTAACAGAAAAAGTCTGTCCTAGGCTGCTTGCAGCTTCTGCGCACTTGGAAGATCGCCAGAGGAATGAAGTAAAAGACGGCCGAGAAGATGACTTGAATAACGGCAATAATGAGGCCTCGATGAACAACAAATTGCGAAAGCTTTGCGCTTCGCTGGTAGCTGTTCCGGCCGTGCCACAGCAGCAGACGCCTCAGGTGGCTAAACTGAGACAATGAAAAATCAGCAGCTAGCGACGCCTGGCGGCCCTCCTTTCCTTCCAAACCAATACCCACATCCTGCATACAGGGAGCTCACACAAGTCCCATTTCTCGTCAGGAAGAAAAGCAACTCTCGCGTTTGACACGCTACACAACTAGCTAGTTGGCTGGCTCCCCAGGCAGCTGGCGTTCCAGCTGCAGCGAAAGCTAAGAATTTGCAGGAATACAGTAACCTATGAAAGAATGGACAAGTGATGTGGCACGAGCAAGACACTGATGCAAAGCAACAACGAGACAGGAAGCAGCCGCATACATCAGTGACAAAAACGGCAGCAGGTCTCTCAAGAGTACACCACAGCAGCAGCTAAGCACGCCGCAGTGCAAAGTACAGCAGCAGCTACAGCCGTTGCTTCAGCGTCGACTATAGTGGCAGCATCAGCATCTGCAGAGGGACTGACAGCTGCTTGGATCATGGAGACATCATTTCCTCCGTCGCCAACTGCACATGTCCGTCTGTCTGTGTAAAGTTTCAGCAGAGAAACAACTGCTGCCTTCTGGGTCGGGGAACAGCGACAGCAGACCACAGCGGGGGCCTGACATGCTGATAGTATGAAGTACTTCGGAAAGTGTGAAAGAAAAAGTGACAAGACGCGGCCGTCAACAACTAAAACCGATTCGCTTGGACCCATGCTGAAGCGTTCCAGCGCCTCCTGAGCCTGCACCAACGGAAACAGCAGCAGCACCAGCGGCAGCAGCAGCAAGATATGCCAACACCAGAACCATCAGTACAGGAAAAGGCAAACTACGAATATGAAGACAGCAACGATCGTGGTACTATGCGCTGGCATTGGCAGTCAAAACGGCAGCAAGAGCAGAAAGTACAAACATAGCCACAACAAAAACAGCAGCTACAGTGGCCGCAACCGCAAAGACCCACGTTGCAACAACGGAAGCCACAGATACACTTAAAACTGAAAACCAACACTTGAAGCAGCAGCCGCGAAACCGACAGCTGCCGCAGCTGCAGCTACGTAGCATTCAAGTGCATGAGTGACCTGAGAAGGCGTCTTAATAGTGGCTGAGGAAAGAATAGCAAGAGTGTCGTGTCTCGTCTTTAGGCCTGCAGAGACAGCGATGCAAGTTGCGGTCTCGACTTTATCTCCTGTAAGCATCCATATCTTTATCCCCGCGTGACGAAGGGCCTCCAGCGTCTCGGGGACATTCTGTGAAGTGCAAAATAGTACACGCAACGCAACACACGAGAAAAAACATCAAAGATGAGGCAAGAAACGCCATACTGGCCTAGTCAGAGCAGAAACCCTGCAGCAGCAACAGCAACAAAGGCCCGAATTTCACCAAGCATATGGCTATAGCCCAGAAGAACCATGCAGCAGCCAAGCACCAAACAGGAGGAGCACCAGCTGAAACAGCAACAAGAACAGTGCAAGGTCGTCGCTGCAACTGACATCTTGCAGTTTGTCTTCAACCCCTGTGAGGCCTAGTAAAAGAAGGTCTTGCTCGAGTCTCTCTATTTCTCTTCGGACGCGTCGCTCTCTCTGTTGCATGTGTCTCCTCGCCTCCTCGTACTTGAGCCGAAAAGCATCTAGCTGCGCCACCGTCAGTTCCTTGTAAGCGAACACTAACGTGCGTAGACCTTCACATTAGAAAGCAGATACAGAAAACCAATGCAGGCAGATTCTTCGTCCGTACTAAGCCTTCTCTTTGTGTGCGCTTTGTTCCCTGACCTTGTCCAGCCCTATATATGTTTCCTCGTCTGTTTGCATGTTGTTGTCAGTAGACAGGTGTGCTTCTGTCTTCGTCTACAGAGACCTGTTTCTTTCTCTTCCGAGATACTGTGTCTGCATCATGACGATTATCCATTTCTGCCCCCCTTTAACTCTGTACTTATTTCCCTAGCTATGCTGTTCTGGCTCCACCTTGTCTGTGCCAATGTGCTGACCTTGTCTGGCGAAGTTGTCACATTCTTCTCCCAACCATTGGGATCCTTTGGGTCTCACAAGCGAAAGCATGACAGTCTCCGCTCCCTGTAATGTCGCCAAGCACCAGCAGGCATTACTATCACGCTAACATCCCACAAAGCCAATCCGTATACAGTCACTGTGCTGGTCTGTCTACTCCGTAGGCCGTAGCAATCTCTCCTTCCCCACGTCTCTCTGTGTGCCTCCAATCATCTGATAATTGATTTGCGTGCGCCTCGCAATCCGTCTGTTCCTCTGTTTTTCTTTGACTTCCTTTACCGCCGCGAATTGTTTGACTAGCCGTCAGTGTGTTTGCTGCAATATTTGTCTGCCTGTCTGCCTTTGTTCAAGATTTTTTGCGTGGCCATCTTTGCCTCATTATTCCTCTGTCTGTCTGCCCTTGTCTTGGGCTCCACACCTGGCCATTTTGCGTCTGTATCTGTCTGTCTGTGTCACTGTGCCTTTCTCATGCGCCTGCCTCTGTTGGTCTCCGTTTGTCTATCTCTGCCGGCCTGCCCCCACTTGCCTGTTTATCAATATGCCTAACTACGCTCATCTTTCAATGCATCGCTTCTGTACTGTGCGTCTTCTTGTCCCCGGCCTGTGGCCCCAGTCAGTCTAATGTCTCGGCTTCTAAGACCACTTGTGGCATGCTATGTAGAGGAACGGAAGTTACCTTGACGTAAAAGAAGATGCGCTCAGAGGACTTCTCGCGCACAATGATGCCCATCCTTTTGAGCTCAGACGAGAATGGAAAGCAATGAAGGACTTCATATTCAAACAGAAAGCCGCCAGGTCCCTAAGACAAACACAAGCATACAAAACCCGGATTTGCATTATGAGCATTTGATGGAAAGTGCGCAAACACAAAACACAGGCACCAGAAAACTGTTCATAATTTAATGGGAAATCGGGGGAAAGACATAGGACAAAACGGACGTAGCGGTAGCAACAGCGGCAGCAATAGCAGCACGATCAACGGCAGCAACAGAGAGAGCAAAAGCACGAACAGAGGCAAAAATTGCAGCGCTAGCCAATGCAACTGTTGGACTACGAAAGCGGCGGTAACAAGAATCTCAGGAGTCAGCGAAGTACTAGCAGCAGCGTGTATGGGACCTGAAGAGTCATGCTGTGCTCATCTCTCTCAACGAGTCGGAGGCCAACTTCACTTGCGAAGTTGACAAGTGCAACTTCGTCTGGGGAAGCGGCTTGAAACCTAAGCTGGAAGGCAATAAACGCAGACGCGCGAAACACAGACCTAAATAAAACAGATGCCTCATGAAAAAACAACGAAAATCGGCGCAGATGCCAAATTTGTTGCGATGCGACAAAAACCGACAAAGATTCCGGGACAGTGGCGGAAATGCAAGGGATTGCGGCGGCAACGAGCAGCAAAAACACATAGCAATTAAGAGATAGAGGCCAAGACTCTAGCGGAAAAAAATACTTTTCCACACTGCGAGATTCCCGAGCGACAAAACACATGCCGGGGAGGAACAAAACGTATAAAGAGACAACAGAGAGAGCCTGCCAGAAAGGCACCCGTAGAAACCAAAAGGGCCCACCTACGATAAAATAGTAGAAAGGGAACTTAGAAAAAGGGAAAAAGACAGATACAAGTAACAGCGCAATTCTATCTCCAGAAGCAAAAACAGCTGCTGCAGAGGCGGAAGTACCATGAACACAAGCAGCAACGAGAAACGGCGGCAGTGCAAACCGGGCACCCATCAGCAGCAGCAGCGGGACTGCAATAAAAAAAGCAGATAGCCTACAGAAGACGAATACGACGGACAAAAATTACAGAAATATGATGCGGTGCAGAAAAACAGGAAGCCCAGCAACACACAGCGATGGACGACTGGCAAAAGAACACAACAACCACAACTGACGAGAATGCAAACATAGAAGAGAATAACAGTAAATTAAGGACAAAAATGGCGGGGAGGGAACCCACCTGCCCTTCTTCATAGACGGGAGTTACATTATGACAAATGCTCAGAGCTTTGATGGCTTCAAATGCAACTTTTTCTACTTCTGTTCTTCTGTTTCGCCGCTCAGGGCCGCCCACAGACGGTCTCAAGTGAGCATTTTGAGAAGCAACTGGGTCTTCCCTCTGAATGGCAAGTACCGTTGCATCTGCCGGGGCCCCAACAGTGCTGCAACAGTGGTGGAGCACTATTTGGTGGAGCTGGCTGAGTCCGTCCTCAGCAAACAAAGCCCTCCCTATGTGCAGCTTTTTGAAATGCATTTCATTCTGAGTCAGAGTTCCTGTCTTGTCAGACAACAGGTACCCAATACGACCTAGCTCTTCTGGCAGTGTGGAGGTGCGCACTAGCTGAAAAGGCACACAGTCACAGACGCTCTGCAAACCAATGATTGTCCTGATTATATCTTCATTCTAAGGTAGCTATATTTAAGTCAAATTATAAGCATGCAGTGGCACAGCTGCATAACAAACAGATGGCTAGCTGATCACGATATGTATATTTTGGCGGCAAGACGAAAGGCATCCTGAAGCATATGCTCTCAAAGATAAGCCAAGAGATGGAGATAAGCACAGAAAAAATAGAAATAGGGACAGTCCATGTGAGGCAGGGAATAGGAGACACAGGGACTGACTAATAACAGTTTCTGACAAATGGTAGGAGACGCGCACGCGGTGTGGACAAGAAAGTAGAAGACAGAAAGACTCCAGCACATGCGGGCAGCCAGTCCCATTCACACATCCTACTCTACAAACGATGAACTGTACAACCTATTCATCAGAATTATAAGAGCTACATCCTAAATTCTGTGCTCTTGGCCGGGAGGCTTCGACGGGTAGATGGGTGGCCTACAGCTCCCTTCATCTTCTTGTCTCGCATGATATTAAGGCTGTGCAGCGTCTTGGCAATAATTAAGTTGACTTGAAGACTTATAGGTATGATGGAGGAGAGGAGAAGGATAAAGCGACAGAAGTAAATGAGCCAAATCCCCTCCAAACCCCTCAGCGCCACCAAGGACAGAGACAGAATGCAGAGCAAACCAAATAGTATCTTAGACATCAAGTTGACCTCCAAGTCAAACAAGCCGACCTTCGTCACTGCCTGAGACGCGTTCATGCTTGCGCGGGTCTCCTGAGACGAGTACCATCACAACATCCCGTTTCAGCAGCAGCAGCTTCACCTCCACAGTCACCGGGAAAGGCAAAAGCAGCGCAAGCATCACGAGCCAACCTTGCAGCAAACGAGGCAGGAATGGTGCAGAAGAAATGAGGAAAAGCAACAGCAGCAGTTGATGCAGCTGCAACAAACATAGCAGCTACAGCACATGTGATGCAACTACGTGGCGGAGCCAACCACAACAGGAAGAAACGGCAGCCACAGCAGCGGGAGAAGCAAGGCGCACTCTGCCAGTATAGATTGCAATGCCAATGACAGTGCCTGACGCGACAACGGTGTTAGCCCAGAGGACCTGATCAAGACCCAGAGGCTCCACGTGACAAGTTCCGCAGCTTCCTCTACTCACATCCACCTGCAGGAACATTAGCAACAGGTCCACCAACCACAACAGCAACAGCAACAAACATAGCTGCAGCTGTGGGGCATCAACGCTGCATGCATGACAGCAAAACAACGTGAGGTACGCAAGGAACGACTAAGACCTACCACTGCGTCAGCAGGTCCCGCTCCTGCGATCCCTGCTGCTGTAGTTGCTGACGGTGCTGCAGATGATGACAAGGGCCTGATGCTGGGCTGGCATTGCTGCTGCTGCCGAAGAGTTCCGCTTGCATCAGGCTGAGCTTCCGTGCTGGCTGCCGTGACAGGTGCTGTAGCAACGTCTCCGCCCTCTTCTTTTCTTCCACTCTTATTGTTGCTGCTACTGCTGCTGCTGTTGCTGTCCCCAAAGAAAGAGAAGCGCCCTGTAAACTCATAAATGTCTTGTCTCGGAGCCTCGACAAGGACCTGGGCATCCAAAGTCGCTATAAGCTCAGCAGCTGGCAAATGTTGGGTCAAATTAACCGCCCTCCTGCGACAGGTCTCAAACACAGTACTGTATTTCCTGGGCCGTATTGTCTATATCCCAAAACCCTAGCCCCTAGGCATATGCGCGGAAGTAAAAATCACATGAACCTAAGTGAAGAGGCCTGGCACAAATAGCACACCGAAGCCTGTCAATGAGCACCAACGGCAACAGCAGGAGCAACAGCGGCTAAACCATCGTCCTCAACCCCAGCACGAGCAACAGCAACAGGGTTGGCAGCACGAATAAGATATGCTGGAGTATCGACGTTTGCACCAGGGGAAGCAGTCACAAAATGAAGTGCAATGCCAGCAGCGCCTACCTGAGCTTCCAGTCCGTCTCTCCATCCAGCTGGTCTGTGCGGACGAAACAGCTGCCGTTTTTCTCTGTTGTCTTCAAAAATATTAAATCTGCAGGGACTCTCTCATTGGCCTCTACTTGAATTATATGCCCCACACGAATTGTGCTCGCGCTCACGGGTACGAAGCCTGGAGGAAAAATCCAACTCAACTCAAACCCAAACGCCTTTTGCTCGCTTTGATACAATCATTGATTTAAGCTAAATTGTGCGCCTGAAGCGACGAAACAGCTCTAGAAAAACTACTCCAGAACAAATTCCCAATGTGAACAAGGATAAACGTGCTCAAAGGCAGCGCCAGAGGAGAGAATGGCACGCAAGACACACGACGGGAATACAACAGGACAGTAAAGCGACAGAAGCGGACAAAACAGGGATCCAAGAATCTCCAACAAACTGAAGCATGAGAGGGCAAGCGCATGGATGTATGAAACGACAGGAGCAAAACTGAAGCAAGGACGAACCCAAACACAACACATACGTTGCACCGAAAACTGAATGTACCTGTAGGCAAAAGCCTCATGTACTGCTGGCCGTTCAGCTCTTTGTCCCGAACCCATCTGCACGCATAGCAACAAAAAATGACCCTGCACGGATCAATATGCAGTGCTACGAGACAGGCAGGATGGGCGGGAAGGAAAAGCAAGCACAGAGCCAAAAAAGCAATGGAAAAAGACATGAGGAGAAACTAAAATAGGCAGAAAAAGCCAGAAACAAAAGTGGAAAGTAAGACAGAGGTGGGCGAGAAGAAACAGAAGGGTCACCGCGAAGCAAGGACTCCGGCAACGAAAGAGGCGCATAAGAACAAAGCATGCAAACGGGTATAAATAAAGCACTAAACAGCAACGGTACACAGAGATGCCCATACAAAACAAAAAGACGCTATAGCTGCTGTGCTTGCTGCTGGTGATGTTGCTGCTGCTTTAGCTAGGCATTGTGCTCCTGCTGAGCTTGCTGCTGCTATCAATAATGCTTTTCCTCCCGTTTCCTCTTCCACTCCTTTCATCATTTTTCCTGGAAGTAACTCACCGCTTGATGTCATCGTAAGCCTCCTTCGCGAGCGTGGCGAGCAGCACGAACGCCAGAGGCGCCAAGTACGTGAAGAGGGGGCCGACCTGCAGAATAAACGCATCTCGTGTAAAGTTACAGAGCAGCAGCTGACACAGGGACTCCTACAGCAGCAGCAGCAGCTTCCGCCGCAGCATCAGCGCAGCGGCAGCAGCAAAGGCACACCTGCAGAATGGGAACGAGCTGGGCGAGGGCCACAAGAAGGTAAAACAAATTGAAAAAGAACCTGCAGCAGCAATGAGAGGATTGGGAGGAACAGTTGTGTCTGCAACACTCGCTACAGATGGTAGCACAAGGCGGCTTCCATTACCATGCATGTGAGCTGCAGAGGAGGTGGCGTCTGCTAGAAGAGAGAGGGCTGGATCCGAAACTGAGGTGTTCAACGTCTCTGCTGCTGCTTTTCGTCAGTGTTTCTCCTGCTGCTGCCGCTGCTGCTACGGTTGCTGGTGCTGTCGGGGTGGTTGCTGCTCTGCACCTGAATTGCTGGAAGAGAACGACGGGAAGAAATGTGAAAAAGGAGTACTTAGTATTTTTGATGGCGTTACTAGCTGCACACAAAATTTGACCCCAAAGCTTTGCGGCTAAACTCTAAAGTGCAGCGAACTCTAGACGCGGCTAATGTCGAGGTTACAGGTGACAGCTTAGCAGTTAGAGGTGTGCGGTCTGGGGAAGGAGCTAGAATCAGGGTGCATAGCAATGGAGAAAAGAAACTGAGAAACACGCAGGGGCAAATATAAACAAATTAAGAACGGGACTGGGACTCATAGGCTGCTTTCCTCACAAAGCAGACAAAGAAATACGCGAAAACAAACGGAAACGAACAGCCAGGGCAGGAGACAGCGGCAAGCGCACACATGCACGCAGAACCAGGCATGGAGGCAGGAAAAATCTGAGAGAGGACCACGAAGAGACGAGTGCGGGTGCAGAGCCTGGCGAACAGGAACTCACTGAAGTGCTTCGGGATAGTATGGCCTGAGAAGTGTATTAGGCGCTCTCTGTAAGACGGGCGAACGCCACACAGACACCGAAGCACGAACGCACAAAGCCGCTGCAGACAGTTTCCATCCTGAAGCAACGGCAAGACACACTGCTGGTCCTGTTGTTCCTGCTCTTATTCTGTGGTTGTCACTTCTGCTGCTGCGGCGGCCGTCTTGTTGCTGCTGCCAGCAAGCTACACGCAGCACGAACCAATTTCCAGGTCCACCATAGCTAAACCAAGCCCATGCGAGAGAGATACGGGCCCTCTCTGGGTTGCCTCTTCAACAGCCTTAAAACAGCCTCTTTGGCGATCTCGAAAATCAACATGGGGCTCACGAACACAAAAGGAAACTCACATTGGACCTCTGAGGCCAAGAACTCTGTTGACGGGCAATTGCAGTTCTTATGCGGCCGCAAGAGCCAAGCTGGTGTGCATCCACACCCATTAAAGGTCTGTCATGAAGCATAAAAAGAGGCATTTGTCCCTCTTAAGGGAATTTTGTATGAGGAAGGCTCACCTCTGGGCAGAGACCGCCAGTGCGCCTGAGCAAGGGAGCCTCCTCTCCCCCTGTGTCAAACTCTCCGTGAAAAGCCTCTCGAGTGGGCAGCATCATCTTTCATGCCCCTAGAAGTGCCAGTGCAGTAATATTACTTGCTATCGCTGGAGCTGTTGCTACTTGGACCGAGGGTTTTGGGGGGGGCCCCAGTGGTCAGGGGCCCCCAGAAATCGTAGCGCTTCTTTGGAGAGTGCAAGACTCTCAGATTTCCCAAACATATACATGGCAGCACAAGCCGCACGTGCTGCTGCTGCGGCTGCTCATGCTGCAGCTTACCTTGTTGCAGCAGCTTCAGGTTTTCCCACAGCGGCCTCCTTCAAGGCAGCAGCAGCGACGAGTACAGCAACGCTTTCGCGGCCGCGCGTAGCCAGCCTGTCTAGCTGCAGTTGTTGTTGTTGTTACTGCGGCTTTGTATGCTGCCGTGTGCTGCTGCCAATGCGGCGGCAGCAAGTACGGGAAGGATGACAGGTCTCGTTTCGCAATGAAAACCTTCGTCTCCCCTCCAGGCCTTCCAGCCTGAAGCCCCAAAAGTTAAGCGGCAAACACTTAACCCCATAACCCCGCCTGTAGGCCAAGCTCAGGCTCGCTTCATACCTCACACAGGCCCTTGCTACGCATGCGCAGACTCAACAGACCAGCCACATCCGAATCCTCACCCACAAATCCAAAAAGTAATCTTTGAGCCTGCCTGAGTTCATAATTAGGCGCTTTTATTACTTGTGTGGATCATGAAAGGGACAACGCTAGAAGGGCCCCCCAGTTTCTGTCTGTTGTGACTCAAGGGAGGCAGGCGCCCTTCTATGGGGCCCCTGGGGCCCCGGCCCCCCACGAGACCATACGGGTGCATAGTTACTTCGTCGCGTCATTACGATGCTGGATAGAGACTGCAGTATGGTGGTAATATCAGAGACGAATTTGTCGCAGGCCGGGGTCTACAAAACTAGTGCCTTAATCCGCCCCCTATGAGCTGTATGGGCCCTGATAACATGACATAGCCTCGGCATTCTCTTAACTGTTTTAGGCGCCGAAAGGGGGACCCAAGATGTGTTTGGCGTCTCCTCCGAATCTTCTTGGATATTAAGAGGGTCATGCGCTCTTCTTCCCGGCCAACTTGCTATGGTAGGTAGCGGCAAAGATTTGCTGGTCTAAACTGGGCCTTGGGATGGCCGAGTTAATGAGTAGTACCTGCAGGCTGTGATCTACTCAAATGCTTGTGGGATCGCTGACGCTGTCTTTGTCCCCTCCTCTGCGTCCAAACGTCTTCACCATAGCTCCTCTCCGTCCCACCGTATCTAGCTACTTGAGTACACCCCTCATGCAACTATCTACGCAATGTCCTGCTTCCACTTGTTGCCATTATGTGCAGCTACATCTGTTTCACTCATTATGTTGGCCACCGTAGACCCACCCTTTCCATGTCTCTGTTCCTGCATCGGTACTGTCTCGTATCCAATTATTTGTACTCTGAGCAAAAAGCACTGACTCCCTAGCTGTTCAACAAACGTTCCGCGGTTACCTTGCTACAGTCACAGCCGCACTTCAGCCACCCACTGTAGCAACTCAGTGCAGCTCGCTATCGCAGTAAGCCAGGGAACACTACAGGTAGAAGGTAAGGCCGGAAGTGTCTGCTACGGATGCTAAGCAGCAGTGGCTGCTCCCCTTTTACATCTATTGGGAGAGCAAATTGCCTCAAGCTCTCGAGAGCGAATATCCGAGTCCCTTAAGGCGTCGTGGAGGACACCCCCTACTTTGGGGCGTGGGTGGCCCTGATCCTCAACAAAAAAACAGCGAAGCACCAAAACTCTGCTTTGGATTCAAGCACAGCAGCTGCTTCTCCTGCTGCACTGCTTGCTGCATCTGCCGATACTGCTGCTCCTGCAAGTCCGTCTTCACTGATGTTCATCCTGCTACGTGGCTTCCCTCTGCAACGAATGGCGCTGCTGCTGTATCTATCAGTGTATCAATGCCATGCAGCAGCGTTGTGAGCCCCCATGTGGTAACCAACGGTCGAACAGCAACGGCAAGTGCTGCAGCTGCGGCCGCAGCAGCGGCAGCAGCTTCAGAAGCACAGCGCGCTAGAGTAGCAGCAGCGCCAGCCTGTGCTACAGCAGCAGCGATGACAGCGGCATGAATAGACGCGACGAAGAGAGAGTGTACCTTGCAGTTCAAGCCAATATTCATTCCTGATGTCGGCTTTGCTGCTGACACTGCTGCAGCTATTGCAACAGCGGCAGCTGCTGCTGCTGTATTCGAGGCCTCGTGACCAAAAGCACAGTTTCGCCGTTGAGCTTACGCGCTTGAGGTTCGTCTTCAAGTGAAATTTCACTATCACAAGACGTGCCACTCTCGCGCCTGCCACAGTTGCGGTTGCTGCTGTCGTCAGCTCTGTACGAGGAGACAAGCACAGCCTCGACAAGCTCTGCGCGGTCCGTATGAAACTGAATGGCTAGCTGGCAGCTGCGCTCTAGCTTGTCCACTTCGTCCCTCCAAAAGGAGACGCTAGCTGCCGTGTCCGCACATTCCCGACATAAGGCCTCCTGGCCGCCAACCGGCGGCCCTGGGGTAGCAGCAGCAGCCATAGGGCCGCCTAAGGGGCCCCCCAAGATAGCGCTATCTGATGCGGTCAGCTGCACAGATGAACCCAGCGACAGGAGTGACGCTGCTGTTCCCATTAGACCGCCAGGGGCGCCTGGAGCAGCAGGGCGCCGGAAGGCTCCGCCGTGGCCGTACGCCGCTGGGGCTGCTGCCGCTTCTGGTTTTGCTGCTTCTGCTGCTGCTGGCGCTTCCCAAGGTAAGCAGGTCCCGGGAAGAAGCTCATCAAAGTCAGACGCAGACTGGGGACCCCGACAACTAGCCCCAGAGAGAGCACCCGAAAGGGCTTCTGCTGCTGCTGCGGCTGCAGCAGCTGCTGCAGCAGACAGCTTAGCAGCAGCAGCACTCAGCACTTTGCTGGGACCATTCCGGTCTCCTGATGTGAGGTGCTGCTCCTGGTACTCCCGCAGGCTATCACGAAGATCCCTGAGTTAATAGAGGCGCAACTATATAGCTATTTGTTTGTGCAGCGCTACCGATTTGTCCTTTGCACATCGAAGTGCGCACGCAAAGGGCACCAAATATGAATGTGGATGCACGCACAGGATCCATAAACATTCAGGTGTACAGGTAGCTAGCAAAGAAAAACAGTGCAACTCACGTATGAGTCGAGTCAAGTATATCATTTATTTCCTTGTCGAGCCGGTTTTTCTCCTCACGCAGAAACCGGATAGCCATTCGCCTCTCCTGGTAAGCAGCAAGCCAAGATGCACCAAACATGAACCAAGAAAATCTACTTAAATGAACTCCCCAGCTAAGGAAGCCAATGCGAGCCGGCAGAATAACAGAGGAGCCGACAAAGAAAATCCAAAACGCGAAGAAGATGGAAAATGAGGAGTAGAGAAAACAGGCAAATTCAAATCAGTGAAGGAGGGGCTCGAGAACAAAGAAAGTGAGGCAGAGACAGGGAAGCAAAATGGAGAGACAGAAAGCGAGCGGAACAAATAAGGAATAATAGAGAGGGACACAAAAACAGTGCAACACGTTTAGTAGAAAGCAAACAAATAGGGACAAAGGAAAGCGGACACGCTGAAGCGCCCACCTCGCAAGAAAAAATAAGGTGCAATGATTAATAGGCGAAATGAAAAGAAGCAGCAGAAGCAACACTGGCAGCCCCAACAAACGTAGCAGCAGCAAAAATCCAAAAGTAGAAGCCGTGGCAACGCTGAAGCAGCAGCAGCTACAGCAGTATCAGTGGCAGCAACAGCAGCAGGTGTTGCACGTACAGCGCAGAAAGGGCAGGAGGCGGGGTCAATCTGGCCCATGTGTTGCGCAACAGCAAAGGGCCTCAGATCAAACTTGTTGTTGGGCACAGAGCCCCGGCGCCACCCAGAAACGAGCCACCGAAGCCCCAGACCGCCCTCTGGAGTAAGGTTGGGGGCCCCCAGGCCCCGCACAGCAGGTGCCCAGCCAGTACCCTCTCGAGAGTCTCCTCTGTGGCTTTGCTGAGGGCCTAATATGGCACCCGAGAGAGACCCTAGGAGCTGCCTCTGCCGAAAAACCTTCAAGGGATCCTCCAGCCACGCTGAAGCTCCTGCAAACATGTCGGGCAGCGCCGACGAGTCCGAAACGGGCCTGGCCGGGGAGATCCATCTGCTCGGCGGTCCCCCCCGTTGCAGCGACTGTAGCTGAGCAGAAGTCTCGCACGGGGTTCCCTGAGAAGGGTAAAGTCGTGAAGCCCCCTGTGGTGTGCGCTCCATGGTGCCCTGAGGCCCCTGGGGGCCCCCAGGGAGGTTGCGCAGGGGGCCCCCAACGGATCTCGCCTTGCCTAGTGACTTAGAGCCCCTTTGAACAGCAAAACGAGACGAGAAGGAGAAATAAGGTGGAGAAAAGGCCGCAGAAGGAAACTGGACAATAAAAGGCCGGCCTGGTGGGAGCCTCCCTTGTTTCCAAAGAGAACGCGCATTCGCTGCTATGCGATGTTGACTTGATTAAAGGAGTGAAAATTGAAAAAATAAAAACAGAAATGCCTTAAACAGAGAATAGGTTATTCTATTACGGGCAGGATGTTGAACATACGGCGCCCATTTCGGGGGCCCCTGGGGCCCTCAGCTGGTGAGCCAGTCCACCGCCATGTCAAGTTGTCTCCTTTAAAACACTGCATATAGCTGAAATGTTCTCGTGACCCTCAATAGAATGCGTTTAATTTATTTTGGGTCCAGGTTTCGCCTTGAGCACGGACAAAACAATACAGACGCCGCAATCATCTACGCTGGACTGAGGCAAACCCATCCAGTGGTTGTCTGTCCTCTTGGCCATCACAAAATTCTCCCACAGTCCCTGTAGCACCTCTTTGAGAAAATTTTAATGACGTTTATGGATGTCGGGTGCTTTTCAATGGGCTCCTGCGAGTCATCCTGTGCTGGCAAAGGTCTTTCTTGAGGAAGATGTCGAACGCACTCAGACCAAACTCCATGGTGAAGCCCTCAGCCTGGCGATGAAGTCATGAGAAAGCTGTTTCCTATCACTTAGTAGCAGCTGCGCGATGGGGCCCACACCCACAGGAACCTTCCAGGTATTTCTGGAACGAGCGAAGCAGGAAAAAAGACCAGAAAAGCCACGCTTTCAAGAACTCAGGCACATCTGTGCACATGGGGAGAGGCATTTCTGATAGGAAGAGCTGTTGTCCGTGACTCTGACCTGCACTTGACTTGAACTCCCTATGAGTATTAGCACTTGTGCTGGCACGTACAATTCGCATTGACTTCCTGCGTGCATAGTTACTTATTCAGGTCTAGGCTCGTGCACCTTGTTACAGCCATTGATGACACATCTATTGCTCAACGTCAGCGTGCCCCTTTATCTATACTGGTTGTCAACGGAAAGCCAGCATTCACCCCTAGGCTTGATCATAAGACTACTTGAGGATAGTCAGCGAAAGAACTAAAGCCAGAAGCATACGGGCACGCACTGCAGCCCTGCACGTCTGTCAGCCTCAAGGGCCTCTGTAGACCCCAAAGCATGTCGCAGAGGCCAAACAAGGAGCACAGACGCGGAGGTGTCTTGGCCATCCACACGCAAACAAAAACCGGCAGACACCGGAGCAGCTAACTGCAGCTGCTGACTTTCTTGAATTTAAAACTGTCCTGTACAGACTGCTGCTGTTGTAGTGGACTTAAGCTGGCCCAGCAGAAGCGTCGTGGGAAGGGTGCAGTGGCCTCTCACGAAACTCGCTAGTTAAGAATACAAGATGCCTGTTCGTGTGCCTCAGGCAGCAACAAAGGGACACCATATGCTGGGTCGTTGCTGCGTATGTTTCCACAGAGCTTCACCCCGCTTCACGCACTCGCCACTAAATCCATCTTCGAAGAAGATGCGAGCACTGCTGGTGACTGCAAAGTTGTAGACCTGGATTATGTCCACTTCTCAGTTCAATCTCTGGTGGGTCTTCAAGCGTCCTCCCGCTTCCACTCATTAAGCTGTAAGTACACCCCAACAAAAACGAAAGAAGGTTACCTCCGCAAGCAAAAGCTCAAGATCACACTGAGTATATGCAAAGCTACGAATAGCTCAAAAACAAGCGCGCTGGAAGAAATGCAGAGACGCAGACACTGACAGTGCCACGGACGGAATAACGGGGTTGCAGAAAGGACTGCTGCAGATACAGTAAAAAGCGACTGACATGCAGAAAGCGGCAGCGAACAAGATGCAAAAGGGGAAAGAACCAACGGACAGGCAGAGACAACTGCAAACGTAACCAGGTTTCAGAACTAATCAGAGCCAATTACACTGCCTACAACATAGTCTCCAATGACAGGCGCTGTACAAAAGTGCAAGAATTAGGCGTAGATTGTCGATTCAATCTTCGCAACCAGCAGCTAGCCAACGACAGAGACAAGAATACTCAAGATGCAGCGATTCAGAGAAAATATAATCACAGACTTGAAACGGCCTCGAACAAGGACGAGGACACAAACAAAGACAAAGACACTCCAGAGCTTCCTTACATCGAGTGGCGGCTGTGACGAGGGCATGGCGAGCTTGCGCAGTTTCTCAAGAAGCTCAGGCATAGATAAGCACTCCTGTTGTTTCGGATCTGCTCTGTCTCGCACGGTCACAGTCTTGGCCGCTGCCTCTGCCTCTCCAACCACCAGAAGAAGGTTCCACTGCTGCAGCTGCGCCTCTCGAATCTTTTTGTTAATGGTGTTGTTCGAAAGGTCTATGCCTACCTCGTACCCTAGACAAGCATCACCCACAGTAGCGGGAAGAGTGCTAGTGATTTCAGCAACCGCAGTGGCAGCAATTACTGGACGCAAGGAGGCAGCAGTGGGCGAAGGTAAAGAAAAGAGCTCTATTCCTCAGTCTTTTCCCTTATCCTGATGGCTTCCTATATATTCTCATTCCTGTATGATACCGTATCTGCGACTCTCACCTTCGCGCTGCAGCGCCTTCATGACCTTTTCTGCATACGGAGCAACTTTGTCTGAAATCGGCAAAACGATACACTGGCGAGGAGACAACCAGAAGGGGAACTTGCCGCCAGAGTGCTCCAGCAGAACAGCACACATGCGCTCGATAGAGCCTGCGCACGTGCCACAACATAGACTCATACGCCATTGCCACAGAGACGCCCCTTAAGCATCCACAAGCACCAAGGAAGTACAGAAAATACACATATGAGTCAAATCCCTCCATAGGGACCGTACCCCAAGCTTCCGCAGCTTTCCCAAGCAGCATCCATACACTAAGCAAACAGGCGGAAAAATGCACGCATGAAGAGACAAGCGACGAGACGCGTAGACGAGCTGAAGGAAACAAGGGACGAGCTGACGAGCTGAAAACAAACTGACGGAGTTCCGCGTCTTACCAAGGATAGCTCTGTGGATGATGACAGGCCTGGCCATGCCAGGCTTAAGGTGCCCCTCTTGGAACCGTTGCTGGTTGTCATCATTTCCATTGGCTGCGTCTCCATTCATTTTGGGGGTGGTTTCGGTGGCTTGCGCCTTTTTGTTTGCTGCTGCCGCCGCCGCTGCTGCTGCCGTTTCTTCATGCGTTTTGTATTGAAGATTGAAGCGAATGGGCAGCTGGAAGTCGAGCTGTATGGTGCCGCACTGATGAGGCCTCTTAAGCGCGTCCCAGAGCTGGATGTCGATTTTGGGTCCATAGAACGCTCCGTCGCCGGGGTTAAGTTTCCAAGGCCTGTTAAGAGACACCAAAGCCTTGCGGAGTGCTGCCTCAGCTTGTTTCCACGTCTCCACGCTGCCCATGGCTTTGGCTGGGCGTGTGGAAAGGAATAGGGAGAAGGAGAAGCCAAATTGTTCGTAGACGTAGAACAGGAACTCTAGGGCTGACACCACCTCAGCCTCAATCTGCTCCATTGTGCAAAAGATGTGCGCATCGTCCTGCTGGAAACGGCGCACACGGGTCAGCCCGGAAAGAGAACCGCTAGCTTCATTGCGGTGCAGCACTCCAAAGTCAGCCAGGCGCAGAGGCAGCTGGCGGTAGGAGGGCGCGAGGTGTCGGAACATGACGCAGTGGCCCGGGCAGTTCATAGGCTTCAGACCCCACTCCTTACCCTCTACGTCCATGAGAAACATATTTTCTTTGTAATTGTCATAATGGCCACTGGTCTTCCACAGGTCACAGGAGAAGATGTTGGGGGTGATGACTTCCTTGAAGCCTCTTATCTGGTATTCCTTGCGGATAAACTCAATCAGCTTGTTGTACACTTTTGCGCCCTCTGGGAGCCAAAAGGCCGACCCGGCCGACACTGTCGGCTCAAAGAAAAACAGAGACAAGTTGTTTCCTAGCAAACGATGGTCCCTTTCCTTGGCCTTCTCCAACAGATCCAGGTACTCCTTCAGCTGTTTCTTCTCAGGGAAAGAAACGCCGTAGACACGCTGCAGGCTGTCGTTGCTGCTGTTACCCAACCAGTACGCAGCACTATGCCGGGTAACCGAGAAGGATTTGCAAAGAGCCGTCGTGGGCAGGTGAGGGCCCCTGCAGATATCAACGAGGGTCCCGCAGCGGTAAACCGTAGTGAGGCCCCCGTCTGGCACCTTTGTGGTGATCAGGGCCACCTTGAATGGGTTTTCTGCGAACATTTCAAGAGCCTCTTCCTTCGTGCAGACCAAACGCTCAAAAGGTTGGGCCTCCGACACAATGCGCTGAGCCGCAGCGTTCAGAGCCCCGTGCTCACTCTCGCTCAGGCTCTTCTGGCCCATGTAGCAGTCGTAGTAAAAGCCGGGCTTCAACGCAGGACCCACAGTTAGCAGCGCACCGAACTCACACTCCAATGCTTGGCCTGAACACACAACGCAAAAGCATGGCTGCAACATTGGAAGACCCATGCGATCTGCACCTTAACAACGAAAGTCACGAATACTTGAGGCGCAAAATACAAGAACGGGCGGACAGAATTCTGAAAACAGCAAATAAACTTTATTTAAGAGGGCACGCATAAACTTGCGCAGTCTCTGCCAAAGAAAGGGAGAACGAAAAGAAAGGGAACGGCAAGCGTTGAACCCGCAAAAAATAAGCAAAGCGACAACCAGCCTAACAGAGGCTGACACCTCAAAGCAGCACCTACCTAAAATGTGAGCACTAGAATGCCAGAATACATTTTGGGCTTCCGGCGAATCGAATTTCAAGATCTGTAGTTTACAGCTGCCCTCAAGAGGCCTCGCCATGTCCCAAAGCTGCCAGGGGATGTTTTCATGCTCAGCTTCCGCCTCCGACTCGTCGCCACCGCAGCAGCTTTCTTCTGCAGCCGCACCTGTTGTCTCATCGTCGGCTGCTGCCAGCATAGACGAAGACCCAGCAGCGCTATCCGCATAGGCTACCTAAGCAGAATCTACACAGGAACACAAAGTGATATGTTTACGGGCCCATCGATGAACACACCGTACGAATTCATGGTGTAGCAGAATCACATCGTACCGGGAAAAAAAGCACAAACAACGAGGCGACAGAAGTAAGCAGCTACGAACAAGCAGCAGGATTACTAATGGAAGAGCAACGGCGGCACCGTCCCTCTTCGTGATAACTATTGCCACCTCCACTGTTGCTGCTATTACGTTTACTGCTCCGCTTGTAGCTTCACATGCGCTAGCTCACCTTGGCAATGACCGCTGCATTAGCAAGGCCCTTGGAAATCTCTGCTGCAACTTGCATTGGAGTTGTTTCCCAGCAAACGCCTTCACGTTTGCTGCCGTCTGGCAACTCGATAGTAATCTTTTCATGGCTTTTTCCTGTAGGCCCCAAGACAACAAGCATGCATTATGTATCGCCCCTATTAAATTAGCTGCCTGCACTCTTTATATGTGCACTCGTCATGGACCCAACAATCGCAACGCCCGCAATGCGTTACTTCTGCAACGAATACACAGATCTCCGGTTGTACCGCACATATCTATGTTATTGCATAGGGCTGTTTTGTTTTTATGGAAGATATATCCCTAATTCAATGTTTCTACGTCTCAACCCCTGAAGTGTACAGCCTGACGCTCAAATCTCATGTTTTCTCTTCGTCTCAATCCTACAGCAAAAAGTGTGGCGGACCTCATCCAAGTGCTTGCATCTGGCGGTAAAGAAAAGCTATACAGCCACCTTCTACCAAGAAACAATGAACCACCTGCTCGCCATTAGTTATATTACCCTCACTACTACCATTCCTGCGGTTGAAGACGCTACCTGAAGAGGGTGGCAGCGCCCCCTACACCAGCGGCAGCAGTAATCAGGTGCGCCAACAGAATCAGCAGCAGCTACAGCGTCGAGATAAACAGCAGCAGCTTTACCTTTAATGTCTTGCTGCTGTTTCGCCATGAGGCGCTGGAATACCTCCAGCCGCCTCTTTATAAATGGAGCATCCTTAGTAGGGGTGAAGGGTCCCCCAATGTGTCCAGTGGCACCAAGGGTGTGGGCCGTGCCGGCCTCCGCCCTGCGGCCTGCGGCCCCCTTAGCTACTGCTGCGGATGCCATCCTCCTGCTGTTCCTGCTGCTACTACTGAGTGTTCTGGAGCCGCCAATGGTGCTGCGGTAGATGCCGCAGGTGCGAGGGAAAAATTGACGGGCTGCTGCTACGGACACGAAGCGAACAGAACGAGATACGAGCGGTCCTGAGAGGGCAACAAACATTTAAGCCCTAGGGACTTCTTCCGCCACTGCCGCTTCTGCCGCTGCTGCTGATACTGCGGGTAGCAGCAGCACCGAAAACGCACAATACTAATCGTGTAGCAGCCTAAAGAACTGGAGGTGCACCTGCACCGGTTATGCGAGAAGCAGTTCCACCAAACAACAGCAGCAACAGCAGCAGGAATGCCCTTGAGCGATTACTACGTTCATCTCACTGGAAAGAGCAGCCGACTTCTTTTGGTCTTGACGTTGAATCACATTAACCTTGAAGAAGGTATAGGTATAGCATTTAAGATTTCTCGTCTACGGGTTAATAGGCGTGGGTGGGGCTGCTGGAGACCTCCACCCTGCAGCCCCGACAACGCCGCAGTGAGAGACAGCAGTGCCCCACTGCTTGCCTTCCTTTCCGCTTGTTTGATACGCGTTGCATTCCGCTCTATTCAATTATCAAAAACAAATTCAGTGGATACAATAACGTAACTGAAGAGGGACGTAGGCGCTGAAACGATTACATAGTGCGTTACTTCATATTCTGTTCCACACCACATAAGTTAGTTTATGCAGTGACATGGTTCTCAAGGTTCCTGTCCCCATTTTCACAAGCACAGCTTGTAATTCCCTAGCCATGAGCTTTCAAGTTGTTTTGTGTCTTTGTACGAATACAATGCCTTTCCTGAGATCGACCTGGCTGTTTCGAATCCACCGATGCAACATCGGTGGAGTCTGAGGCTCTGCTCCTTGTTGTGTAGAGAAGTTGTCGCTGACAAGTGGAGTGCAACGATTAATCTTAGTCTCACATCGAAATTATGTATGAAAATATTCTGAAAGCGCATTTCACTGCACGTAGCTATGCACGGTTTGGGGACGCAGTTCGGCACACACGTCGTTATTCAATGTTTCGGGATGTTTGGTTATGAATTTACCCATGTCTCGATAAATCTATATAGCGAATGTATGAGTATAGAACTGGTCAAGAATATATTAGGTTATGAAATCCAAAGGATGTGCTCTAAATGTAGGAAACCGAGTGTAGGGCGCTGCGACCACTACAAAGTTGCCCAGGAACAACTTTCAGGGGCAGTAAAATTTGTGATAGGAAAACTTAGGGTGCAGATCTAAATATGCTTTGGTTAAGAGACTCACTTTTACAACAGATCAGGCCTACTGTTTTTTGGATGGATCGTTTCGAATCACTGCAACCCGTACACCTATAGTGCTTTTCCGCTGCATTTAAAACTGCGCCTGTACGGAATCGCAAGCTCTTATGGGCTTTCCTTTAATGCAAGCAACACGCAATCTTTTCCAGACGCGAACTTCTGGTGCGTTATTTGGGCCTTAGTGCTGCTTTTGGCCTAGCATGAACAGCGCAGCCGACTCAGAAGTGCAGTGCTTGCAACATGTTAAGAGGTGCTCAATCTTTGGCACAAAAGAAAAGTCCGAATTCTGTAAGGTCAGGAAGCAGGCTTTGCAGGCGAAAGCAAAAAATTCTTTCCGGTCCGTCTCACCACACAAATGTAGTATTCCTATGGCGATGTAGGCGAAGATGCTCGGTTGTTCCTAGCAAAAGGCAGGGCTCCTACAACAGTAAGAACTAAGACGCTGAAGCAACAAGCTTGCGTTGTGGGTACGGAAGCACTGTTTGGTTCGGTGTGCTGGCACTGAGCTGCCGCTCACCTCATGTGTGCAAAAGATATTGCATAAAAGGCTGAAATGTGGCCGTGCTGAAAGAGCAGAAGGGAGCTCTACTGTTTTTTTTTTCACGTGCATTTGAAAGAGGTCGCGATTTCGTGTGGACCGGAGTCTTCCGGAGTTAAATATGCAGGCGCGAATTCTGATGGAAGCATCGCTTTCGAAGTTTATGCACTCTTAGCAGTTTTAAGGACTTCCCCAAAGCATTTGAAGGCAAATTCTGTGTTCGCTCTAATGCTCGAGCGAGAAGGGGATCCCCTTTTTTGGAGCCAAGCGCTTCCAAAAGACCAAGTCTTGCTAAATACGGTGTGCCCTAACACTACTTGTCAGGCCTCGACCAAGGGCGCTGCAGGTGTCAGCCCTCAGCCGATAGTGCTGCACAATACTGGACAACAACTCGTGGAGGCTCGATCCGCCGTCAGTGTCCTGTGTGAGGTGTTCGTATAAGGCACTCCCTAAATGGGCCACCAAGGCCTTCAGTCCCATGAACCATACTTTGCTACGACAGGATGAGCGGGCTCAGCTTTCACTGGATATTGCCCTCAGTCTTTACCATTCTACTAAAGGTACTGCAAAGAGGAACCAACGCTCACTCAGAAGTAAAGGACCCTGAAGGTTCCAGAATGTGTCCACCATCTACTCCACAGGTGCCCACGCAAGATTCGAGAGGAAATAAGATGCACAGGCAACGACCCAGCTGACCACGGAAGCATCTGGTGCAGAACGTTGGAAACGCTGCATGTTGGACGGCAGTTGTAGTCCCAGTCGCTGTCTCCAAGTGCCAATCTGAGCACGGGCAGCGCCCAGATATTCTATGGCAAGATGGCTGCAGCTTTTCAGAGTGCGTGGTTGGTCCCGGTGGGTACTCTGTGGAACAGCGCGCCACGCAAGCTGCTTATCTAGCAACCTTGTCTTTGGCCGTTACTGTCCCCTAGCGGGACACAGCCGTTGCTCAATTCAAAGCTATTCCAACTCTTCTTCGGAGATGCATGCATGCGCTGCACCTAACCCTAAATATAGAGCTGTTTAGCCTGCATACTGAGAAGTGCACGGTACACACGATCAGCGACGCAAAATCCTGAGCCAAACACGCCTGAGTACTTAAATTGCAGTTGGGCCCTGAATGGTGAAACCTCACGGTCCTTCTTCCGTAATACTACTGTTCAAAGCATAAGCATCAATGCTAGGACCGAATCTGATATAAATGGCCGAACGTATTGCCTGAGCCTTCGAAGGCTCAGGCAGTACGCATTCTCTTCCGTGTAGCGTCGTCAGTATAGCCAAAGTTGCCCCTTTAATTCTGCTGCCGCGCGGAAACAACACCGCACGAGTACGAATTCTGCTGTCGCGCAACAATAATCTCTCTATCTGTCCATAAGAGACAACGTGCAAACGGCCACGAGGAGCGAATAGGAGGAGGCATACGGAAAACAAGGAATGATATGTAACAAAGAGCACATCCAAACAAACAGAAAATATGGCAAGGCAGACACAAGCAAAACCTCGATTGGCACATGCGTATAGTGCTTCCATGCTATATGTCGCATCTTGAATCTGCCCATGAAAACGAATATACCTTAGCGTTTGTCGCCGCTGCTGCTGCTGTGTTTCTTGCTGCTGCTGCTGTGTTTTTTGCTGCTACTGCTGTACCTCTTACTGCTGCTGCCGTGTTTCTTGCTGCCACTGCTGCTGCTGCTCTGCTTTTTGCTGCTGCTGCTGCTGCTGCTGTTCTGTGTTTTGCTGCTACTCTTATGTCTGCCTGCGTCCGTTGTCTCTTTGCGTTTGCTGCCCTTGTCCCTCCTGTCTCTAGTTGTTTTGCTGCTGCTGCTCTTGCGGTCCTTGTCCGTCTCTTTCCTCTTTTTGTCCCTGTCACTGCGTTCTCCCCTTCTTGTCCTTCTGTGCCTGCTGCTGCTGACGCTTCTGCTGCTGCCCCGGCTGCGCCTACTGCTGCGGCTGCTACTCACACTGCGGCTCCTGCCCTTATTCCTCCGCTTCCTGCTGGTGCTGCCCCTCCGTCTGCTACTGCTCGCGCTGCGTCTCCTGCTTGTGCTGCGCCCCCTGCTCCTGCCGCTGCTGTTGCTACGGCGGCTGTCCTCCTCAGCTGCAGCAGCTGCAGAGGCGGGTCTTCCCGCAATGGATCTGAAAGCTGCTGCTCTTCTCCACAGCAAATGCCTCTCTTGGCTGTCTGCTTTGCTGTGCCTGTCAGGAGAGGGCTCGGGGGACCTGCTGCTGCCGCTGCGGCTGCGATCTACGCTTCCTCGGCTCACGCTGCGGCTCCTGCTGACCGAGACACTTGTAGCCAACGTGCCAGCTGCTGGTGCAGCAGACGCCGGTGACTTATCCCGCTGCTCCTCTTCCTGCTTCTCTTTCTTATCCTCCTCCTTCTGCTGTTTCTCTTCTTCTCCAGATTCCTGGGGATCTGCCTTGGGTTTTGGCGCCTCCAGCCCTGCCAGCGTCTCTATTGTCCTAAGCACTGTCTTCTTCACATGCTCAGGTATGTGCTTGCGCCCCTCTTCCCTTATGAGGTTGACCAGTTGCTCCTCGTTGCCAGCAGCAGCAGCAGCAGCACCCTCCTCCTCCTTCAGCTTCCCAGCTACCAGCTGCTGCACGGCAAACACAAACCCTTCCCGCTGTAACTGCTCCTTAGCCATTTTCATCAGGCGACCGAAGTCCCCTTCCTCCTGCAGCCGGTGCAGCAACAGCTGCTGATGTGAGGGGCCTCCTCCTCCACGACGGGGCCCCTTGTCTGACTTGATCGGCACGTAGTCAGAGGGCCTCACGTTCTTCATATGCTCATCCAGAGACAGGGGTGCTGGCCTCCCAAGAGGGGCCCCTGGAGGGGGAACGGCGCCATTAGGCGGCCCTGGTGGAACAGGGCAAGGCGCGTTCGGGACAAAAGGCATACCACCAAACCCACCCGTCGCTGCTGCTAGTGTCGCAGCAGCAGCAGCTGCTGCTGCAGCTGCTGCTGCCGCCTCGTGTGGGACCCCACCGGGGCCACCGAAAGGAGGTCCCCCCGGCCCAAAGCCCCCCGGAGGCAGTGGAGGGCCTCCAAACCCTCCAGGTGGTGGAGGGCCCCCCATAGGCCCGCCACTGAACGGAGGTCGGCCTCCAAAGGCCCCCGGGGGAGGAAACATGGGCCCTGGGGGCCCCATATTGCCTCCGGGGGCCCCTGGGGGACGCGGCGCCCCTGGAGGTGGCGGAGCCCCCTTCCCACAGCCAAAACCTGGGGGCCCCATCCCTCCTGGAGGAAATCCAAATGATGGAGGCCCCATGGGGGGCCCTCCCTGTCGCGGTCTAGAGGGAGGGTAGGACGGCTGCTGCATTGTGAAGGCTGAGGACCGTCTTACGGGACCGGATGCGGTAAAGTGGCCTAAAGCATGGACAGACGATGGGCGATCCAGAGAAGGGCACTTAGATATTGGCCTACAGGGTTTAGGTTTTGGAGGCTAGGAGGAGGGGAAACGGCCTCACAACTCTGGAAACGACAGACACGGGCTGGGCCTGAAGTGCCTGAGGTGTGTTTGTTGGTTGATTTTGACAAGAGGTATTATCTAATTGTGAAGACCCACTAAATAATAAAAAGAAATCAACGGGAAACATAGAAGCGGGCTTTCGTCTTATTGCAAAGGATCACAGAGCTGATCGGGCCTCACTGCTCACTGCTGCTCTGTTGGGGCGGTGACAGTTGAGCAGCAGCAGCAGCAGTGCCAGCACCAGCACTCAAGTCTGAGCGACAAAAAAATTACTCCAAAACGCTGCATGCCGTTATGCTCCTTTTAGTCTATCAATGTTTTATATTTAAGGCGAAAGCGTAGTCGGGACTCAGCAGAAACGATGTAGTGATGCAGGAGCCCACGGACTCTGGAAGATGCATACGCCGTTTGTACCCCTTGCAACGTTGAAGATAACATTTATTAAAATTATTTGGAGCTACGAATTAAGTGGAAGCCTGTACAAACTCAGATTTACGCAATTAGCTGCGCCCTCAACATTTGAGGAGGCCGGGACGCTTGATGGCAGATCATTTCTCGTTTTGTAGTGCCGCTTTGTGCGGTGCTCGAGCGTTGTATGCGCTGGGATTCGTGAATTTATGCTACTTGCTCTTTTTCATGCCGTGGTTTGTGGCTTTGGGTGTCTCACTCACACCCACCACTAAACTGAGCCACGAGCCTCATGTTCATTTTGAAGTGAGGGTCTCGGCTGCGCAGTACTGCTTCCTCTGATCAAAGAACAGAACGATGGTGAGTCATCGGGTGACCTAAGAAAAATGCCGGGCCCGCAGGCACCAATGACAGCAGCACTATGTGCCATGCAAAGCTTACCGAGTGCCTTCTTTTTTCTACCCTCAAAGTGCACAAATGAAGAAGACATGTGCACTGTTCTGATATTGGTTGGTTTAAACTGCATTTGTTACGAATGCCCTTCGGCCACAGTATATGCTTAGGAAGTAACTCACATTACACCTGCAGAAAGTGGCAGTCAAGTACCACACTTCATACTGTGTTGTCCGCCTGCACGTTTTCTCTCCACTACTTAATACTAGCCCAGAAAAGCACCGACTGCACATGTGACGGGAGCGTTGGCCCTTTCCTCAGCTCGAAGTAACTGGCAGTAGAATGAACTGCTCTCCTTGCTGTATCAATTCTACTTATCTGTGAGGCTGTGTCCTACCTTCCACCAAAGGCCTGGTTGGTGCTGATGCCTACTTAAACGAGCATAACACTGTTCCTGCCATTGCATGCATGCAGGTAGGTGGGAACCTTACTACATACGAAGAAACAGCGGACGCACAGACCAGAGGCATCTTTTCAAGCTCCACCTCCAAGTGCACTCACTAGTGAACGTGCAAGAACTTGCCAGAATGAGACGCAGGAACTTGACCCGTCGAGGGGCCTATCCCTTCCACAATAAGCCTACTTAAGCCGTTGTGTCTGTGTTCTGTGTTTGTCTTCATATCGCGAGACGGCAATACATTTCATCACCACGCCACTTTCATGCCTCTGCCATCACACCACAGAACTATGACAGTGGCGGTTCCTAACCAAGCAAATTCCACTAGGAATTCCACCTACCCGCCTGCCTAGCTCATCACATCGGTGGAGTCAATGTGCCTGACTTTCTCTAGCTACTGGACGTGAACCCATTCTAGCGGCTCCTCCCAATCCGTGCACCCGTTGCTGATAGCAATGACACCAATGGGGAGCCTGCCCTGTTACAAGTAGAACCCTGATACTTAACCTACAGTGTGTATATACCTCAATTCGTGATGTGTCTAGAAACCTACATACTTTACAAATGTTCCCGCATTATTCTACCACTACTAATTAAACCTAAACTCTACATGTCGCACGCAGACCACATGACGCCGTTGCCCCATTCGCCCGCGGCGCAATTACGATTTATCCGTCTCCGAGTTCGGCTGCCCGCAGCGAATCATCGCAGCCTCATCGCTGCTGGACTACATCGCTTCAGGAGATGCGTGTGGGGCTCGGGTGCCTTCTGCTTCACTATGCAGCAACTCAGACCCTGCCCTTTAGCTCCCCCACACCGTCCCACGGGGAAGAAGGCGGGAAGGCAGGCAGCGGGGAAACAACAACGACCCCCAATTTACACGAATGCGGCTAGTTGGTGCGACCGCTCCGAGCACTGGGTTTCTGGTTAGCGGGCTACGGACTAGGGGATGAAAACATCCTAATGGAGCACGCTTAGGTCGCCTAGCTCGTGGGCCTCCAGGGTTGTCGCCACGGTGCCCTCCAGCTTCTTCGCCAAAGCATCCTTCGATGAAGAGTAAATCATGCGGGGCTTCACTGGGGCACAGTCCGGAGACCACAAGATGAAGTGGATCCTCTGGCCTGCACACACAAAACAACACCGGTTAATGCGCTTAGGTCCCACAGTACGTTACCAGCGAAGGCTTCCTCAACAAGCATCCCGACACACGCATGTGCACAGCGTGAGCAGTGCACACACCAGCACGGTGAACGCGGGCAACTACTGTAGAAAAAAGTGCACCTTCGCACACCAAAACGAGTTCGTAAATTTCTAAAGAAAAAGCCACAGGCCGCAGTGCTCTCCTACTGGAGCCGCTGGAGGAACTGATGGTTCCGCCTGACATCAAAACGGCTGAGTTGACCGAGTGGAAACCGGAAAAAAAAGCGACATACCTTCATCGTACACTGCGTATCTGCAATCACTAGCTGGAAGTTCCTTTGTGAGAGTTGAGGCGTCACCAGTGCCCTTCTTCTCGACGACAATCTCATCGTGGTCAATCTTGAAGATGATCCATTTGAAAGAGTGACGCAGTTTGAGTTCGTTGAACGTAGTCACGCAGGACTCGTTGACTGGCATTCCGCTCGCCATCTTCGCAAAATAAAGCGACTTGAAGTATGAAGCTCGAAAAATCCAAGGAAGAAAACAAATGGCAACAGGAGGTCGCCCAGCTTTCTACACACGCACGCACACCTTCACCTACTCACGAGTCACACGCAGCGCTTGATGCGGAAGTAATCCACCTTAATGATTACAGCTGGAATACGAAAACCTAAAATCTCTAGAATACAGTTTTAGATAGAGAGAAAAGCGAAAAAGTATAGGTGAGATTGGCAAGCGAATCCGACAGGGGGATGCATGACGGGCAGCTCTGCTCTGCCTGCGGCGGCAGGGCGTGCTGCTCCTCGCCAGGGTAGTAGTTAGCTGGTTGGGCTGTTTTGTACATTGCACCTGTCTCGTTAGAAAGGCCAAATTCTGGTGAACGCTGCCCTTTAAAAAAGCAAATTAGGCCTTCTTTTTACTGCGAAATACGACTTGCCGAACTATATCTTTCTTTCTACTTATTTGTTCTTCTTGCCCTCCGGTTTCGCTTCGGCGCCCTTCGATGGGTTTGGGGCCTACCTCAGGGCCCCCGCTGCGAAAGCCGGATTTTTTTTGGAACAACTAGTCGTCTCAGAACGTTGAATGCGTCTACTTTAGGTTGATACGCCGAGCTTATTTGTTTGCCAAGGTGTCTTGCTCGGGTTATACATGATGGCGTGGAGTTGCTTTGGGCGGCGTGCCTTTGGCTCTGTCTGCGACCTGACCGTGAAAGATGTTCTCTTCCTCTTCTTCCCTTGTTTGTGGACCATATTCGCCACTTGCTGCTTCTGCTACTACACGGTCCACCCAGCAGTTCATGATGAGTACGCATACGGCACTACAGCAGCCCTTCACCCTAAATACCAGTCTTGCGTCTTCAGTGCCATCCGCAGCACAGCCGAACCCAGCACAGCATTGCATACTATGTTCTCTCTGGATAAGCGTAAAATGAGCAGTTAAAGCAACAGGGGCAGCCACAGACCTTCTCGTGGTCTAGTCGCGTCTCCGCCATAACCTGTTTAGATTCGCATGCAGCACCCAACCCATGTCAGTTAACTTTGGTTGCCTTCATGGAGATGCATCGATTCTCCTTGGCCCTTGCGTCTGTGGTGCCTCAGGAGCCCCAAGACGATCCCAATGTATTGGAGCCTCATATCGGCTCTGCCGGCGGCCATCGTACGTCGCTCCCAGCAGGCTTAGATTCCTTCTTTTATTGCTGACTTTGCTTCTGGTTGCTTTGAGCCACTGTTGCTGTCGCGGTTTGGGCGGAATTTCCTCAACAGCTTTGTGTGCATGCTGGGTCATTGTGCAGATGACATTCAACTACTACATTTTCCAGCGGACGGCGGTGGTGCAAAGCGGCCTGACGCGTTTCACGATTGGGGAGTTGTCCCAGGTGATGCGTCTCTTCGGCTTGTTGGTCATTTTCTGCTTTATCGTTCTCGCTGTCGTCAGTGGCGTCCAGTTCTCACAGGTAGGACTCCGCGGGAGCCATGGCTGCGCCGAAACGTTTACGCAGCGGTGCATAGGCTACCGACTTCTTCCATGTCTGTAGTAGGGGCTGCATGGCTTTTTTTACGCGGCTATTGCTGTGTGCCTTCACTTGCTGGCTTGCAAGCACGCATCCTGTCGCCGGTGTGCATGCGCTGCAGTGCACGACCTGCAACCATGATGTGTTTGGAGAGAATGCGTTCTGGTGCATCGTCACGATGATGTGGCTGATAGCCATGGCTTGTCTCTCGCCCACGCCGCGCCACATGTCGAAGCTCACCTATACCCAGGAGACCTCAGCGGGCGCCCAGAGCGGCGGCCGGGTCTTCGGCCGCGTGGCCATGGCGGACGACGCGACGTTTATGGTGGACGCACAGGACTCTGCCGCAGACAATTTCATTAGGGCAGGCGTTCACCCAGACCTTGTCGCCCAGGGCAAAGTTGCCACTAAAACCACTGAGTGAAATGGGCCCATGCGCTGACGCATGCAGCTACTCGCGCTGTTTACGTCTGCGGATCCAGGCGTGCGCATTTGGGTATTAACAGAATGTTTTTTCGGTGTTCGGGCGTAGGCAGCTAGCGCTGTGTTCCAGCTTGGGACAGAGGGGCGTTCTTCTACACTTGTGCGGAGTGGAATTGTGGTTGCCACACGTTGCGACAGACGTGGGGCGAGAGTGTACATAGGTGACGAGTGGTATATACAGTTGGTATATATTTATAATTGTGCATAGATTTGCACATAAGTAGCACACGTGTACGTACACCACAACTGGGGTGGCCCTACGAGATGGCGGCTCGGGCAAAGCGTCTGATTTCGCTACTTTTTGGGGTTGCGCGGACGAGGTGGTCACGTGCATCAAAGTGTGCTACGTGAGCTTGAGGCTGCATGATTTATTTGTCGTTCATAACACAAGCGTATGCGTTGGTCCGTGCATGCGTTAGCGCATGCACTCTCACGTTTTGCATGCGGCTCTCGTGAGGGCTTGGCGGACATTTTGTCGGTTTGGCAGGACACAGCGGCGACTTGCAGTTAATGATTCACTTTTGTGGGCTGAGACTAATTTTTTTAAAAACTGAGTTTGTATGCGTCTGCGTTTGCATATTTTGACTTTGATGTACACACAGCACGTAGACGCCAGATCTACATACAAATATTCATATTACATAAATCCAGCCGAGGCATGCCCTATACGTAGCGTTCCGCTGCTGCGCCTGCGCAGCTATTGCTGCGCTTGCTGTTATGCGTTCATGAGTGGCTATGAAGCGCTGCAAGTTTGGGGAGGCTGTTCCAGTGTGCGTCAATTGCCTGATGCAGCAGGTTTTGAACACCCATTACAGTTTCTTGCGCCTTGAAGAGGCAGACGTCGCTGGCGGCAATGGTGGCTGCCATCTGAAAGCCGAGATTAGTTTACGCAGAAGCTTGTTGTAGGGCAGTAAGGGCTTGCCCGGTCAACGTTTCGCTGCATGCTCTTCAGCAACACCGTAATGTCTGATGTTTGCATGCATTAGAGCAGGTTGCACTCAACGTGCACCTGATGCAGCTTAATTGACGGATCTCTGGTACTCATACCAGCGAGAGTCTCGGGGGAGCGGCGCTCCTTGAGCAGTGCCAGAGAGTGCTTCACCTGTGATGCGAGCCGCTTTCTGAATTGCCGTTATCAGAAATGCGTTGTGGGGGGAGTGTTGTGCCTACGGCTCACTTTTCGCTCGCAATGAACAAGGACTTAAATAAGTCAGTTTCATTCGGGTGGCTGTCCGCGCACACTTGGAGATTACTACTTTTCAGAACACTTGAAATAGCTGCCGCGCATGTCGTGAGACATGATTGACGATAGGCAATGCGTCTGCAAATTGAGCAAGTAGTTCGAGCTAATTAACCTGAGAGAGCATCCTGAATGTCAGCTTGTTGACTGTAGCCCGTGTAGTTCAGGCTGCCCACATTTGTGACCTCTCGTCCGCCGGTCTGATACTGCGGAAAGCTGCTTGGGTTTGCTAGGGAGAACCCAAACACGCGAGTCGCCATCGAAACGAAGACGAACATGAATATAAACCACTGTTGCATAATGTGCCGTCAGCTAGTACGGACAATTCCACAAACGGGCGTGCAGCTTATGTGACGAAGACAACGCAGGGAGGGCGGACGAAAACCCTTCGACTGTCGCCTGTAGTGACAGCCTGCGAAGCACCAGGCAAGTACCCACTTGTTTGACAGGAACGCATTTAAAATTCTCTTGGTGCGATGTGCTCTAATTCAATTCACATCTAAGTTCGGGCTGGTGACGGCTGGTGCGGCCAGCAGCTGGAAACGCGCCAGATGGTTGGCATGATCTTCACCAGGGTGGGGCCACCGTGACGTGAAGCGAAGTCGCAGAGTGGCTCTTGATTTGCCAAGTACAAAAAAAAGCTCTACTGACAAACTGGCAGGGTAGTCCGGTCTCTCTACTTCAAGCTGCGGCTTTCCGGCGTTTTGCAGTGCTGGTCGGCAGGACGACTGGCTCAGACTCCAATACCCAATCTCTGAGCCGCTTAGGAACGAAGGCTCCCCTCAGCGCTTCTTTCTCTGCCTCAGTTTTCGACTGGGGAGGGGACGGTTTCTCTATCTGCTCAGTATTATCTGCCTTTGGCGGTGAGGTTGAGGCGCTGGATGGTGCTACTGCTTCAGGCTCTCCTGCTGCCGGTGTCTTCGCGCTTTTCTTCTTTTCTTTGTGAGCTCTGTTTGCAAGAGCCTTTTCAAGCAAAGCTACCGTCTCCTCTTCATCGGGTGAAAGAGGGATGAGATCCTCTTCTGCGTTGTGCTCTTTAGAGCACATCGGGCAAGTAAATACCCCGCGGATCTTGGGCTTTCCTGACTGGTTGCTGCCGACATCGGGCCTGCTACCTTCACCGTCCTGAAAAACAAAACAAAAAAAAACAGAAAATCAACAGAGACATGGTTGAAAGCTGCCCTCCACTATACGACTGCACGTAACTGCACTGAGTTGCCACTTACTTTCTGTGTCATCGCGTCCAATGCTCTGTTTGAAACGACATGACCGCACGGCCAAATTATACACCCGCGAACTCCGCTACTCAAGTCCGCCTTGGTGACGGCGCACACAGGGAATCCCGTTTCTGCGTTAATCTGCAGGGAAAGGAGTGCACAAAAGGCCCTGACGCATACCCGTGGTTGTCTCAAGCGCAACCGAAGAACCACATTGCGTGTGGCCGTGCAAGTACACACTCATTCGTGCACATAGATGCTCGCCGATGCATGCACGCACGCACATCAGTGCCCGCTTCTGGGCGTCGCCTGCAGGGATAGAAGGTAGACGGTAGAAAGCACACTAGATAGGCCTCACCTCTACATCGCAGTCCTTCATGTCCTTCAGAGACTTAATGTGACGCATGTGAGGGGGCAGCGCTTTCTCCAGAAGGGCTCTTATGACGGCTTCCTTGTTGTACAGGCGGCCGATGCGACAAGCTAATAACGGGGGCTTTAGCTTCTCCTGCAAAATGAGACAATGAATATACACGCTGAGCACTTTGAACAGGCAGTCGCAATCGTCCAGGCGTTCCAGCTGTACGAGCACTGTAAAAAGCAACATAACGCCACTCTGCGCCTGCATTCTACACTTAGAAGCAAAACGATGCGACAGTTCTGCCCACGTCTTGAGCATTGCCATCATGACCGCGTCATGACCCTGACTCTACGTTAAGGCTAAGGTGCACATAGACTGTCCGTACTGCAGAGTAGGCGCATGCACGAGTCCTAATGTCTCTGTTTTCGTTCTTGCCAAAGCGCTCATCAGCCTCCCGTATCTGGGTGTTTGGAGTGTACCCCATCCCTCCAAGATTCCTTAAGAACTTGAACCCTTTCGTCCGCACCATTTCGGCGCGGCCAGAGAACGAGCCGCCATCACCCCCCATGATGCTGATAAGTGGCAAGTGACGCCAGCGGCCTGGTTGGGGAGGTAGCAGCTATCTAGGGCCTTCCTGGCTCAGTTGAGATGCAGATACCTACAAACTGGTGTTCAGCTGCAAATTTTAGACCAACCAAAATGTAAGATTATCCTAGCTGCAATGACCGTTCGTAGGCAAGCCCCATGACTGTCCAAGCCAGCGCACCTGAAGATCGTCCGGCATATGCGGCATCCTTCCCCCTGTGTTATTTATCAACGGCTGCTATTTGGAATTTACTCGAAGGGAGTAAACAAACTGTAAAGACAGGCGAAGATTCTCAAGGCCCACCAACGCAAAGTACCGCGAAGGCTGATCGTGGCGACGCGTGCTGTTCTTCCTGGCCCAATTTACCGTCAACACAGCATTGAAGTTTTCAGCGTTATGAGCCGTCCCAGCTTTTATCTCTTCGCTTCTCCACATTAGGGCGTCTTTAACACCTCCACTAGCAACGAGCAGGCCCGGCCGGCCTACATTCCCTCCCCTTGCGCCCGTAATCAAGGCGTAACCGAGTACGATGCGCCTCCTCCTAGCTTCCCTGCGGTCGCACGCAGGTTCTAATTTTTCATCGGGGGCTACGGAAAAGCTCCTTTCGGTCAGCCAGCGCTTCAGCGGTGGTGGCGCCCGCCGTTTCGCCTCAAAGCCCGGCGCACCCTTTCAGCGGCTTGTCAAGACACTCCCGGGAACTCAGAAGGCGTACTATGACCTGACGGGTGAGTGCTAAAGCGAATCTCGTGCATTCCAATATGCACGCTGGGTGGCGTCCCTTCTTCATATTGTTGCCTCATGTATTGCACACTCTGTCTTCGCCGGTAGCTGCCCTCGCCTTTTTTCCAGAGGAGATTATGGATCGGTTAATTGACTCATGAAGACTATGTAGGGAATATTTTCTGTTTGTTGCAGCTCTAGGTGACCATCGCTATGAGACGTTGCCCTTCTCGGTTCGCGTTCTCCTGGAGTCTGCGTTGCGGAACTGTGACGGCTTTCGGTGGGTTGAGGGTACAGCAACGGATATGTGCATCATTTCGGGGTTAGCTGATTGAATGGATGGCAGTCCCACAGTGGGTTAGTCAGCGGCGGGCCAGGTTCTCCGCAATGGCAATATTCGGCGTATGCCCGGCGGCGGGTGCGTTGAATGCACTCCCATCTTTCATTTGTCTTATGGCGCATATTTGGTCCTTTTCCTGCATGCTTTTGCGATGACGTGGGAACTCAGAGTGACGGAGGGCGATGTGGAGACGATCCTCGAGTGGTCAAAGACGAGCAAGCAGCAGAAGGAGATCCCCTTCATGCCCGCCCGTGTCCTTCTGCAGGACTTCACGTGAGCCTAAGCAAGATCAGGGCAAACAGCGACCACTTATGCTGACTAATTGTACCCTTTTAGTGGCGTAATGACGGATAACGAACTTAGTTGCACACCTGTTTGAAACCTGCAGACAGATGGTCCATAATCAATCGTTGAATATTTGGTTTCAAGTGGACGTTTGGTAAGGAGTGCAGAGTTGCAAATGGTAACATGTGCAAACGTATTCATGCACAGTGTGTTCATGTACTTAGGTAGTATTGATACAGGTTACGGGTATATGTATTTTTGCTGTGCGTATCATTGTGTGTTTGTGCTTGCTCAGCGGCGTGCCTGCTGTGGTTGATTTGGCTGCAATGAGGGACGCAATGGCGCGTCTGGGCGGTGATCCTCGTCTGATAAACCCGCTGGTCGATGTGGACTTGGTGGTGGACCATTCGGTGCAGGTAGACTACAGCCGATCGGAGTCAGCGCTGCAGCGTAACTTAGAGAAAGAGATGGAGAGAAACAAAGAACGTTTTGCCTTCCTCAAGTGGGGTAGCAAAGCCTTTAACAACATGCGCATCGTCCCCCCAGGCTCCGGAATTGTACATCAAGTGAATCTGGAGTTCTTGGCTTCTGTCACGATGGACAAGGGGGGCCTGCTTTACCCCGACTCTGTTGTGGGTACGGATTCACACACCACCATGGTGAACGGTCTAGGAGTGCTTGGCTGGGGCGTGGGCGGCATAGAGGCAGAAGCTGTGATGTTGGGGCAGCACATATCCATGGTGCTGCCGGAGGTAGTAGGCGTACACCTGACGGGGAATTTAAGCCAGATGGCGACAGCCACTGATCTCGTTCTCACCCTCACGCAAATGCTGAGAAAAAGGGGCGTTGTTGGAAAATTTGTGGAGTTTTTCGGCCCGGGACTTCAGGGTCTGACTCTTGCAGACAGAGCAACGGTTTCCAACATGGCGCCTGAATATGGGTAGGCACGCACTGAAAGGGCACTCAAGTAGACACCGCATCCTCCTTTGGTTCCTCATCTATAGTTTTCTTGCTCGCGATGGTCTGGGGTCGACAGAACTGCCTCCTACACATACATACATACACATGTGTATGTGTGTAAAAGTACACCTTCAAACAGTTGTGTGTTTTCACTTTCGTATTATGAGTCTTCGTGGCAGGCATGCATGCACAAATTATCAGGCATAAACTGACCTGTTAGTAATCTGGTAATTTATGCGAACCTGCGTGTTGATGAATACATAGGTAATGTGAGTCGTATCGCCGTTCAGGACATTGGCAGACCGTATCTTTTGTGTGTTATGCTTTTGGGTACGAAGGGCAACTTGCGGCTTCTTTCCTGTGGACGAGCAGTCGTTGGCATATTTGCGGATGACGGGTCGACCTGAGGAGCAGTTGCGTTTGATCGAAGCTTACACAAAGGCAACGAAGCTATTTTCTGACATTCGTGAGAGCTCCAAGGTTCAGTTTACTGAGGTTCTGGAGCTTGATCTGAGCACTGTGACCCCTAGCGTTGCGGGCCCGAAACGGCCGCAGGATCTTGTACCAACGACACAGGTGCGAGAAGACTTCCGCACGTGCCTGGGAAGCCCTGTAGGCTTCAAGGGATTCGGGCTTTCTCAGGAACAGCAGGCACGCTCTGTTAAGTTCATCCATAAGGGTAAGGAGTACGAGCTGCGCCACGGCTCGGTCTGCATTGCCGCTATCACGTCCTGCACCAACACCAGCAACCCCGGAGTGATCTTCGCGGCAGGGTTACTGGCGCGGAATGCCGTGGAAAAGGGACTACGGGTGGCGCCGTACATTGTAACTTCTTTGTCTCCGGGCTCCAGAGCAGTATCACAATACCTGGAAAAAGCTGGACTGGATAAGGCTCTGAAGGAGCTGGGCTTCTACCTAGCGGGTTATGGCTGCATGACTTGCATTGGAAACACCGGAGAATTTGACCCAGAAGTCACGCAGGCTATTACCGAGGGGGACCTCGTTGTTGCTTCCGTTCTATCGGGCAACCGAAACTTCGAAGGCAGGATTCACCCCTTAACTCGCGCCGCTTATCTTGCCTCTCCTCCGCTTGTCGTTGCCTACGCTTTGGCCGGTCGTATGGACATAGACTTCGATACGGAGCCCATAGGCAATGACACAGAAGGAAAACCCGTCTTCCTTAGAGACATTTGGCCCACTAGAGAGTGAGACAGCTTGTTGCAAAGCTTCAGTCAAACTACACGCGGAGAGTCATGAAAAGGTGGAACTCAGGGAAAAGTAGGGGATAGAAGGATTAGCCAAGAACATTGCTGTCGCATACCAATTGCAGTTTCCACATCTGTACAAATGGACATGTGATAATTTTCGTGCTGCTGGTGCTTGGCCTTTCACTACGTCTGTACACAGTGAAATAAGACCTGTGATTGAGCGATGCTTGGGCCCGGAGATGTTCAAGAAAGTGTACAGCACCATCACGCACGGAACTCCCGAGTGGCAGGCCCTGGAAACATCTGACTCGCCCGTGTTGTATCGGTGGCGGTCCGACTCAACTTACATTCACAACCCTCCCTTCTTCCAGGTCAGTTGTTGGTATGTTTGGCTTTGTATCTTAGATATCGGGTATTAATTGGCCCACTGGAGCCTACATACGTCGTTCTAGTAAAATAGATGATAAATGTTCATGGCTGTTCGTCGGCTCAAAGCGGCGCGCGTTTTTCACATTCAGCGTCTTTACCGGCTTTTCAAGCAATGTTTTCCAGTACATTTTGTCTAGTACTCAGTGCATTTTCTAGTTTCTGTGTACTGTGCTTCAAATGGTACAGAAGATGGAAAGGACGTTACCTGAAATCCCTGACATCCAGTCGGCATATTGTCTGCTGAGTTTGGGGGACTCAATCACGACCGATCACATTTCTCCCGCAGGAAATATTGCAAAGGATTCACCAGCTGCCAAGTACCTTATGGGTCGTGGGGTGCTTCGCAAGGACTTCAACACTTACGGGTCTCGTCGTGGGAACGATGAAGTGTGTCGAGCTTCATTTAGGGAGGCTCAGTGCAGTAGTGATAATTTAGAGTTCTCTGTGCGCGAAAAATTAGTCATACTTGAAAATATATGAGTTCAATTATGAGATTTAGTAAAGATGAGTTATGTCCTGGAGTAGCATGCATTGCATTGACCCTGCGTTATAGTTGCGTTGACACAGCGCGTGGATGTGTGTGCAGGTCATGGTGCGGGGCACGTTTGCAAACATTCGGTTAGTGAACAAGATGTGCCCAACTGCAGGTCCCAAAGCAGTGCATGTGCCTTCGGGAGACGTTTTGCCTGTCTCAGAGGCGGCCGAGCGGTACCGCGCTGAGGGCTCACCAATGATCGTGCTGGCAGGCAAAGAATACGGAAGCGGGAGCTCTCGTGACTGGGCTGCCAAGTGGGCCACACGGAAGCGCACGATTTCCGGGGTGTTATTTTTGCGGCCTCATTAGCGATGCCGTAATTTGTTCACCAAGTTTCTTGCTAGCGTTGTAGACGTACAGTCTGTTTCCACTGTTGCACACTGAGCAGCAGGGATGCATTTTCACCCGATGTGTTGAGAAAACTGGGAAAGAAAAGCACAGAGCGTCCACGGGGGGTGTTGAAAACTTGCAAATACGACGTGCTGTGTTCCATAGCGGGGCAGTGGCTTGGGTGCTGTTTGAGTTTTAGGGGCCCGTATTTGCAAGGGGTCAAGGCTGTGATCGCTCAATCCTTCGAGAGAATTCACAGAAGCAACCTCGTGGGCATGGGCATTCTGCCTCTTCAGTTCTTGGAGGAAGAATCCGCGGAGACCCACAATCTCACTGGTGACTTCCACGGGCTGGGTCTTCATTTCACGTTTTCCGTTGCATATGCACCATTTTCAGCCTTTGCTCTCCGAGGACTGTGGAGCATAGTCTCGACGTTGGTGTCTATAAAGGTTTCGTTGACGCAACTTGTTGCTGCCGCTGTTTTTGTTGCTGCAGGAAAAGAGCGCTTTACAATCTCACTGAATAATGGAAAGCTTGTCCCTGGATCCATTATTCGTGTAAAGACGGATTGCGGGAAATCCTTCGAGACCAGATGCCGCATTGACACAGATGTTGAAGTGGAATATTTCAGAAACGGGGGGGCACTACATTATGTTCTGAGAAATATCCTCAACAGAAACAAGTCCTAGGCGAAAGTTTGCCCCAATAGCTGTTTTGTGATGCAGTTAAGTAACTGTGTTCGTATTAACTGTGTGCTGGTGTACTTTGGCAAAGAAGCAGATTCGCCTCTACTTGGAGCATGATGAGCCGCATCCAGGAAGCGTTTCCCATTTGCTAGGATCTCATCCTTACTGCGGCTGATCCAAAAGTTATGGTGCTTTGGAGATCAGCAGGTGACTTCAGAACCTGCGCTCTCTGAGAAATAGGCGGCGCTGGCACCGGCTATTAGGCATGAAAGCGTTACTGCGTCTGTCTTAACTGGCGCAACTCACTGTGCTCACTGCATTTTAGTAAAATCCACCGGAAATCACCGTTTCTACTTGCTTTTGGTTCAATATTTTCTTTGCCTGCCGGCAGGGAAGGAGCAGATCGGTTTGTATTCCTCCTACGGTGCAGCCGGCTGCTTCCTTGCGTGTCGCCGTTTACCTCGCCGAACACATGTCGCGGAAGTTCACCATATAAGGCGTGATGAGTACAGCGAGTAGCGGGTCTGCTCCCTACCAAAATCTTTCAAATGCAGCTTGCTTCATTATAACTAGATTAGCTTAGGCCCAGTGAACGTTCTGAGGACCTTGTGTGGTGGACTGGCTAGGTTTGTTGCGAGGTTACAGTAGGCGAGGCGTAGACTGGGCCAAACGTCTTCAGCGCTACAAGAGTGATCCTCACGGGCTTGATATCCACAGGTGAATCGTGTAACAGTACACTAATGTAGTTGATGGAAACACATAAGGCGCTTGAGGTGAGATGAAGCTCGCAATATGAGGTCAATTCGTACAGTTCGGACGTCCACGCTGCGACTGGTGAAGACCCCAGCGCACTGCTCATGTAGTGAACCTAAGCTCAGGAGGCCCTAAAAATGTGCCTGCTAACATCAACTTGAGAAGTGCAGGTGTGTATGCTGCTTAGAGGATGATGGCACCCGTTCCCAACATAGCAGAAGGGCATCCGCGTGTTGTCGAATCCCCTTCGCAGCGGAAGCTGCAAACCAGAGGGATTGGCCTTGCGAGGAGGTATATCTGTTGAACTTTAACTGGTACGGATGTCGTGCTCACTATGCGCTTAACTTTACACGCAAGAGTTGCTGCGTTGCCGTTGGTGTATCGAATGCTGTTTACAGTGACTACAGTAGAGTTAATCCACAATGCACTATACTGAACCTTTCAGCAGGTTAAAGCACAGTTGAAGACATTCTTATTAGAGGAGTTAAAACTACTGTCTGGCCGACGCAGACTGGGGATGCGCTGAAGAATCCAATGGTTTGTGTATGCCACGAAGTGTGACGCCGGAGCATTGGACAGCGCAGTTACCCCACTAGTGCGGGTTGACGCCCAGAAGGAACAATACAGTTAGTCCATGAAGAATTAGAAAAAGAGGAAAGAACAACTGGATGAACTGCCATAACTTCTCAGTGCTCAAACTCACTTGAGGCAATAGCTCGACGCAGCAGACTCGATACGTCCAGGCTGCTGGCGTTGTACATTGTACATTGTACAGACAGCACGGGTTCGAACTTCTTTATCCCACATCGGTGAAATATTTCTTCATTGTTCCCTTAATTGTGCAGTCTATTCCTTCCTAACGGGCCTTTTCTACGTTGGAGCTCTTCCTCCCTGAGTGCTTTGTGTGAAGGCGCGTGTTGTCTGCCTTGCGTTTGCACCTTGGCAATCCATCGTCATTCCATGTAGAGTTGGGCCGCTCTAGTAAAAGGGAAGTATTTTATAGTGGCTGTCAGCTTTGCGAATTTATCAAAACACACCAAAATTTGGCCAGGTGGCGCGATTCAACCGCTCTTCTTCCCCAGTCTTGCAGCAGCTCGATCACTTCTTCCTCCCCTTCCTAGAACCTCCCATTTGGCTTCCCCAAACTGTTACTCCATTTATCCAGCAGGCTGGCTTTTCGGCGAGCTCCATTCTTCCCATACGTGCTCACTAGCCACTGGCAGCGAAACCACGTAACTACAGCAGTGCCGTGATTGCAATGGCTCCTATGTGAAGGGCCGACCTGCAAGCATCAACGGGTCGAATTCACACGAAGAACAAAACCGCGGCTCCTCCGACCCGTTCAGTTTCGTACGAGGGCCATGGTGAAGCCTGTGAAATGCCAGCGGCTCCAGCAAAGAGACTCGTGCAAGTTTTCATTTCATCTAGGCTTCTCCATTATCAAGGTGCCTCTGCCTTTTGGAGGTTGAACATCCAAAGGGCCATTAAGCAGATCTTGCCCACCAACTGCTGCCGGCGTACTGTACGGGTGCCCGTGTGCCCGACCAACTGCGTACTTCTTGCCTGTTGCTAACCGTTAATGGGCCACCAGCAGAAATGGTGTTATCTGGAGCTACTCTGTGAGCAATAGATGCAGCGAAGCTCAAACCGCAGCTTGTAAACCACGTGAACCAGTACTCAGCGACCCCGTCGTGGTAGTGGGGTAACGTGTAATGCGCAGCGCAAACAGAGCTTTTGGGTGAGGGCTTCTTCTTGCACTTTTTTGCGCAGCAATGACGCCATTCTCTTGTTCGCATTCCTCTACTCTTCATCGGACGTTTTTGTCGAATGGGAAGCATTTGACACGTGTTCGAAGCCGGTCCACCTTTGGCTTTTGGGTTCATACGTCGCCCTGGTAGCTTTCAGGTTGTCGCACTACCTCGGTCAATACCTCTCAAATGTACGTTGTAGGTGTAGACGTTGTGACGCAGGGAAGGGAAGTTATGTCACAAGTGTTCGTGAGGAGACTGACAGCCTTTCAGGAGCTGTAGTGTTGGGACACTACAAAATGGGGTACATGTGCAGGATAAATCAGCCCACGCGTGTGGAGCTGCACAATCTGCATGCAGGATGGAGAGGAATTCATGCTCCACCGGCAGCGGGGGCCTCCCTTCTGGGTTAGCGTGCTGATCTTGGGCATATTGTTCCCGTGCTTCTTTGGCTGGACCATAGTAGGCACTGTTTGGTTTCTTGAAGTACAAGAGGAGACGCCATATTGCGTAAGCTGCTACTGCCCTACACTCCAAGCACCGTCTGGAGCTTAGTTCTTCGGGCATCGTAGACTTCTGCTTCTTGCGCTTCCTGAGTCGGCATGTAGAAGCCTAGTTACGGGTTTAATGAGCCTTAGGCACCGAGCGTGTATTTGTAGGCGCTCTATTTGAGCAGATAACTTTTCATGCATCGCTTCAAAGCATCCTGCAGGGCAAAGAAGATGCTACCTTGTTGCTGTGTTGACTCCCTTTCACCTTTCACTTTCCGTTTTGTGCTCTGCAGTTGCCGCGGGAGAGCCACCCGTGGTTTTTCACTTTTTGGCTAGCTCTTTGTTATATTTGGATTTTAATATACATCATTTTTATCGGTGAGAAGGGAGGAATGCTCACAGTCAAGCAGACTGGACTGACAGTAATTCGGAACCGCGCGCTGTAATGCTTATCCTGCTTATTCTTGGCTTCGTTGTACATTCCAATTATTTTGTGCTTCAGCGACTGCAGTAGTTTGCGAGTATAGAGCCCGAAGAATGGAAAGGGATCTCCAAATTCTGCAGAATGAAGATATGATTCGGCGGTAAACAATTCGCAATTTCTCGCCCTACTTTATTTTCCATTCTAGTTGCGTTTTCTGCTTGTATATATGCCGGCCAAGATGGGTCTTTTGTCTGGCTCTAGGCTGCTCGAGGCCGTGTACCTGGTTCCAAGTAGAAAGGAAGGCAGCATAGTTGTGCTCTTGTTCTTTGGCGGATGCTGTTTTTGCAGCTGGGGCCGAATTCGCATTTTCTCGGACTACGGAATATACATTTTCCGTCGCGGCTTAACTCCCGGTGGGTTTTTGTGCGGTTGACTATCTCGACCTGCATCAGTCAAAACGTATTCATTGCAGCACTTTCTGAGCTAATTGTACATGCACACTATCCACAAGTACGTGCCCGCGCGTGTATTCGCTGTATCACCTCCATTTGAGTTTGCACAAGAGCACGCACCTTTGTAGCCTGGAATTTGCTCCGTAGGATGCCGTGGCGTATTGCAGAGACGCCAAGTGCACAAAAATGCTTCTCATGCTCGTATTTTTGCCCTGCAGTGGCTGTCACTCTCGCGGGCCCTTCCCATAGTTGGTCTGGGTGCAGCGCAATGCATCCGTCACTTTTCTATTTTATTTGTTTTCAACCTGCAGACCAAGTTGCGAGAATACCTTGGCAAAAGCTTGAGTATGACCCGACAGAGATGATGCCATGCTCGATTTGTTTGGAGGAGTTTGCAGCCGGTGATAATGTCCGAATTCTTCAGGCGTGTGGCCACATCTTCCACAAGTGGTGAGATTTCGTAAACAGCGGAGGCTGTTTAGAGACTATTTCGGTGTTTCTTTGCCCCACATCAAAGGCTACTGACATCAAAGGCTACTGACGTCTGCATGCTGGCTCTCCCTACAGTCTCGCTTATTAGATGGCAGGCCGAAAACGCAAACTCCTTGATTACCAGGATTGTAGAAGATAGTCATAGTCAGCCTCCGGTCGCACTGGCTTTTCTTCAAGAGATGTTTCTGATCTGCTGACTTGTGAACAGCTGCATTGATATTTGGCTGCTGCGCAACGCCGTGTGCCCCAATTGCAAGTCCCCCATTTTGGCGGGCCCCAGCAATGGCTGTAATGACCCAAGTGAAGTGGTCGAAGCACGATCGCCAACCTGCTCAACGGCGCCAAGTCCAAGCCCAGCAGAAAGTGAGGGCTCCGTCCATTTCTATGGTTCCTTGAGGAGAGGTTTCACGTGTATGCTTAATAGAAAGTGACGTAGAGCAGCTGATCCGGACAGCAAGTGAATTGTAAGAAAAGCAGCTGCTTGATATGACAGAAGGCAAGGCAGCCATGCCCTTGTTTAGGAAAATGACTTCTTCACGAGTTGGCTTCTCATTGTGGTTCTATCTTTGGCAAGCGCAGGTGTCGCGTCAGGGGATCAGGTTTGAGCGGCACCCTAATCCCGAGAAGCCCTTGTCTCTCCACTGATGCCATCAGTCACAATCTGGTATCAAGGGAACGACTGGAAGGATAATTGATAGTGAAAGGGTGACCGAGAAGAAGTTCTATGACGGATAATTCCGTATGGCCTGCTGGGGATCCAAGTGGGTTCTCAGTGGAGAGCGGCAGAGCGAACGTAGGGTCGATCAATGGCCATGGCAGCATCACGCGGTAACAACACTGAGTGGCACACTGAGTGGCCTCTTGTGCGCTCCAGGAATGTGGGGCCGTCAATAGTTTGGATCATGTTCAAACAGAGGGCGCAACATCTACTTTGAACTTTTTTAGAGGGCAAAGTTGTTCCTGATCAGACACGTTGGTGCAATGCGCCTGCCCCGATTTGGTTTATCTTGGGAAAGTTGCGTCACAGTTTTCCGTAAATCCGGAAGTAGATGGTTACTGTGTGGTGATAGTTCTTACAAACTGTTTGTCGACTGAAGGCCGTCAGTTAGGGCGTCGCATGCGGCTCTTAGGGTGAAGGGCCATAAACTCCAGTGCAGGAGTATACAATCGAGCTTTAAAGTGCAACTTTATCACATTTTTTCTCCTTCAGAATAAATGGAGCTACCAAAATAATTAGCTTCTTTTTAGTTTCCGTTGATGGGTCTGGGACTGGGAGGGGAGAAGGGGTGACCCCTTGGGGAGACTGCAGTTTTAGTTTCTGCGCGGAAGACACTAGAACTGTTGAGCTGCCTACAGATATATGCTTTCATTGGTATTCGTGCAGCAGAATGGCTAGATGACTATCTTGGGGAATTTTTTTAGTCGATCTTTGCGAGTCAATTCAGTCTCGATATTTCGGGGTAGGGGTCTGAAGGCGGTGCCGGCGCAGAAGCACACAAGGATTCAAGACGCCCTAAATACCACAGTAGAGTCATCAAAGGACGCATATTTTCGTTAGAGTAAGAAGCCTTCTTATGTGGTGGGCACAAAAGAACGCGTGCGGGCTGTGGGTTGCTTGCTTGCACAGAAGGCAGCTAGCAATAAGCCAAGGGCGCAGAGAAGCTTTGAGGCTACCTACATGCGAATATTTTAACCCCGTAGAAAGAAAATCTTATTCAAAGTAGATTTGGTTGGAAAAGAACTATATAGTGGAAACTAGAGCAGAGTAACTTATTTGCTCGTGAGGCACTGCCGACGGCCGGTTCAGATCAACGCGGGCCACCGATGCGGTCGGCAGCTAGCAAGCAGGCTGGGGAGTGGCCGCTTGTATTGAAGAGACAATCTAGCTCCGTACTGAAAGAAATTTTTGTAGAAAATATTCCCACCTATTCATTGGATACATTTCGCATGAGTCGTTGTCACAGCTGCCTGAAAATCTTCGCATCTCTGGGCCTCTCCTCTCTCCAGCCAGTATCGGACCGCTGAAACTTGAGCGCTTTCTCTTAAAAGTGGGTTGTCTAAGCAAAGCTCTGTAGTTTGTCCCCTTTTCAAGCTGCCGCAGGCTTTGATGCACCCCTAAGGGCAACATCATCCACGGTTCCCAGCGGACGAAAATGCAGTCCGACCAAGTCGGCGCACCGGAGGTTGCCTCCTTCTCCAAAACAAAGCTCATGGGTGCCCGTGTGGCGGCTCCAGGTGAAGTCCCTGCCCGCCACCTGCGGCTCTCAGATATTGATGAAGCGCACAGGTCCAAAAGTCCATCACGCCAGCCGGGTTACTGCGTCGATGAGCTCTGCACTTGTGGTCAGCACAAATGCGTGCCGTCCAGGCCGGCTGTTCCTTTCGAGGGAAACTCTGTCTATCGGCAGGAATATGGGCCTAAGCCCCTTCCTCCACAGTGAGTCGTCACGCACATGTACATAGCGAACACACTGGCCGGAGGGAAACGTAACTTTGCCACACTCGCCAGCGGCGCTCATTTGAGGTATGAGCAGGTTCATTCTGGCTGAACATCTTCCAGCTTTACTTCTCTGCATGCGAGAAGAGCTGCTTTTTAAGTTTGTGCTGCCACCGCTATTCGCAGGCCGCAACAAACCCCTGTCAAACTACCACCATCTCTGCCATTTGAGGGCGAGAGCAGTTATAGGACAGAGTATGGACCAAAGCCGCTTCCTCCCCCAGTAAAGCCTTCTCAAGTTACCCTCCCACCTTCACTCCCCTTTGAAGAGACCACCGCATACCGCAGAGACTTCGGGCCTAAGCCTCTCCCCCCTCCTGTCAAGCCAGCAGAAGTGAAGCTCCAACCATCTCTCCCCTTTGAAGCCAACTCATCTTACAGGTATGCATACTTCGTAGAGATAGGGCGAATGCTGCAGGTTGCCTAGCGTGTCGGCCATTACTCTTGGTTACCGTGCAACTCCAACACTTTAACCCTAAATTCAAAACCTTGACCAGAAGGCTTCCTTTCTTCAGCTGTTCCGAGAATTACATTTCTTGAGGTCGATGCTCCGTGATAATCCACTGCTTGTTCTTCAACGAGGCCATACATGCTTTTTATGCGGACTGCTTCTCTCAGATCTGATTATGGGGCTAAGCCACTGCCTCAGGTGGTCCCCCCCGCTCCTGTGACACTTCCTCCCTCTTTGCCGTTTGAGGCGAACAGCGCGTATCGCGAGGAGTTTGGGCCTAAGCCCTTGCCCAAACAGCCAGCCCCTCAAGAAGTGAAACTTCCTCCGTCTCTTCCGTTCGAAGGAGACACAGTTTATCGCTCAGAATATATACGCAAGGAAAACCCGGTGTGCCAGGTGACCCGAATGCCCCCGTATCCTCAACCGGAGTACCCAAACAACCACGTCTTCTGGGATAAGAACGAGAAAACATGGTACTAGAGTTCAATTACCATGCAAAGCCAGTTCGTGTCTTCCCAAAGAGGATGAGAACAACATGAAGATAACGCTGTAGTTGCTCAGCGGAGCAGACAGTGGATGGAATCAGCCAATGATTGGAGGCCATACGGATGGGTTATGTTACAATGGCTGCTTCACCTTTTCCTGTGAAGCAATGCTGGTGTCTTCGTTGGTGCGCCTGCATGAAAGCTTTGCCGAATCCTCTGCCCGGACACAGAGAAACCTCTCCTTGCTTTAGACTTCCAGCGTAGCTAGCTAGCTATCAGCTTTCTAGCTAGCTTGCGGGAATGACCAGACTTCCTACAAGTTATCATGTCTGTAAGTAGATAATCTCAGACTCATGGTGACTTCGGGATCAGAAATAACTCCTGAGTTTCGCTGAAGGTCACCTACATTTTGCAAAATGCACTCGGTAGAAGTTGATGCAACTATGCCAGAGCAGACCAATGTACGCACTTCTGGACAGCGCTGTGTTTGGGTTTTTCCCGCCGCTGTCACTTACAATCGTAATCACTTGGGACAAACGCATTTAATATAAAACTTTTGAGAGTTCACAGGTCCCACTACCGTGCTTTGCGGCGTTCACTCCCTTGTCGGGTCTCCGCTGCTGCCCTAGCACTCATATTCACTTGTTGGCTTGACTAGTCAGTTGTAATTACGGTTGGGGTGCCTTTTCGGTCATTGTGGCAGGGTGCTTCGTTGTCTTTTTCTGCCATAGCCAAGGGCTCGAAAGACGTTGTATTTTCTTGCCTCTGTGGGCTAGGAGGACTAGTCATGCTTTTCCAGCATCTCAAATTGTAGTTTGCGTGCGATATTACTCCCTCCATCAAGTACAGTGCAGTGCAGTTTGGCTCCATCATAGGACCACCGGAGTGCTGCGGAGCCACTTGACGTTCCAAGCAAGACCTTATTTCCGTAGCCAGAGGCAAAACAATGTATTCCAAGAAGCTGCACTGAGCTTGCGGCAATTCATCTGCCTTGCGGCGGTCACATAGCGGCGATATTGCAATGCCGAGCTTTTCCTCCAGGTCGCCCTGCAAGTAACAGCCGGCATCGTCGTCATGAAGTCCATTTGTGGGATGCTTGAGCAAGGAGCATCCAGGAAGGCGGAGGGCAGAGAGGACCGCGAAAATGCGGCAATCAAATTGCCTGCTGTAGCGCACCGTACCCAATTTTTCTCCCAAGGGGAAACACTAGGGCAACTCACTAGGCTCTTAATGGTGGACTGACCTGTTTATAAAACTCCTCATTAACTCGACAAGCCCACATGTAGTGTTGTTCCCAGGCAAGCATTGAATGCCCAATATCCCCTGTTTTGATTAGCAGCTTTGCGAGCATCCATTTATCTTCTTCATTGGAGCTAACAGAAAACGTCTGGGAAGCATTGCGTGCACGGAAAGATGAGAGAATAGGAAAGTGCTGCGCCATATCTGTTGCAAGAATCAAATCGATCACTTGTTTTCTTAACTGGCGATATGCGCTGGCTGAAAGCCCCTGCGTGCATCGTAGACAAAAACACCATGAAATCATCATCCACTGCAGGAAGCCTAGGCTCAAAAATGCACTCTTTCTCCTATGGCATGCCCTTAATTTAGCGACTTGTCTGCAAGCATGTCCAGGACATTTCAGCAAGTGCGCACTCTCAATATTCCTCCGTCCACCTCCGCTGTGGCTGAGATTGTCCTGAAAGTTATATATGCATGGTAATTTTCCAGAACGGCGTTATCGTTGTATACAAGAGCAAGAGACTGATTGGTTGACACGAGGAAAGCATTGTTAAGTCCGGGATGTCCAACATCATGACCCAGAGCTGCAACGCATATTACAACTTCTTCATCCAGTCCCTTCCAAGCGGTGGCCTGCGTTTCCGCATAAGCGTGAAAGCTGTTGCTTGGGAGCAATAATTTCCCATCTCGCGGCTGCCACTGTTTACCAGATGTGGTGCTGCCACGTGTAAACGTAAAATTCGAAGGGGCAGTTGTCAGCACCACTTCTGTGGGATTTCCCAGACGAAGCTGAACCATTTTAGAGAGCCCAGACATTCTAGCCAGCATTACGGACAGGTGCGCCACCATAGCCCCGTGTAGGCGATTGTGATATAGATTCGGGAGATATTGGTCTTGCAGTGATTTCAGAAAGGCGTGCAGCGCCAATGCAGTGCAGCTCAGGCCGCCATTTCTCACGTGGGGCAACAATAGTTGCAGTCCAACAAGCACTAGGCACTAAGTAGCATAGTTGAGCACAGGACACACAGAGCAACGTTTGGAATATAGGCCATTTTGCACATGGCGCAAAGGTATGGAATTAGTCTGTGGACACGGTATTGTTTGCTTGCAGCTAACAACATTGTGAATTTAATGATTTAGAAGTCCGAGTGCAATTCAAAAGCTCGTATTTGTGGGGCACTGTCTCACATTTCCGTCAGTTAGTTGGTCCAGAGCAAACATGTCAATGGTCCATTCGGCCCCTATGTTGCAAGCTGTGCCGCTGACAATTGGACTCTTGAGCGCCTCCTCAATAGCCGACTCTGTTTCCGCTGAATGCCCTCCCCAAAGAAGAGCAGCTTCTCCGGTGCGGTGTTGCGGGGTAATTTCCACTTCGCAATCCGCTTCAGCTCTCCAATCGGTCTCGCCAGCTGTCCTGATATGCTGCTGCGCATGGCTGGCGGGGGTTCCCATGCTATCGTGGTCTGGGTTGCCGCCGTGTATGCCTGTCCCATTCCGGTTGACTCCGATTTCAGTGGAAGAAGCTACTACTTGTGGGTTTGGAATATTCAATGCTGGACCTTGAGCCCTTTTGCTGGATAGTGTTTTTAAGGGATTTTCTGGGAGTGACTTCACTGCGTTATCCGAAAGTTCTCCGCGAGCGTAGCCTATGCTCCAGTTCGACGTGAGACAAGCAGAATCAACTTCAGGTAAGTTGAAACCTTCTTCTAGGGTCACCGTTAATGGCTGGAAAACAGCGGCTACTTGTCCTTGTGCTTCGCCGTGAGATGGCTGTGGCTGGGGAAGAGTTGCCGCTCTTGCTGCTGCAGTTGGAGTGCAACTGTTCCTGTTAGATCTTTCTTGTGGCAGATTCGGTGCTGGAACAACTTGCGCTTCATGTGTCCTCACAAATACTGAATCTTGGCGCACGTATGGTTCAATGAACTTCTTGTATAAGAGTTGCGTTTCAGGGGGCACTTCAGGTGAAAGCCAATTGACTGCATACATGTCTCTTCCGCTGGTAAGAACACCCAAGCACTTCGCTTGGAGGGCAGACACCAGCAAAAGTGTCTCCCTTACAGGCTTTTCCACGCCTCCAGGATCTATTGAGCTAAGCGATGCTCCCATTTGTTCAAGGAAGCCTACAAGCTGCTCCAGCATGTTCTTCCCGGTAGCGCGCTGCGATTTGTTCTCTTCTTGGATTCTCTCTAGCTTCGCAGAAATTGTCGACACGCTATAAAATGCTTTTCTGTGCATAAGCTCGCTCATATAGGCTCCAGCGTAGCATGAAGCTATGACCACTCCTGTTGCAAGCCCAACTGTCCAAGAGAAAACAAAGAATGAATATGGAAAATGAAGCTGGAGTCCTCCGACAGTACATGCCACCAGAAGTGCCAATAACAGGAGCAGGAGGAGCTTGTGGAAGTGGAATAGTTTGCGTCTCCTCACTAGGCACACTAAGTCAATCAGCACGCTTCCTACAATGCTCCTAAGGAATGTAGACGTCATTATGGTTTGGACGGGAGTCACAAGCGTCTGCATACAAAGAGCAGGATACCTTGGAAGCTCGGAATTCGCCATTATTTCGAGGCCACAGCGGCTTCAGTGCAAGCTTGTCAACTTTTTCCTCGCTCTCTAGCGCTTCTGCAGCCTGACTGTCCAACGAAACGTCATCTCACCTCTCTGTAAGTCTTTTCAGCGCGTTGTGGGTTGGATTCGAAGAGGACCGCTGCCGGCCTGATCGAGCTAAGCAAAGATGTGCCCAGCATGATTGTCACAGCGGTTCTCTCTGTGTGATGCTTTAAAACGGGAAGATATCCTGATGCTGCAAGCACTACTTGGCAGAGTACTTCGACCACGTCCAGTGAAACCAGGAACCATGTTAAGAAGTTAGCCGGGCCGCCAGTGCCAGGTTGGTTTGAAACTGTGCTGAATGCAACCAACTCGGCAGCGTCTCCAGTCGCTTCCCTGGATCTTAACATCGGAGCGGTGAATGTAATGATCCACTCCGGCATGTCGTACATTGTGTTCAAAAATATTGTTAGCAATCCAACAAGAACAAGGCGCTTCACGCGTGCTTTTCGGAGAAACTCCCCGTATGCAGACTCGATCTCTGGATCTTTAAACACTAGCGCCAGGTGGCGCTGAAAGTGAGGATCTGGTCCCTGGGCAAAGCTCTCCTGTCCATAAAATTTCGTATCTGCAGCACTCAGGGCTCGAACGGAATCGCGAGGCTGCTCCCTAGATATATGCGTTCGACTCTCAGCACTAGTTTTGCTCCTGAGCATAAAACAAGTAAATGGAAATTCAGAATAAAAATTAGGGCACGGGACATTAGTTTTAACAAGCATTACCGAAATCCCTGCTTTTTTTCACCTAACATCGAACGAAAAATCAGCTAGGACTACGGGCTACCAGCTTAGCAGTGTCCTAAGTACCAAAATGTTGAGGACAACCGGTCCTTCATTCGCCAGAGCAAACTATCTGCGTCTTGCAGTCCGTGAGTCTTCGTGTAGCCACTGCTCAAACCTCCAGGTGCCTCTGTGCCAGATACTGAAACTTCAAGTGCTGGGGCTTCACTGTCACCTGCCTGAGCATCTCGACGGAGGAGGAAGTCGCGTGGCTCTGCAGAGCAGGGTATGTCGCATTCAGTTGCAGATTCACACAGCGAAGAAGCAGGCAGCTGAGCATCAGGAGAAGGCTCTGTCTTCACATCACCCCACCGGACTCGGAATGAGGTGTAATGAAGGAAGTTTGTCCTCAAAGTGGGTGCACGTACGCCTGCTCTAGGCGTTTCAGTCCCATTCGGCCTTCGGAACGTTTCGTTGCCTACCTTAAGCCCAGCAAACCCTAGAGTATTCGTCTGATTCCGACTGTTTGTTCCTTCAAGCGTGCACCTTGTGTCTGCTGTCGGATTTGTGCTATTATCGGGGGCAACTGACGCATGCTGACTTGAAGTAGCATCCCTTGAACCCCTGTCTTCAGACTGAACAGAATGACAATGCGCGCTGTTTGTTACCGTTAGATGCTGACTCTCAAGTGCATCTTCAGGAATGTGGTCAAGTTTAAAACTTTGTTTTCCTTCCTGTGCAAAATTTGCCAGTGGTCCCTGAGGAAGCGAAGGATCGGCGCTGCAATCTTGGTGTCCTTCCGCAGGGTGAGTCCCACATAGTGGCCACCGTGGCGAAAGGCTGGCGGGTGCTGTCTGGTAGTTTATCCCGTTGCTATAGTGGCGAGAGCTTTCAGAAAGAGAGCCGGGAGGAGCGATAGGAGGGGTCCCTACCTCTGGTGAGTGACTGCGACTCAGTGGCGTTACCGAACAACAGGAATGACTTGGCTCTGATGTAACGTTCTTGCCATTTCTCTTCGCCTTAGCGGATGCTGCCGGTATGCAGCCAGAAGGAGAGGACGTTGTTTTTCTTGGAGTTGCCTTTGACACGTGAGTGACTGTAGGGTTTAGGCCAGAGACGAGAAGGCCTTCAACCCACTGCTTAAATGAGCGATAAGCCACAGCAAACCTTGACGATCCAGGTGTCTGGGAGGCAGGAGATGACCGACACGGCGTACTGCTCCCTGAACCAGTTGTTCGCATCGGGAAAACATCGCTGTGCTCTCCTAGTGGCAACCCGGGAGAGTTGGCCCGTCCAGTTTGCGCAGGTTCCCACATCGCAACAGATAGGGAGCCGCAGGGCCTGCGGGTACTAAGAGGAGAAGTTCACTTCTGGAGTCCCTACCGTGACATGGCTTCGTGAAGGAGGGGCCTGCAGAAAGAACTTAAGGCTTACGGGGAGCTCGCACAGACGATGCTTCCCCTCGAAAGTCGGAATGCCTAAGGGCGCGCATAAAAAGCAATAGCAGACCATGAACGTAGGGCGCATAAGAAAAAGCTTGCCAAAGAAATAATGTCTAGGAAGCTGAAAATGCGCCGTCCGCTGTAAGTATTCCACTTCAAGCGCCGAAAAGTTTCCTTTTTGATGCCGCATTTGCCCCGCCGAAAGCCGGCGATACTAATCGTCTTGAGTCTTCTAGATTCACCTCAGCTATTTCCTTTCCCCACCGTAAAGGGCGCTGGAGAAACCTCAGCCTCTCTTAGCGGCATTCTGGAAGTTGGGCATTCCGTCGTTGAGGTAGCTGGTTAGCATAGCAGATTTATCCTTATGATGCTGAGGACGGCAAAATTCGCTTGAACAACACTGAAACTTTCCCATCATTACAATTAATGTTTAAAAACAATTGGAGACTCCATATATGCATTTGGCCTCCCCGCTGCCGCCAGCCAGACGCGTATTCCGTGGAAGCTCTGGAGACGTAATGAGTCCCCAGTGCTGCCCCGTGACAGCTAGGGCAAATAAAATGAAAGTAACCGTCGAAATATCAACGCGTATCTTGTTAATAGTGTTTAAAATGCACACAAATCTAAAAATTTCATCTGAATTTCATTTGGATGTAACTTCTACATTTCCTACCCGCCCGGTTTGCGCGGGCAGGATGAAGGCTCAATTTCAAGGGAAGAAGAGCAAAAACCAATATTTTAAACCTTGAAGACACCAAAACAATACTCATACAAACCACTGCGCAGGAACCAAAATCAATCTTGGCGCATTTCTTCTCGCTATCGCTCTCAGGGTTCCTCGAACATGGTTAGCATCGTTTTTTTGCCGTGAAATCGCTTCTACATAACGGCTGCATCAGCGTGTGTCCATTTGCCCTAATTTGAGAAGACTTCACACACAACAGTTTCTGTGATCATTTAGCAGCTGATCTTCGCCGTCAATCGCTCCATTTCACGTAACAACGACGAATGCTGCGAACCGCGAGTTTAGGCCACCTTAAGGCGCTCCGTGTCTTAGTTCAACAGTTTTACCCTGCTTTATTAAAGTAGAATGCACAGTACTGAGGCTTTATCGCAATACAGAGCAATGATGGCCGCGAAGGTGCCAATGGTCTACAACGACAAAGGCGACGTACATAGCCAATGCTGGCGCGCTGCTGCAAGGAAGTGAGCGCAAGCCTGCAATTAACCACCAACCCAAAGCTCTTCTCAGGCGTGTAAGCTTATTACGCGCCTGCATCGCTTCGGAATATCTGAATAGCCTGCAGGTCAACTGCAAAGCTCCTCCGATATGTGGCCAGAAGCAGTGAAAAGCAGGAAGTGTACAGGAGCAACTCCAGAAAAGTGAAGACAGCTAGAGACAGTTGCGTTTGTTGCGGCAAGTAAGAAGATATTTCCACTCGCCGACGGCGATTTCAGCACCCCAAGTACGTCACCGCTGCATTTCTGGTTCGTCGGAGTGCAGAGGCACTGAACAGCTTGCCAGTGACATAAGTAAGAAGTACCCTAAGTTCTCCGCTATCATACACCTCTTTAGATGAAAAATGTAGGTCGCGTCTGCTGTCAAATAGTCCCACACTCCACCGTGTAACCAGCAACGTCTCGGTACCTAGTCTTGCTGGCTGGAACATTGGGCGGTCTGAGCAAAATAGATGAATCTATCAACTACGAGACGCCTTGTCTAAGTTCCTGCAGTCGTATTAATGGGTAGTGTGCACTGATAGTTAATTTTCTAGGAACAACACGGAAATCACATTAACACTGTCTTCGACAAACATGGTGATGCAAGTTCACTCGGTGACAGGCAGCTGGAGAGGGCTATAAAACTCCACAGGTCTGCAGCATTCACCAGTGCACACACAGTGGCAGTCACAAAATCGCTATAGCGAACTCACGGCTCCATTGGGTACGCCCACTGAGGAGTCATTGGTAAGTAGGAGACAGGTTGGTTCCCAGGTGTCGAAACCTGCCTAAAGCTAGAATCCTGTACAAGCAAGGAGGGTAATACGGCTTCCCAATGTGGGACTGGGTAAAAAGCTGTACCTGCAGTGTTGGGTTGCCACTATAGTAAAAGGGAGGAGTCTCGGAAGGCGTTAAGACTTGGGATATTCCTGCATGTGGTTGCTGCAACTGGTACTGCTGAGAAAATGGAGTAATCTGCTGTAACGGCGGCGCCGCAGCGATTTCAGAAAATTGCTGCACCCAGGACCCCCCTGCCCTGAGTTGGCCTTCACTGTCCGAGCTTGGGAGAGGGAGCGCAGCAGCGGTCTGCACAGCCGTCTGACCTGGCTGTATTTTGGGCTGCGTGCGACTGTAGATATCTGGTACTCACTGGGAGCTTCTCCGGAGGCAGGCCATACATCCTGACGTCTGCCTCCCGCTTGGAATCACTTAAAATCGCCAACGTGAGCCGCTTGAGTGTGTCAACACTTTCAGGCTTCAGGAGTTTCGTCAATGCTCGGACCTGGTGATATCCGTTCGTGCAAGTGGGTTCAACATTGGCTTTGCAACCCTTACTGATTTCTTGAAATCGTCATACTCCTCTTTGGGAACTTGAAACCAGTCTTTAAACGCACATATTGCCAGAGTTGGGACCCATGGTAGTTACCCTCAACAAACTTTGGCATTTTCGGCCCTGAAGGTGCACGAATTGAGCAACACTGGTGAAGTTCTCGGAATGGGTGCTGCATCTCTATACCTTCCGGTTCCGCCTTTTCACCTACACCTGTAGTGTCTGGCAGAACGAACCGAGGGGACTCGAGCAGACCGTCGTTTTCAATCAGGTGTCGAAAGTTGGCCTGGTGAGCCGACTCGATTCTGCGTGAACGCTGTGAAATTTCGGAAGTATCTGACACGATGAGCGGCAGACCAGCAACCGCAAGAATCCAGAAACGCATTTTCATATGGGGCTCAAACGAGCATGCAAATGAATATTTCGGCAGGACTCAAACCATTGCACGCATTGGGTGCAGTGCCCGCTTCTGTAGGAGGCAGAGCTGTTTGTACAGTCGACAGCAAGCTGACACAGGCTTCCATTGTTTTCGTCTGGCAGACGGCGAAAAGCGAAGTTTCAAGTTTACGTATCACCCAGATACGCTTCGGGGATTCAGAAATATTGACGAACATCCGAGTCAGGAGATCAAGCAGTTTACATCAATGGGTGAACGCCGTGCATCAACTTGTCTCATTGCTGTCACCGGGGTGGAGCCCAAAGCGGTTAGCTTTAACATCATGCTTCTTGTTGAGGAACGAGATAAGTGCATCTTCGAGCCTTGCAATATCTTTAGTGCCTTTTATAACTTCGAAGTTCAGAAGTATGCCTTCCGCCTCAAATTGACCTAGCATTGGTCGCGTGATCTGCTCGTAAAAATCGAGCCTGTTCCGTATTGCCTCTTCTGTGTCGTCACTGCGCGTAGTTAATGGAGCGTTTCCCTTGCAGTGGCTGCATTCCTTCGTCGGCAGTATGGGGGGCATGTCGTACGGTTCGTCACATATGTTGGCAACGTTGAAACATCCCCCACAACTACTGCATATTCTTCTTCCCAGGAGCTTCTTCAAAAGAATATGCCTTGGCACAATAAAATTGATGCAGGCATGAGGAGTTGCGAAGCCGCGCAGCAGTTCGACTTGCTGGAGAGTCCTGGGAAAACCGTCCAGGATCCAGGACTGCCTTTCTGGGTGGCTGGAGATGTGATCCTTACATATCTCAGAAGCCAATGTATCTTGAATTAGCAAACCGCAACTAACACGAGCCTTTGAGTCGCCGTTGAGAGTGCAGTTCGAGAGTTTTTGGCGGATCAAGTCGCCCAACGAAACATGACACATGCCCCATCGTCTTGCTAAAATCTTCCCATAGGTTCCTTTACCAGACCCTGGTGGGCCAGAAAAAATAAGTATGATGCCCTTCTGTACCCATTTAGGGTGCGGTCTCATTTTCAAATCTTCCGTTGGCGTCGAAGCCTGATGTGCCTAAAATTCACGTCCAAGCCAAAGTTCACCGACTGACCACGTTAAAGCCTTGCTAGGCTCCCTAAACAAAAGCATTTTGCACGAGGATTGCTGATGAAATGCTTTGCACAGCGCAGTGCTCACTGGATTCACCAGATCTCCTAATGCTGTCTCTCAAGTGCCATCAGCCGAGGACCACACGGAGGTACATTGTTGACAGAAAGCAATTTCGCATGTTTCATGTCCTAGGGCGTCCATTTTGGAATCATTGTCAAAACAACCAAACTACAGGAAGGAGCCAATTGAAGTAATATCTCAGGAGGGACGCATTTAAGTGATCTGTCAGGGGCCCCAGCAATCTGCATTATCACTCAGCCCCACAACTTGCCATCGTGTTCTTTCTTTGTCAAGGGTTTTCTGATGAATTAAGAAACACTAATCTAATCCGCTTTAGCAGCGCATAGGCGTATGGAAATGCACTGATTAGCGTCTAAGTTCCGTAGACCCTCTGAGGGCTAGTTGGAGCAGCTGCGAGCTGTCCGTCTGAACAAAATCACGGCGACGTGTGGTAAAGCATGACTAAGCGATTTCGTATCAACAATGTACCCTTCTGTGCCTTCTCCCGAGGCGTCTGTAGAACTTATCAACGCCTACTGCAATGAAAGACACGAGGGCAAGCTCGTGTGTTCTATTGAACCGGTCAAGGGCCGCACGCTGCGTGCGACGAGGTCGTTCAAGGTTGGCGAGCTCATCCTCGAAGAGCCGCCGCTGCATGCAGTTCGCCTTGACCCAGAAAACTCTGCCTGTAAAAAGCTGACTGAGCTATGTGAAAAACGATCGTTCACCCATCCAGCAATCTGGTGAGCAATGCACATACTCAGCATTCCGCATCATCACTTCTGTTCACTGTCACATCAAAATCGCACAGACTGGATAGAAGCTGACAGCTTGAGGCAGCTGCTACTGTCCAAGTACAATGCCAAGGCGAATATGATGCTGTTTGCTTAGGTACTGGTGCGCACTGAATTCAGTTTTAGTTGAAGGTGACCCTTCGGTTGACGGCCTCCAGACTATAACGCGGCGTCAATGGGACCTCCTCCGCATTCTCTTTATTCCAGAAGCGGTGCAGCCAAGCTCAGAAGGTACGTTTCTCAGGTTTGCGGACCTCGTATAGATACGACGAGTTGTAGTGCTTGCAGCTGCCACAGCCGCTCCTATGTGTGCGGATGCCACTCGCAGCCATCGCTCTTGTCGATTACATGGGTCTCCGTGGAATAGTCAAAGATATAGACATGGAGATAATGATTCAAGTAAGGCGCTGTTGCAATTATATCATCAGCAAAGACGTGTGCTGGACTGACAGGCGTGTCGAGCAACCACTGCCGCCTTTGTTCACAGGTGTGGCTGCATAACTGCTTTGAGCATCACCAGTCCCCTGAAGGATACGCCATTTATTTTATGCCTTCTTTTTGTTCGCACTCATGCATTGCGAATGCTCTATGGTGCACGGATAACGACTCAAACTTTCGATTTTTTCCCCGAGCCGAAATTCGGTGAGCCGAAACATAAGTAAGGCTATGCACCTCATATTGCTCTTCCATTTATTGCATTAGTACTGACTGAGCAATGATATGTGGATGGGACGCATTAGAAGCAAGTGACAAGGAAATGCGTAGAACGCTGCGGGCGGGGAGTTGGTGCATTGTCGCGTTGCCAGACGTTCACCGGGCCACCGCTATGTTCCGACCCCCAGCCCGCAGCGTTCTTGGCGCGTTGTCGCGTTGCCAGTCCTTCACTGGTCCAGCGCTAGGTCCCAAGGCTTTTGTCGTCCCGGCATGATACACTCAGTAAATCTGCGTCTGGATATGCGCTTGATTCTCCACAGGGCTGGAGATGAAGTGACGTTGACTTATTTGTCAGAGGATGACATGTTACGCAACACCTCATACCGTCGTCAACTGCTTGAGGGGGCAAAGGACTTCAAGTGCATGTGCGAGAGGTGAGAATTGAGCGTAGGAAAGGGCTCTGGGATGCACTTGAAACTTCTTACTTAGCGAGTTCGTCCTCTTCGGTACGCTTGACCCTGTGGCCATCTTTTCAGATGCGTTGCGCCGGTCGACTTCTCACGAGGTTTTCGCTGCCCTAGCTGCCTGGTGGGCGTCATTTATGTCCAGTAAGACATACCCTTTGTTGCATATCATCATATGGAATTAGATACGGAACATATTTCGGAACCGAGAATGTTGATTACAGCTGGGATCTCATTGCTCATGTCTGAGCACCCCATTGTCACCACAGCGCTTTTTCTGAAGTGCTGATGTGTTTGTGAGAAGCGCCGACGAAACGGGCTGCGAGAAGGACTTTGGCGGGGCTCTTCTGGAGCTTCAGGAGGAGGATAAGCCAATGCTTGAGGAAGCAGAATCGACTTCGGCCGCCGAAACTACTTCAGACTCTCCCATACCAGACGAGAGGGGAGCCGACACGTGGCGGCAGTCTCTGGCGCCGCAGAAGCTCCACTCTGAAGCACGAAGCGGCCCCTCAAAACTGTTGCCAGAAAACCAGGGCCAAGAAGGCTCGTGTAGCATCACACCGTACACAATATGGGCTCGCTTGCTTACCGAGCTGCCGGAGGATAAGTTGTGTGTCCGTGTGGAATCTTCGACTAGTGAACTTGCTTGCGCTATTTCTGGATCAGCAGTACATCAGAGCAATTTTAAGCAATCTCTGAGCTCCGTGGTATCTTCTGAAACTCCCGCTTTAAGTAAGGTTATTTCGGGTCTCCGTTTTGGAAAAACAAGCGCGCTGGTTTCACCGGAAGCAGTTTCTCAGGTGCTGCAAATCCCACGGAGCGGCTGCTGTTGCGTTTGCCACTTCACTTGGACGGACAAGCAGCGGCAGCGTGCATTAGCAGTCGAAAAGATCTTAGAAGATCTTGTCGTGAGCCTGGATGAAATGGAATCAAACGAATCTCGCGAACAGTCGCCCACAAACAGCCTGTCAAGTGAATCGGGGGAATTGGAATATGCGCAGCGGCAGTCTGCTGAAGAGAGTGAAGACACAGGTAACCGGGTGGCCTTCACAAGTAATGTTTAGTTAAATGAGGGTGCGGGTCTTTATTCAGATCAACCGCGTTGTACAAGGAGCTGCAGGTGCTCATCTTGCACGCTGAATACTTGTTCATTTGTTTGTTGCTATCAGTGAAATTGTGTCTTTGAGCAGATGACCGAGCCCACCAGATTTTGCACCGCATTAAAAAACGTACGTTGCTTCAGATGCTGAGGAAAAAATGGCACTTACTGGAAAAGAGCGAGAGATTAGTTGTAAATTCCATTATCAGGCTCACCTTCAAGACTCACTGGTATGTTGCTGCCCAGCTTCTACCCCTCACATACGCTTTCGAGCTTTCCGCAGTCACTGACTCCTGAATTTTTAAAAATGGAGATTTCTTGTCTGATGGGAACGTTTCGGGTGTTTTTCGTGACTTCTTGGCTGCTTACGACATACTGTGCCCTTGCGTAATATGCACACTGTTCCCTTCTTTCTCAGGCTCGCTGCACAGTGGTATCGCTTCCTAGAGTCAGTCTCATCCCCGCGTCGTAAGCTGCCGCAGCTTGACCGGCTCATCTGGCAATTTCGAAATCTATATCCTGGACTCACGCCGGCCCTAGCATGGGCTATCTGGGACGTTGCGCAGGCGCTGCTGTCAATAGGGGTGGGGTCACCGATTCCCTGTCCAGAAGACCCATATGGGTGTGGTTTACGTTCGTACAGTGTAGTAAAAGCTGTCAGGTACCAACAAGTTGCGTAATATATAATGGGGCTTTATGCGTTCCCGCCTGATTAATTGTAGGAGAGCTCAAAGGTAAAGAAGTCGGCAAACTTCCGACGCCTCGCCGACTACTGCATCATCAGCTCATACAACGAGTCGGTTTTCATCCTGTCCATTCTTTTTGGGCCAGATGGAACATTTCCCTCTTCTATTGTGAACAACTATGCTGCCGCTGTAGAGGAGTGCATACAGAGGATTGCAGGAGAAAAAGGTCCAAGCGCACTGAGTGCATCCGACTCAGGGACGTCGGACAGCAACTTCGTGGCACTACCGCAAGATATTTGTCTTCCAAAGATGTTGCCGTGGTATATTAGCCCGTGCGCGGAGGTTGCTGTAGTTACTTCAGTTGGAGTGACTGTGGTTCCAGGCAGGTAAGCAGATTGCGCATTGACCATTTCTGCTGTTTTGCCCCCCTCGTTCAGTTCGCGCCTCACGGCTCGTTGCTTGGAGTGGCTTGTATGGAGTGGCAATGCATTACATTTCATCCGTCCGTAAATGCGAACACTAAGGGCCCGGGACCATAAAATTCACCTCACTCTGGTGCATTTTGCGTGCTGTTGCAGCGTCCTCATAAAAGCTTACGGGAAGACGAGCTAATGATTGGATGTGCTGAATGGAGTTCTATAATGAGAAATCCTTACTACTTGCATTGCAGCAGTGGTGGCCGTTGATTTGGTCGTTCTGCAGCCCCATGCCGTGAACTCCGGCTTTAGTTTCCCCAGTTATCTGTTGCGTAGACAGCTCACTCATGCAAACTGTCTATCAACAAAATGATTGTACTGGCATTGCAAAAGCTCCACAGAAGGGCTCTCTGCTGGGGCCTGGGTTTGAGACATTTTTGGGGTTGAAGGCACTAGGTGTTAAAAGCTGCGTTGAAGTTGCTTTTGATTTGACTCCAGTCAATTAATTTCGTGGACAGGTACAAACGTTGCTTCCACTCAAGTGGAAGTGCATAACTTTTTTCTCACATTTTGCCTGATAGGTGAAGTCAGTACAACTAGCGTCTGCCCCGTCGCTTCACAAACCAACGGTGCAGCAAGCCTTCCAGCATGTTGGAAGCTTCAAAACACTCGCCCCATCACTGTGGCAGTTCAGCACCTTCGGTGCTACTTGCGAGGATTGTACCTATCGACTTCGCAGTACTCGGCTGGCGTGGGCAGTACTCGGCGTGTGTGGGCAGTACTCGGCGGGCGTGAAATTCAAGCTGGGCACGCCTCTTCTGCAGTGTTGATTGTATGCTTCCAAGACTTTAGCTGGACTCACATTCAGCAAGGCTGTTGGACAGCGTTAAAACGCAATATGGCATGAGGGAATTCTCTAATTGGGCATTGATAGAGCAGTATTGTTGATACCGTACATATCAAGCCGGAAACGTCACTGGGACTCTACAGCAACTAAGAACTACACGTCTGCACGTGGTGGCGCACTGGTCAACCAACGGTGTGAGATGCACACGAAAATGCTTCTGCGAAACATGAACCGGTGGGCAGTTGCTGCTTCATTGCCATTGTGCTTCTCTTCCCACAGTTTTGAGTTGCCTTCAGTCCGGCATGATATGGTGCTCACCCTTCAAAAATACGGGCAAGACGTTGTAGTACTCACATATGCATACAGGCATCAGTGAATGATTCCGTTCGCTGCGAGATGCTGAATAGTTCAGGCGAGCATCAGCCTCCGCGCGAGCAAGTAAATACTTCCGCCCATAGCGGAACACGCCTTGCAACTGTACATAGCAGACGGCACGATGCGCTCCTTACATCTCACCTGCCAGACGGCAGAACCTCCTAAACGCCAAGACAAACGAGGTTCTGCTCCCCAGGAAAGGGCAACGAGCACACGCATGAGTCTGGGGAGCACGAGCTCTTGCTTGTGTTTCAACGTTCGGCTGTTACATCCCCACTGTGCAGCCTTGGCACGTTACTTCTGTTTGGCGGGTATAAGCTTTAAAGGTCCTCTTCTGTCCCAATGCGATCACTTTCCCGGAGTAGCACGCAAACACTTGGACCTGCATGGTAGACGCCACGTGTAGAGCATTCCCCCAGATTGTTTTCGAGTAAGCATACTAGTCCTGGAAGCCCCTTCTATAGTCAGCGCCCACAACTAACTTCTGGAAACGGTTGGGGCAAAACAAAGCCGTAGGGCTACCGCCATAGCTGCACTGTGCAGCAGTTACCCTTTTACTAATCCTGGCAGCTACCTATTCCTACGCTTCAGACACACGAAATGCACGCCGACGGAATCACTAGACCCTCACAAAAGCTAAAAGGCTGTTCGGAGCGTCATAGGCAAAGCAAGGGCAAGTAGGCAAGCAATCGGAGCACGCCTGTCCTTCGTTATTCTCCTGTCCGAACTATAGGGTAAACGGCAGAGCCCACACTCTTCCGTTGCTAGTTACGTGAAAAAATATGAGTGACGATGAACAGGCAACGAGTAGTGTAAGGCTGACGGTTTATAAAATGTGATACACAGAAACCTATGGCAGCGCTATCTAATAAATGCCGCCCCTGAAGTAACTATGCAACTAATGAGCAATCAAAACCTCCAAAGTCTATTCAGTCGCTCACATATGGGTTGCCACATGCCTCCAAATAAAATGACATAAAACAAATATCACGGCGAGCAGCTCATTCAACGTATTTTGGCCCGACGTTGTGGTGGGTATCACGAGTCGACATTGCTCCACAGACACCCGCTGAGAAAAGGACCGGAGACAAATATCCTTCACTGCTCCGCCTCTTGCAGAAGCTCTGACAAATCAGCACCTGGATCAATTTCCTTCAACTTGAGAAGGATGCGAAGACAGTGGCTCATGCTTTCCTCGCTCCCCATGCCTTCGCGGATCAGACGTAGTGCTGGTAAGAGTAGTTTGGGTGTGTTCTCACTCAGTTCGCAGGCTTCTTCAATTGCGTCCTTCATTTTGTCCAAAATACCTGCTAAAACATGGGCTCACCAAAACCAGCACAGAACAGCATATGCAATATGCTCTGTCTCTCGGATTGGCCGCGCAGTTGCAGATCTCTGACTTGAGAACCCATAGTTCTACGCGCCTGCATCAACCTCCTTGGAAGCTATTGTGGGCTTACGCGATGCGATGTATCGTTCCGTCCCGGTTATAAGTTCGCAAATAAGCGCGTGAACAAACGGCTCGCTTGCGCCATGCCTTTCGGCCAGACCATCCAACAGGAGCTCAAGGTACTCCTTAAATCCCGACCTCAATGCAGCTTTCCGGGCAAGCTGTAGAGCAGAATTTTTTATTTCCTCCTAAAAACAGAACGCACAGTAGTGGTTAGCCATCTATGCACTTTCGTACTTGGAGATCGACGCAATGGCTCTGCTGAGAAATGCACGTACTCTAGAAATTTTTGACGTGTGAGCACTACTGTTCTTACTAGCACAACGTCAGCCTTCTGCTCCTTGGCAGTTCTTTCTAACACTTTCTCCAACGCCAGCTTAATATTCCCCCAATCACCGTCTGAGCCTGTCATCGACGCTAAGACATGAACATCCAAGAACTTCTGTAGTGCTGAGCGTTTCCAACGATCAAAACCTCCATCAGATGTAACCCACTGTGTTGCTGCTCGGACAGAGTTAACAAGTGAGATGGGAGAGTTGTTGTCCTTTAACTCCCATTCTTCAGTTAAATAATTTGTCCAGGGTTGTTCGCGCATTGGAGGGCTAAACAGTCGTTGCAGGAATATGATATTTTCCGTCTGAACAACACAACACTGACGACCAGAAACGCTAAGTGTCTACAGCCTTCGTGAACGGCATTTTGCTCATCCACCGTGGAGTCTTACAACTGGCTTGATTTGCCAAAGAAACTGTATTCCAGAGACCCCAAGCTTACATAATCGGATGGCAAACAGTGCCTGAGATCGAAGGACGCCAGCGCCCTCATCGACTTATTTACGGCATCGAGGCCTTCTGCGCACATGCGGCTCCGAGCTAAAATTACGCTCGACTGGTCGAGGAAGTCCTGCATCAGTAATAGCTTCGCCACTGGAAAGCTGCCAAGGACTGCCAAAGTACTTGCGGGGACGTCGCCAAATTGCTGCTTAATAAGCTGAAAACAAAATGCCAAGCCTACCAGACAAAATATGAGATTGCAAGTGGCAGATATTTACCACAATGCGAATAGGCATTGCATAATGCGAGGGAAACGGCAACGCCAGTTGCCCTGTGAACATTCCTAGAAAGCCAAAAGCTCCTGTCTCACGTCTCTAATAAGCTCCCGAGCTGCAAAAAAGTGCTGTTGCACTCCCTTTGACCCAGTTTCATCCTCTAATGACGAGTTGGGGCGTGTGCAGTATATGTGCACGTTTGCCTGCATAACGCATGAGCCTGCTTTCGAGCGAAGGAAAGACCTGCAAAAGCTGTAGTCAGTTTCCACCACCACGACGTTTTTAGCCATCTGAAGCATACAACGCAGGGTCACCTCACCAAAAGCGAGGAATAAATTCCCAGTTGTCTGTGCCTCCGCCCAAATGAAAGAATGCAACCCCGGAAAAGCAGGCTGTAGTACAACGCAGCATTCCCCTTTCTGGTGCAGCAGCTATTGGTGAATGGACGTTACTAACTTTTGAAAAAGCATGCACATGGAGCCCTAAGCCCAATACAACGACTGTCGATTCTTTTGCCGCATTGCCGAACAATTCCAAGTGCTTCTTGAAATTTCTCAGTGTGCAAGCCGTGCACTCCATGCATCTTTGCCTCAGCATTTCCGTCGCCGCTGAAACGATATCTTCTGAGGTGGACACGCTATTGAGGCGTATACCTGCAAAATGAGACGCCCACATATGCATGGAGTAAAAGCCCTAAAGCTTCACTGGGGCTGACCTCACAAACTAGCCATAACAACAAGTGCAAAGGCTCTGTGAGCGAGCAGGTACCTCATATAGTCCCACAGCTTGTGAATGACATCGAGCGCACCTGTGCTTTCTTCTTGATTCGCCATGTTATTCAGCGCATTCGCGAAGAGGCCGTCTTGCTCAGACAAAAGCAACATGCATTCTTCGTCCGACGTAGATGAAGCATCATCCTGTAGAAAGCTTGTATTTCTCGTATTCGTAGATTTCCCTGTGTCGTCTACGGTACACCTCCCTGAAAACAGATAAGTGTAAGCTACTACCAACTATATATGCTCTAGCCACAAAATAAGAACGGCAGTCCTTTGAAGACAGATCCTGCTCATACGCCATGGCACTCTACGTCACTCCTGTGTTCTGTAGCGCCCATTGATTGTGACCAAGAGCACAACGCACAGAGGTGGGCCGGCCTACCAAACGAGGGATGTTCCTGTTGAAGCGTTTGTGTGGGAGGAAGTGCATCCGTCAGACTAGCGATGCTAAGCAGCAGAATCCCGCAGGAAAACGCTGCTGAAGTGCACATTTTGGCTCAAGTGCAACCGTAGCATAGCGAGCCGCTACCAAGGGTAGTCAGGGCAAGAACCTTGAGGACCAAATGCCCCCTAGCGCACTTGCTGGTGTGGTCACACTCAAGTCAATAAATGCTCGCTAGTCCTCACAACATAGCCAAGCCGTCATTACGGGGAAAAAAGCGCGAGCTTAAGGGCAGAAGCAGTGACATCAAAGCAGTTTAGTAGACACTGTCGTGGCTTGACCCCTTTGAATCGACTTGACATCACCCTCTTAACGTGACGCCATCCAGGATGTCGAAATCGATATAGGTACAAAAAATGTGTCTGAAAAGATGAACAGCATATGCCTGGCCTGACAAAAAAGCACAAAATGCATGCTCAAAAGCCCTGCGTACGCGTCGATCCGTGACTGACTGGATAAACAGCAGCCCCAGCAGAGTCGTGGATGAGTGGATTACGTCAGCCAGTACACCTGTATTAATTTCCTTAAGATAAATAATAGCCTGTAGTATCTACGTACAATGTAACACAGCATTTCACAGCATTGTTTCGTAATATATTTCAGTGCTAGCTAGGATTCCATTGGGGATGGATGATCGGCCATATTCCCATGATGGGCGTCTGCAGAAAAGAGCAGCGACTGCAATATTCTGTACCATCTGCTATGATAAAATTTCCAGAGCATTCTGTTGTAGTGCGCTCTGCAATGAAAACAATTGCTGAACGCCGCTATAATTGTTTCGAGAACTCTGCTAGAAGTGGCAAACTAGCTGGTACTCATCCTAAACAGAGATTTTCCGATTAGCAATGACATACATCGGAACAACTAAGGAAGGTTCAAAAGCCGATCACAAGAAAGGGGTAGGCTCCAGCAGTAGTCTCCCCTAGTAGGGCAAAAGGGACGAGCGACGATAAACTGTGAAGAAGGGAAGGAACGCCTTTACCTACGAGTCGGCATGAAAATAAGAGAAAATTCTGTTTTCTGTGCTCAATTTCTGTTGTTTAGGGGAAATAACTTCTTTTGGGACCCGTTCCGCGTGGTCTTCCGCAGCACAAGAGTAGAAGCGCCTCGTGCCTCATGACAACCCGTTTTACCTTCTCGGCTGCATCTGCATTACTCGGGTAGCCCCATAGAGGAGGCCCAGTCGCAGTTCCACGCATTTTCATGCCATATTAAATATGCCCGCTAAGGTCATTTTCTTCTCGAAGTGGCCTTCAGTGAAGGCGCACCACAGGAGCTGCAGAGATCCAACACCCAGTGGCACCAGCACTAGCCTGCAGACCACTTTCACCTCCGTGCAAAATTTTGTCGTGCATAGACTACGGTGCCGCAAGCCTCCCGGTACGCCTTTTCACCGGGGACAGGGTTCAGGGAGAAGTGAAAAACTGATAAGCATTTCATGGTCCAAGGGGAATCGGGCGTGAAATAGAAATGTTCGTATGCTTGGGACAGCTGCTCACGAGCAGTACCGGAGGCAGTGCTCCCTCCGGGTACGGGGCATGCCGTAGTCTGTGGATGGTGCAATAACAAAAGTCAGCAGATTCAGAATTTTCTGCCGCAGCATACAGCGAAACTACGCCAAATAGCTGGCGGCACTGCTAAGTTAGTGAAGGCCTTCCCCTCGCCTGATCAAGGGGCAGCCATAGTGCAGCGACCAGAAGAAGTCGTACAAATCGTACAATAACTGCTCAAAATAAAAAGGGCATACGCAAAGAAAGTTTATTACTTAGCCACGTGAGCGGAGTCAGCGCCCGTTCGCAGTTGGCTTTCCTATGCAGACTCCGCACGCGTTCTGGTGCGTGGAGTGTGAGAAGCCGCCAAGATCTGTGAATCAGTTGTCGATATAACCCGGTTCCTGTTGATAATACATTACAGAAGCTGCACATTGTTGCTGGGCACATACAGCACAAGAATAACGCAGGGAGAGTTGGCGCGGTACGCATTTACATTTGAGCATTTGCTGTAGTTCACCGAAATGGTTAACGGTGTAGTGCTCCCTGTCAGGAGGGAAGTGCTGAAATTTAACACCGCTTAAACGCTGTGCCTTTTTGGTACTTTGCTAAGCATTAAAAATAAGGATTTGAGTACTCGGCTCCTGAAAGAAAGTCGTAGGCTCTGCAGTGATAGTGGCTGTATTCCGTGGGATATTTCGTAAATTGAGTCTCGGCAAAGCTGCAGTCTCCATTAGTGCGCAGGTGATGGAAGATATCGCTACTGTCGTATACGGGAGAAACGCTGCATCGTCCCTTAAAAAGTGTTGGTGCCCAAGAGACTACTCGAAATACCCCATGAGCTACGACGGCAAGTGAATGCGGTTGCAGGAGTTACTGTTGTAGCTGCAACAGAATGGATAATGTGTGTTGCAGTTGTTTAAACGATTTGTTAAAACAGCGGAGGGCACGTGCCGCTAAGATAAGCGCACTGGCCACTGGACCAGTGAATGCGTTAGCAGACATACGAAGCCAGAAGGTGAGAAAGATAACTAAACCGAAACCACGGAAGCGAGAATCAGAGGAGCCTGGGGAAAATAAAGCTTACGCTATGATGCGGTATACATCAGTCTGCAGTACTTTTGTGGCTATTGCAGCGTAGGAGGTGTAGCGACGGGAGCTCCAAGCAGACAAAAACTCAAACGTGCACGGAAAAAGCGACTCAAATGGCCTCTTGGGAGGGAACGAGCAAAAGGCCGAAAGCTGAAGCACTAAAGGGATTGCAATAATGCGGGACGAGCTTATTTTATCTAGCGGTCGCGGGTACGTGTTTGATGCTGAGCCAAACGTGGCTGCCGATTCTCACTTGACGCCACACCGTTTGCAGTCAGTGTACGCCTTCTTTTTGCAGTTGAGTCACCGACCGTTTGTTCGCCTAACGTGACTCTGTGCGCGCTCACAGAGTTGCTAGAAAAGTTTGGCCAATGAGTGCTTAGGGGGAGTGCTAAGGAGCCGACTATGTTGGAAATGAACACTTTGGGAAATCAAAGGCAGCGAATGACACAGTCAGCAAGAAGTTCAACAGTGTCGCTGCATTAACTCCCGCACAAGTCCCGCTGTCTCCCTTGCCTGGTCCACTTGTGGAGAAGCTTCTTCTGATTGTATTCCTAGCCTACCTCTTTGCAGGGTTTCGTAGTGTGTTTTTAGACAAGCTTTCGGGGTATCGAGGCCCTCTGCTATCCTGCACCACTAGGTTTGCAAACGCAGGAGATTCTGTTGCTTGCTTGCTCGTCTGCAAATATCACGGGCCCTTTCTGCTAGTGCATGGCTAGCTCATACCTAGAGGTTCATGAACTCTGCTGATGGGTCCGAGGAAAGTTGACTCCGGAGCAGCCGTAAGAATGCAGCTAGCTAAATATAATTTGGTTCCTACGTGCCTATTCATCCGTCACTCTACGTTTGTCTATTCATACTTAACAATGAGCAGTAAAGACGCATTTAATGCATTATAAATGTCGAGATATCGTAATTGCAGGCTCAAGCCCAGAAGCGACGCGTCTGCTTCTTCCTGCGTGAGCGTGGTGAGCAACCCAGCTCCAGTTGCTGTTGACAGCCCCAAATCGCAGGCCTACTTTCAACGCACACTGGGTCTAAAGGCCCAACGACCAAGTTTCTCTGCATGGTGATTACTTCTGGTTATAACTTCAATCTAGATACTGCGAATTTGAGACCCAGAAGACCATTTCTGCGCCGTATTGTGGTGCTACGCGCTACACGAGGGCAGCAACGCCACTTCACATTTAGCGACGAACGGGAGTGGCGTTCAGTTTTTCCATATCTAAAACATGACTTGATAATGTATGAAATGCAAGTTTTGTAGGGGGTGAGGTAGTGCTGTCGTAAACTGCTAGGCTTAGGAGATGTGCGTAGGGGCCTAGCAGAGCTACATGCATTATACGAAGGATGATATATGGCATGCAGCATTCGAATATGGAAGGCGTCACGAATCCTCAGAGGGCTTTGTGCGCTCTTCAGGGGAACCTAGAGGGTCCTGCATGACCACTGCACGCTCTTGCGGGGCCTGAGGCCTGAATCGCTGTTGGAAAGCACGTAAGCCACCTTATAGAAACAATAATATAATGGGGTGGTTGGGTTGCGAGTTGAAAGGCATTATGCCTCATCAGGAACGGCAGTACAATTCTTCCTAAAGCAGCTAAACTTCATGAGTAGGCTCTCAGAATATTTTCTGTGTCCCGCAATAATGAATTGACTATACGCTAGTTCATGAACAATAGGTAGAAGAGCTAAAGCTTCTATAAACAAACCACGAAATATATCATATGCTGCAATATTTTGTGTACGTAGTAACGTGCACCGTTTGCGTGCTCAGATTTGGCGTGATGAGGAGTTTCTGCAACCCCAGTGCACAGGCTATCCTGTGCCAGGGCATAAAGGCCTCCTCACTAAAACAAACAAAATTACTTCACACGCGTGATTGGCACCCAACAAGCCAGCACGGTCCCTGGTCGTGTTGCCTGTGCTATGACCACTTTGGGCGTCATCTCCCCGACATGACCCAGAAAGGCAGTACTTCGTGCCACAAGTAAAGTGCCTGATTATTCATTAGGCAATCTATTGCGCTCATGAAATACTTGAAGACCAGGCTCTCCAGCGGTATTCCAAGGAAGCCACTCGTGTGTGTGACAGCAACGTAGAGGGAGCAGTTAAGGCATTTAACTGGACCCCTGTGTGGAGTTAGAAACTACGACACTGAGTACACACCAAGATGGATTCTTCAGAAAAAGCACTTTTTTAAATAATTAAGGTGAATTCGCAGCGGAGCACTACTTACAACGGTACGTCTTAAGAATATCCGATACAATATGCATTCCTCTGCTCATCAAATCACGGCATTGATCGCACAAGGAACACCAGCATACCACTGACCACTTTTCAAAACTGTTTCCAAATCTGCGCACATTGCTTCCATGCATGAAGGACAGTAGCGCAGCGCTACTCCAAATCTAGTCCCCCTCTCAGAAACACTGCACGGTTAGCTTGGGCTTCGAGTCTTTGCTGTCTGCAGCCATTATGTTCCCTATGTGTGCATAGTTTAGATATCCCCGTGTAGTTCAGACACCACCTAATGCGGAAGTCACGCTCAAATTTGGAGTGGAGCCTATGAGCATCCGTGGCCCCGTATAGGCCTTCCACCCCACTTGTGTGACAACTAAACCATAACGGCTAGATAATTCATGATTGTGCACTCCACGTGAGTTTATTCGCATAGTTAACACCGTATGAATGGTTAATTGCATGAGCTTTTCCCGTGTAAGTCTGTCCTCCAGTTGCCGTTGCTGCATGCCTCTGGCCGCTGCTGCTGCAGGCGGGGCCACTGCCACCGTCCCCTAGACGAGGGCAGGCTGTCAGTTGCAACTACCAAACGCAGCTGCTGTCAGCAAGCAATGGCTGTCAGGTGATTGGCAGAAGGCCATCCAAATATTTGAGTTTACCGCTTACGCAAACATTTCAGTCTCGTCGGTGCTGGAGTTCTCTGTTTCCAACTTCAGTGCCTCGCTCAGCTAAGCCGTGGCCACTGCGTCTTTTGTCGGCCACCTAGCTGAGGTGTCTGGTGGCTGTCAGGCCTTATATGACTTGATTTTCCGAGAGATTACTTTGAGTTTTCAGTGTGACCCACCTCTAAGCTTGAATACCTCGTCTTTTTGCGTCGTTCTACTCGTACATTGCCCCGGTCACCGACTGGATGCCACACGCTTGCCACGACCACGTGGGCTTCTTGCGTGATTCCTTGCCGATAAATTATCTTTTTGTGTTGCTAAAAAATATTTGGGTTGCTCTGAAAATTCATTAAAGGAATCGTGTCTCCTATAGGAACAACATCAATCATACCTGGACGTGGCAGTGGTAGCTACGGTTGTTACAAGCTTCACCACTGATCACAGCAACCCGTATCTGTGTGCACATTTTAGATCGTTGTTTTACAGGGCGCTTGCCGCGACTGTTCAGCTCTTTTTGTGAGTCAGGCCTGCATTACGCAGTACGCTCACTGACAGGATGGACGTGGAGGCCAAAATGGCGGAATCCAAACCGCGAAACTCTGAACAGGCAGCAGCTACACTAAGGGCATGGCGTGCTTGGCGCTCAAAACACAGAATGCCTTTGGAGGAGGCTCTGAAGAACCCAGAGGCATGGCGTCTCTACAGAGAAATGCTGCAGCACAACGGGACAGCAAAGTCCGACATCAGCACCTACGAGGAATGGCTTGAAAGCACTAAATGCACTCAGCGCTGGGTAGAGTGGAAACGCTGCCATCCAAAGCCACTGCGTGAAGTGTTATCAGACCCCGAAGGCTGGGAGCTGTTTTGTGCGATGAAACGAGAAAAAGGTATCACGATCGCTTCAACTTACGAAGAGTGGCTACAGCACCAAGACCAACGGCGAAGCGCGGCATATGAGTCGTGGGTACAGTGGCGCCGGCAGCACCCAGGTCCGCTGACCGAAGTGCTGGCAGACCCGGAAGGGTGGGCCCTGTACAAAGCGAAACGCGCGTCACAAGATGCCAAGCTTCCTGAAACACATGAAGAATGGTGCCGGGACCCCAACACCATCAAAGCAATGGCGATGGAGTCCTGGACTACGTGGAGAAGGGCACATCCTGGTGCACTCCGGAAGGTGTTGGCGGACCCCGAAGGCTACCAGCTATACAAGCGCATGCTGGAGTCATCAGGGAAGTACGCAGACCCGACATACGAGGAGTGGAGGGACCGGAAGGCGAACTCATCTTGGCATGCATGGCGCTCCGAACACCCGGGCCCTTTAGTTCGTGTGCTCGCTGACCCTAAGGGCTGGCAGCTGTACAGAAATGATTTGGAACAGCAACAGCAGAAAAATGGCGTCACGGATGAGATCCCGAAGACCTACAAAGACTGGGCAAGGCTTCAACAACAGCAACGCAGCGCAGGTAAAAAAGACAAACTCGCCGGCGGTAGCGAGTCTGAAACTCGAAAAAGCAGCGGCACATCAAAGGGAAAAGCAACCAACGCGGGCCAACAAAAGGGTAAGCAACAAAGCGCTGCCATGGAGGCTTGGCTGTCTTGGCTTGGTGCACAGCCTTCTGCGAACCTGACAGAACTGTTGCAGAGCCCTGTGGGCTGGGAATTATATAGAGCTGCCATGAGCAAGCCCAAAAGACCTCTTCCTGAAACATATGAGGGATTCAAGGCTCTAGAGCAGGCAACCAAAGCATGGTCGGCGTGGCGTGAGGAACACCATGGCAACCCTGTCACTGTGTTGAAGGACGCGGAGGGATGGAAGCTTTATTGCTCCCTCATGCGTGCCAGGGGAGTGGAGATACCAGCCACATACGCAGAGTGGTTACTGATGCCGCAGCAGCGCGCAATCGTTGCAGCAACAGAATGGGTCCAGTTTAGGGAGCAACGGGCTCAGCAGCCGCTGATGCAGTTGCTCGGCTCGGATGAAACAGCCTGGAAACTGTTCTGCAGCTTCATAGAAGCTATCGGCACGTCTCTGCCGGCAACGTTCAAGGAATGGCAATCTGGAGCATCTGAGTCACTGGCAAATGCGCAGGCTACGTGGCGGTCCTCTTCCCGGTCCGCTGCCCCTCGCCGGATTGAGGTATTTGCTCTGAGGCAGGCCATTGCGCAAGTACGGGATGAGGCGTTTCCTGCCACTTATGAGGAGTGGCTGCGCACACCAGGCTCCAGACCACGCAGCAATCACGCTACCTCGTGGAAGTCATGGAGAAGGCGTCACCCAGGGCCCCTGGCAGAAGTCCTTAAGGACCACGAAGGCTGGGACTTGTATGTAAAGAAGCTTCAACTGGGAGGCTCTTCTGTGCCGTTGTCTTATGAAGAGTGGATGGACTCACCACAACGTCGACGCCAGGAGGCAAGCATGAAATGGGCACTGTGGCGCAGAAATAACAGGGGACCTATGTTGGAAGTGCTGCAGGATCCAGAAGGATGGAAGCTGTACAGTGCTATGAAGGAGGCAACCAGCGGTTCGCCTTGTGAGCAATTCGAGGAATGGCAGAACTCAGTTGGTGCTCGCAAGAAAGCGCTGCGAGAATGGTTGGCGTGGAAGAAGCTACATCCAGGTCCTCGTTACACCATTCTAAGCGATCCACTAGGGTGGCGTCTCTACCGCGCTGCTTTTGCAGGCCAAAAAGCTATTCCAGAAACATACGCAGAGTATATCCAAGCGCGACAGCCTACAATTGCGTGGCTCGCTTGGCGCCGTCAGCATCCAGGTCCACTGCTTACAGTACTGGCCGAAGAAGGCGGGTGGCCGCTGTACAAGGACCACATGCTGGCTACCGGCAAAACCGTCCCTCAGGACTTTGAAGAATGGGCCGAGGCGCACCGAATGGCGACGACTAATGGCAGTTCGAAACGAGGGAAACGGTCGGTTTCGCCGCGCGAAGAAACCGTCGGACCGCAGCCAGTTACAGTTCAATAATGGCGATGAGGTAGGGAGTTCCTTACGCAGTTCTACGCTTTTGCGTGCGTGTACTGTGGTACTACCGATATCACATACACACACGAAGTAGCGAGGATGTGTCGAAGCTTACCCCAAGGGAATTCACCTTGGAAGCGCGTGAAACCAGAGGGCCTCTTTTTTAGGTGTTTAGAGCTCAGAAGCTATTGCTGTTGTTTGCCGTAAAATGGATGAAGGCAATTCACTATGTGCTGTGCAGTTGCTCTTTTGTGTTCCATGCAGTGTAAGATATTTGTGCAGTGATGACAGCTCGGCAGTCGTCCTTATGTGTGGCACGTGCACTGTTGTGGTGGCCTGCCAACAAGCTTGTGGTGCGCGCAAAGTTGCCACATCCATTTCGCTCCTTTTCTGCCATAAATGTACACTTTGTTGGACCATGTTGGTTATATTTGTGAGCACGGAATTTCTGCTGCGAAAGCTTCCCGAACTTCCTGGAGGCCATGAGATACTCAGGCTTCTGTGTGCACTGTTTTACCTAGTCTATTTAGTTGCCTCCCGCTGTGTGTATTTTCTGGATGATTCAAGTTGCCGATGGAAAGCCAAAAGCTTCTCGGTACTTATTTGCTTGTGAGACTAGCATGTCGAATGGACGCGGTAGGTCCTGTTTACCAAACAGAGTGACGGGAACTAATCAGGTTACTTTTATTGCTCTGAAGACACTGTGGTGCTTCCCATATGTTGCTTTCTATATCCTCGTACTTCAAATAAGAGGAGTCACCATCACCTGTAGGGTTCGGCAGAAGCAGCGCTACGAAGGTTCTACTAGGTTCTGCTGAGACAACTTGCTGTGGGACAGGAATTAGCCCTTGGGACCTCTTAGGGTCAACTAGTGTCGACATACGCTTTATTTGGAGAGCGAGTGACAGCAAGCCAGTGGAGAGTTGAACATCACGTATCATTGTGGGAATCCGAGAGCAAATGGCCTCTTTCGCTGTGGCTGTGTAAGCTAATGCATCTTTTCGGTCACAGCTCGTTTTTCACTGGCGGATGCTGCTGCTGCAGTTTCCAGCAGCCCTTTATGAGGAGAAAAGCTGCTGAAGTGTTCCATTGATGGGCATATTCCCAGACCCCACGTGTTGCAGAAGAAGCACATGCGTGCTTCTTCTGCTTTGCCGGTGCACCGTCAATTTCATTTGGGCAGCTGTGTGGAAACCTGATATCATCTTAGGTGCAAGCTCATCCCCCTCTTTAGGACTTAAAGCACTGGACTGTGCTCAACTCTGCAACCCATCTACCAACTCGAACACTACAATGCAGATCAACGCACTGATGCACTGATCCCTTGAGTCTTATCTCATATCGAACCGAATACCGCACCGGACCACTTAACAAAAGTGAATTCTAAAAAGTCAATTTATGAAGGAACGTGTGCAAAAGTCTTTGAATGGGCATCGGCCAAGTTGTGCTCCAGCATAGCATGACCACTGGTCCACACAAAAGAATGCCTCAGTGCACACTGATCCACTCAGGTTGCACGAACTCACTGAAAATTTTCTGATACATCAATGATTGTCACAGAAAGACTACAATATGGAGAAGCATGCATTTGGCTGCCGGTCACTGAATTCCGTGGGCGTCGGCTTCACGCGGAATGGCCGTAACACTGCTGAGCATTCTTCATTGCATCTTTGCCCTTCCAGAAATTCACACTTCTTATGCTCTTCAAACCAGCTGGTGTTTTCAGTTTTCGCGTTTATAGCACCATTCGTTGATTTCATGGAAGAGATGAAGCACTCCCCATAGTAATTCCGGATGTAGGTCAGCCGGGCAAAGCTGGCAGGCTCCGTGGAGGGATTGAAATGGGAGATGTATGAGGTTACAAGGCCACAGCTGAAGTCTTCAGAAACAGGAAATCTGCTTGCCATTTCGTGTTGAGCTGTGTTGTCTGCGAGCATCGAGTCTATGATGCTACAGTCAGCCATTACTGTGCGGCTTCTCGGTGCACGGTAGAAGCCCCTCCTCACCACTGCATGCAATCTCTGTAGCACCACGATGGGCATACAGTTCTCGCGTTCATCCACGGGGCCTACAGCCCGTGGAATCCCCGCACATTCTGCCTGCGCAAAGGGAGGGCCACTACAAAGTCGACTACTGTTTCCTGCTCCCAGCAGCTCGTCTGTAAATGAACAGTATTACGGCTCGACTGAGAGCGTTACCGTGGGCCCGCGAGAAAGGGGCACGGCGAGTAGTGCCGGTGCCCTCAAAGCAGTGCTGCTGCCGCCATTAGTACTGGATGATGGGTCTTTTTCTGCGTCGTGCCTCCAACCTGCTTCTATTACTGGCAGCCTGGAGTCAGATGTATGGAAGGATTCCACACGTGGACTATACCAGAGGCGTCAGCGAGTGACGCACTCCCTGCCAGACCGCATCGATGCAGAAGACAGCCAAGGGCGCAGTTCGCTGGAGCTTGCGGGCTCGTCGATCGCCCTCATCCAACGCCGTCCACGCCTTGCTGAGCTACGGAGATGCCACACAGATGGTTCATACTCGTTACAGCAAAGCAACCGAGTGTCGCCAAAGGACACACCGAAGACAAGCAGTCGCAACAAATTGGACGGGCAGGCTAGAAGGATGTTCTTTGATTTCTATCGGAGAAATATCAAAGAGCTGCGACGGTAGGGCATGCTGCCATACACTGCAGATTCTGAAATCCGTTTACAGGCTTCACATGTGCGCAGTCGACCTAGCGCTGCATACATAATGCTCATAAGCTATGCATGTGTATATCCGTAAACGCAGAATTGTATGGCCCTGGGAGCCTCACCAGTGATAGCTACGTAAGGGCACAACCAAGTCTTCATCAAATAAATATCGCGTACTCTACTACATCTTTGGAGTTATGTGTCTCTTATGCCACTTTTGTGTGCAAGCACGTTTGCAGTCAAGAAACAGTACCCGAAGCCACATCAAGCATTTCAGCTCGCTCAGCTGCAAGTTGCCCAGTGTTCGCATCGGGTGCGTCTTTCGAGACAGTGCAGCAGAAGTCGGTACGAGGAAAACCACATGAGAGTGCAGGCGTACGGCTAGAGGCCGAGGTGGAGGCGGTCGAAGCACTTGATGTATTCAGCCCTGATGAGAGGAACACGCGTATAGATGAGTTTCTCACACTTGTCCAGACAATCCAGTAAGGCAGCGTACAGCAAACACCAAGCATATTGTGCGAATTCCACAGTAGACGTTAAGCATGGCGATGCTACTCTTGAAGTCGCGGGGGTGTTGACGACTCATGCGTGCGGCGGCAGCAGCAGTCTGCGTCGACAGCGCCGTACCTTAGCGCAGTCGCACTGCTCGTTTTGTGTTTCGCAGGGCTGAGTATCAGGTAGAACGGCGCCGGATACGTGCTGTCCGAGGCCTACATCGAGCATTTACATTCAGTGTAGCCGTAAGGGCTCACCAACGATGATCAGTCTTGTTGTGCTACTACATACGGGCAAAGCATTCAAGCGCCAGCAAGGGCTTGCCCACATGGGAGACCTAATCCGGCATGGTTGCAGCGCCTTTGCTTGCCACCACCCACCGCCCGAAGAGGCGGGCATATGCGTGCTGGGCTTTAGACCTCGTAGCCACATAGGCTGCAATTTCCGGAATACGAAATAAAGCCCAGGTTTGGAAAACAGGGCCAGCTGGGCGTGAATACCGATGTGCAGCCCTGCGTTGCATACGCTCCTGGGTGAGGGCTGGTTGTTGATTCCATGTTGGGCGCAGCTGCACTCAGAGACGCTTGTAGGGCTGTGCTTTGTGCCCAAGCATTTGACTACACGGATCTCAACTCGTCTGCACTGCTTAGGCCGCAGTATGCCGGCGACTGTGTACCTAGCCGCAGCCGACGGCAGCAAAGCGTGGATACAATTTGCACCTTGCCTTAGTAGTGCAGCGTTACACGGCAGTCGAGGCACAGCTTCCACGTTGCCACAGGCATCGTGCTGACTGTTAATTCTGTACGTCTTTACTTCAGTCTACACTGTAGCACTGCACAGAAAATTTATCATCTCTCGCAGTCCGCCGCATTCAATACTGCAGCAATCCGAGAAACGCTTATATCCTGGCGTGGCGCGCATCACATGAGATACGCTAAATGTATCGCGCGGCTGACGGAAAGCACAAGTGCCAGCCAGCTGACTTTGACTCAGCACGATGCGCAAAGTCCGAGCACCTTGCCGTCTCCTGCTGCGGAGCGGAACGTAATTCCTCGGGTCTCGTAGCACTGTCACTGCGTCTTATTGGGGGCAGTAGTCCCTTGCTCCTGCGGAATTGCCTTCTTTCGATGAGGATCACGTCAAGGGACGTGGAGGGACTTCCTGAAATGACAATGCCGATGCATCCGGCCTTGCTGATTGCGCTGCTCCACTCCAAGGACGACGGAGGCACCCATACGCAACTTTGAAGACGCGCACGACAACGCCGCGGACGGTAAAAGCGTAAAAGCCGGTAAAGAGTACCAGCAAAAGGGAAGAGAATGGTGTGAAATCTGCTGGGAACGCAAGGCGGTGGTACCAGCATACGCACAAGATAACGAACACAGTTACCCCTAGAACGATGACAGACCAGTCGCCTTCCTCTGTAGGCCCTCCACCTGCTAAGACACACAAATAAGCATTCCAAGAAGGCTAGGAGCCTTTTGGGCAAACAAATGTGGCTGCGTTCAGATTCCATCACATCATGTACCCCGGAGATAGGGCATCATCGTGCTTGGCATCTCCCACTCAAGCTGCCGGATAGCGAATCCTAGAAATAAGTCACAATTGCGGCCGCTACACAACGTACCAGCATTTGTACAACCAGAAACGCCGCTGCCTCTGCTATGTGGTGGGCGATTAGAAATAACAGCATGGAGAGTCACTGCTGCGGAGTTTTGTGCGTCCGCTGATGCTGTGGTTGCGCAAGATCCTGCCGCAGCTGCTCGCGCGGGCACCCGGAGGTGAGAAGCTAGAGAATCGCTGTCTGCCAGCTCCCGTCCCAAAAAAATAACGCGCACGCTAAGGCCTACAAGGCATACCAGCTCGCACGCCACGTCAAGGACTCAACGCCTGAGATGTAGAGAAGTGTGAGCTGCTACAGTCGCTGAACCGTAGGATTCCCAGATGAATTTATGCGCTCTATGTTGAGCATCCATAAAATACCTCTGGATATTTCTCCCGCAAAAACGTTATCCTTCACTTCCCGTATGGTGGAATTTGCGTCCAGCAAGGATTCTGAGGAGGCACTTGTAAAACGTATCATCCCCAACTGCGTTTCCTTAAATTGAAGTGCTTTTCAGACGTTTCCTCTACTTTCAAGAGCTTTTCTGTGCGCTAGTATAACTGACGAGCAGATTTTGTGAACAGAAACAGGGATGGGTTATGCGTCCTCACCGGTAAATGTCGCTGGCTCGCCCGTGCAGTTAACCACCCATTTGACACGAACTTTCTCTCCCGCCATTGCGTCACAATCAGACAAATGCGCTGCACCGTGTAAGAATCAGCCCGTCTCCCGGCGGCCGCCCTTCCTGATAGTAATGGCGAGCTGAAAGACCCAATGCATAACCTTCTGCGACAGCCGCCGCCGACTGGAGTCGCTCGCAGCACGTCGGGCCCGAAGTTTGGCGAGTGCTTTCTACATTCCAAAGCTCTTCTTATCATACCGTGGTCTTTACTTCAAGAGTGCTAAGGGCTAAAGGTGCAGACAACTGCTCTGTGCGGGAAAAGCAAGGCGTCGTCTTGGCTGCGCCAAAAACCACCGGAGCATGGCGCCTTGAGACAAGTTACAGCGGCGTCCTACTGTACAGGCAACAATTCCAAGCTTCGCTCGTGCACGACTGAACACGCAGAGGTCTTCGGAAGAGAAATATTGCCTGACAGCTGAGGGCGTTGTAGACCGACCTACAGGAGAAAGTAGCTATGGGCATTGAGGCTTCGCCATGTAGTCATTTTATATGCTTACAGCTACACCACATGATACTACACAAAATAGCTCGGGAGATCTCGAGCATAGTAGTTCGACTAGTTGCCAGCCCCGCAGGTGCCACATGCAGCGTGCTCCGCTTAACGCTTTTGCAGTTCGCTCAGCAGACTCCCCTTCAGAGGTTTCAAAGAACACCATGATACACCGCTCCAAATTGAACAGTACTGGTTTTCTAGTCAAGAGGCGCTTTTATTCGCTCCCTTTCCCACGCAGGTGCTTGCGTGTGACCACACACGCTGCAAGTGAGACGCCAGGATACCTGTAAGTGACCTTACTAGCGAACAGCTTACCAAGCCAATTCCTTCACGCCTGTATAGTTGGTAGGGCAGCAACAGCTGCCACCTGTCCATGCCGCAACTTGCGTAAAGAGAGGTTCCATAAGTCGGCGCGCACTGACCAGGTAATGGGCGGTGCCTATCTCCGCATAATTCCGTGCAAGCCATTTGTTGCCATTGGAACAGAACGCACAGTGCATTGTTGTAGTCATACAATGGAGGAGCCCAGGTTGACCCTCTGACGAGCTTGACTTATGGCGTCGGTTCAATTGCAGGAAGGGGCAGTTGGCAAGCTTTTTTGCTGGTGTAGGTTGGTGACATTCACCAAATTTGGCACACGTTTAGCCCACTTATTCAGTTCATGTGGTGGTCCTACTTGTAAACTGGTATCCAATAGCAAGCTCCGCTTCTTTCGAGCTTGAAGGACCGAAGAATCGGCCATGGCCTCTGGCGCGACATCACCTTATACAGCTGTGCAGCTAGAAAGCACTCAGCAGCTCTACAAAAGCATAGACAGACTACGAGTAATGATTTGTTCACCAATTTTTACGCCTATTTCGCTAAAGCAGCGGTTGCCACGGCTCGGCTCATTCGAACGAGCCCTGCGTCACAGTCAGAAGAGGGGACTGCCTATGGCAGAGTCTTCAGTGTGCCTCAACAATCTCTTGAAATTTCGTCTGACTGTTGAAGCTTAGATTTTAGCCGCCCTTCCCCAGATATCCGCCTATGGAGGGAACAATTATCTGGCGACAGCGGGCCGCTCGAGGAGACGATGCAGGGATTATACTATGGAGTATTGCCTGCAGCCCTGACAGCTCTAGGCTTGTCTTAGGAGTGGGATGTTGCGTGCTTCTTGTGGATGCTGAATCGGGGGATACACTTCATACGCTTGCTGGCCATAAGGGGAACGTGAACACTGTTGCGTTTGCCTGTAATGGCGAACAATTCGCTTCAGGTTAGGAAAGCATTACACACTCCTAGTTAGACTGATTGAGACCCAAAATAGAGGCTTGTGTAGAGCCGCCCACAAGCAGGCTGAACTTAATTTTGGTAGGGACGATCACACTGTTATCAATAAGTTGGGGAGTAGACTGTCCACTAAGCTTTCTGGATCTTTTTTCGAATATCAGGGGGAGCTGACAAGCAAGTAATAATATGGGCATCAAATGGGGAGCCTTTAAGGCATTTCACGCACTCAGGAAGCGTGCAAGCGCTCGCATTTAATCCTCGAACACTGAATCTTGCCAGTGGGAGCACAGAAGAGCTTGTCTTGTGGCACGAAGAGGGTCCCAGTGGGTCGCACAAACAAGATGGAGACCAGCTCGATAGCAACCCGGCGTTCGATGGATCTAAATTTCCGAGAATAAGCCGTAGCAGCAGCAGAAATTGGAGCAGGGCTTCCAGCAGCCTCGCCAATGCATTTGTTGCCACCTTGGGACTGACCAGCGGCAGCAGTGGTCTTAACTACAGTCCTAGTGGCTGTGGCACCCAGTGTTGCAACAGAATCAGAGTTAGCTCCCGCATTTGCGCTTTATCTTGGGATGACGAAGGGCAGCGCTTAGCATCAGGTCAGCGTAGGCTTCTTGAGTAACGAATGGAACTTTGCCATTGACGTGTTGTCACCAGGTCAGAATTCCCCCGGAATGTCTTTCAAGTCGCGGCCTAGCATTTGACACCCGTGCGTTGTGTTCAAGGCCACTACAATGGTGTGGTCGTCGTGCGAGACCCCGACGGTTCAGAGGTATGGAGGCAGCAGTTGGGGGCGACTGCGTGGGCGGTATCATGGCGGCCACGTAACTGGAATAAATATCAGGATAACATTATTGTGGCATGCACTTTCGAACCAAGGGTCTGGATCCTTGATGCCGATGCGAAAGTAGCTGTGAATTCAACGCAGCTCGCCTACGACCCACTGGCTGTTGCATTTGCTCCAGGAGGTACGCTTTAGTGGAAATAGCTCTGACAATTCGCTCACTGCGGTGTTCACTGGGTGGCATGCGTCTATAGCGCGAGATTAGTGTGACGAAGCGCCGTCAGATTACGGGCAAAAGCCACTGAATCCTTCACGGCACCTTCTTGACGCCTTCTGCTTTTAGTGCCTTCTGGACGCACGCCTTGCGTCGCCTTAAAGAGTCCAAAAATTTGCCGGCAGAGTGCTTAGCACATCAGCTTGAGAGGGCTTAAGCAGCAGTAGGCCATGCCCTTTGTGCGAGTGCCTGATGCAGGCGAGTACTTTGCTTTAGTAGGAGTTGACGGGGGCCTCTCCCTATGGAACTGTATGGGCATGTGCCTTCAGCCAGTTGATTTTTCTGGAGAAAAGCTGGAGGCTACAGTTTGTTGCTTTTCTCCATCGGGGCAGCGAATTGTATTTACCACGCGACAGGGCTACCTTGGTGTTGCACAACTGAGGCTACCAGTTGTCCATGGCCTTCATCGTGAGGTGTATGCCCGTCGGACATCTCTTTGCGAGGTCACTGTTCGCAATCTGCTAACAGACGACACTCTGTCTATACAGTAGGCAAGAAAATCCATTTTATCCTTCTCCAGAGTGCTCCACTTCGGGAAAAGGGCGCATTGCACTTGCATATGTTCGCACGCGCAAGGGTAGTGCTCCATGCATATTTAACGCAAGAACAGTCAGATACGTTTTTTTATACTCTACAGTTTACGTTGAAATCAACTCAAGCGCACACAACGAGGAGACAGCTCTCATAACATGCAAGGGTTTTAAGTGCCGACGTTTGGGACGTCTGCAGGTTTGATGGGCTCGTCCTGAAGATTGCAGTGTACAGACGTTTTCTTGCTGTCCAACTTGATGGATGCATCATCATCGCAGAGCTTTCTACAGAGGCATCTGGTGCTATGAAGCATCGTGAAGTCCACCGCCTACGCGGATCTTTTGAATGTTCGCTTATGCTGCTAACGGCGAAGTCCGTGGTTCTCTGTACAGGAAACACTCTGAGACTTCATGAGCTGACAGGAAAGTTTCGTTCCTTGAAAAAATTGCGGTAGTGCTATCAGATAAAATGGGTTGCGGTCAGGCCATGTTTCATATATGGGTTGGCTGCCGACACTGTGATGCTTAAAACCCCGAATGTTCACATTATTTTTCTAGCTAGCTGCGGAAACACGGGACTCCTGCACGCTCATCGATACAATTTGTGCAGGAAGAGAAGGAAAACAATGGACGCTGAGAGCTCCCGTTCGCTACGTTAGGGTGCTTGGGGGTCCTCCTGGGGCAGAGACGCTGCTCGTCGGCCTTAAAAATGGAGAGGCGCTCTATGTGTTCGCGCATCAGGGGCTTCCACTACCTCTGCTGCAGCATCGTGTTGGGATTGTTTGCATGGACGTCTCCGCCGAGCGCAATAGACTTGCTATTGTCGATGAAGAAAAGGAGCTCTACATTTACGACCTGCGTAGTAAAAAAAGCGTGTACTCTCAACAAGATTGTACTTCAGTTGCCTACCACCTTTCCGTCGATGATTTATTGGCTTTCACTGGCCGGAAAACTCTATTTATAAAAGCAGGTAAACCGGACAGGACTCGACAGGGCATAGCATGAGTATGTCATTCTGAAGCGCACCAAGGTAGCAGCGGTGCTGATCTTTTAGCTGCTGGATTTTTGTCTATTCATCCGACATCTAGTTCCTTCCTGTGCAGGACCTGCTGAGACATGCCAACAGACTTGTCATGGGATCGTGGTTGGATTTTTGGGGTCATTCACATTTTGCCTGCACTGCCGAGAAATGCTGCGAATCAAGGTTAATCATACGGCTTCCGTACAACAGCTCATAAGGAGAGGCTACATCAGAAAAGCGTATAACGTAGCCTGCCTGGGGGCAACGCAGGACGAATGGAAGCAGTTAGGGCTCCAATGCATGCTGATAGGGGACCTCCAACTTGCACGCAAAGCGTTTCAGCACCAAAATGACTTGAGGGCTATATGCTTAATAAATCACGTGGAATCGGAGCTACAATCGTTAAAAGTGAGTAAAGAGGCCCACCAGCATATGTGCAGGGCGTATGCCAACGCATTTGTCCAGAACTTCGCAGCTGCCGCAGACGAATGGGCAGCAGCTGGCTTTCCCCAAAGAGCGTCAGAGATGTTTGCAGACCTGCGAAGGTACGCGTATATCGTGAATAGACCTGGGAGGCAGCTGACAGGTAGAGTGTCCATATTGGTTGCCGTGCAGTATGCCCCTGTGTATGATGCGTTTTGTATGATGCGTGAATTTTGGTGTGGGGGACCAAACTTCAGGTGGGGGGATGCACGGCTCTGGGATAAACTCGCTGCACAGTTCAAAACAGAAGCGTCAGATTCAGGGAAACAGATGAAAGCAGCAACAGACTCGTCCGCGACGCCAGAGGAGACTGCGGGAGGAAACATAGAGCAAGCTTCACTGCCTGACCTTCCAGTTGCCTCTCTAAGCCAGGTGATGCATGTAGCGTTGCGTTAAGCTCTGTGGGGCCTCCGACCTGCGCAATGTGCTGCGTCTATAAAAGCATAACTCATATCTCACTGCTGTATCATAAACTTTGAAGGTATCTGCGCTAACTTGCCAACAGTGTTGGCGTACATGCTTTCAGAAAGAACAGAATGAGCCAGTGGTCCACCACGAATTGAGGGAGGCTGCAGCATTATACCTTGCCACAGGGCAACTGGAGCGAGCCTGCAGAATTTATGCGAAGCTAGGCGAGATTCGCAGCCTGGCCGAAGTCATGAGGAGATGCAAAGCGCAACAAATTGCACAGCTGCGTGCGGAATATGGGCAGCCAAAGCTGCAAGCGCACAGGCGAACGCTGGATGGCAGCGGGGAATACCCTGAGGACTACGAAGCTTCTGTGACTCTGCGCCTTGTTGCTTGTATCTTTGAAGAGAGCGGCCAAATGAACTTAGCCCAGGAGGCTATGCTGGCTCTAGGAGACACAGTAGGGTATCTAAGAGTCCTAATGCAGGCTGGACGGTGGGATGAAGCCGTGTCTCGAGCAGAGCAGGTCAGTGGTGTGTGTGCAGGCTTTGATGCTTTACAAAGGCAAGTGCATTTCAGATTAGTGAACGAATACACCATTGTGGCTATTGACAAGCTGGAGGGCCCTTGCACTTGAATGCACGACACGATGATTGGAAATGTTGCATTCATGTGGCTTGGAAAGTTGTTGGCGCATTATCGTTTGCCACTAACGTGAGTTGCTGTAGGATCCAAGCCTTCTTCAACAAGTGCTTTTACCATGGGGTCATGAACTTATCCGTCAAGACGAGCCAGAGCTGGCCATTAGCGTATTTCGACGAGCGGGAAAAGAACATTTGGCACTGAGAGTGCAGAGCTCTTTACTAGAAGGCGCTGTATCTCAAAAATTTTTTGCCCAGGCAGCAGAGCGGAGTTGGGCACTAGCTACTGCTTTTGCCAACCTGGCTGATTCCAGTAGAGAGGGGCCACATCACCCATTGAGTTTGACTGACTATGAGGGAGCAACCACGGCTCATCAGTCTCTAAACAGTACTACAGCAGGCCCTTGGGGTTTGCCTGCATGTGTCTCACGCTTCCTTACGTGTTACTTCAGGCGTCTCTCAGAGGTTTATGGTGTCTATTTCGTGCTGATGTGCCAGGCTTCCTCTGTACTGCCAAAAGCTAAAATGCCAGCGCATGCCGTCTTAAGGGCCTGCATTTTTTTATGGTCGCATGCACTAGCGCCATTAGGGCAGGCTGCTTGCGTGAAGCAGCTTGAAAAGACAACGGCATGCTACTTTGCACCTTCTACAGAAAGCAAACAGCCAAAGTTGATTTTAGAAGGGGCAAAACGATGGAAATCTGGATTAGGGAGTCTGCCAAATTGGCGTTTGCCACAGTGGTGGCGTGATGCTCATGATGCTCTTGATACAGATGCAGTGCGGACGAAGCTAAACCTTTGTGGGATCCGAATTTATCGCCGTGTAAAAGGTATTAGGACATTTCTTGTGTTGCGCCTCATGACGGAGGCAGCGCTTCAGTTACATGACTTTGAGGTTCGTCGTTGAATATCACGTAAACTTAGGGCCAAAGCAGGATGAAGTATGAATGCATATCCTAAGCAGCCATGTCATACATCATTGTGTCTCGTAAACAACTCAGTGACTCGGAGCTTTGTTTCTTAGAAGCCGTCAACAAGAGTAAAATGACTACGAAGACTGAGAAATTCCTGTTTGCTGTTGCAATTTTTACCTGTGGGTGCAGACAGCAGCTGCAGCATGCCAGGAACTTCGTCGTCTTGCACTGAGAGGCTCTGAGCAGCAGAAAAGAGCCGAGCTGGAGTTGAAGGTCAAAGCAACGCATGCTTCTTTCAGGCCTGAGGCCGGCCTTGCTGAGGCATCTGGAGCCTTGACAAAGGCCGTATGTGGCTTGTGCAGGGCCTCAGTGACTTTGCTGACCTCGGAAGCCGTCCCATTAGGTGCAGATTTAAGCTGTGGAAAGTGCGGGTGTCCTATTACATTGGAGTTCGGCACATTCGCTCCGATAATGGCAATCGAGTGCCGCCGGGTGGATAGCGCAGAGCTAGTCAACGGGCACCTATCCTTTCCTTCCGGCAAAGATTTTTCTCCAGATGAGCTCTTCCTCGAAACTATTAAAGAGAGTGTCATCCAGCCAGTTGCATCAAGACCTTCGCTGAAGGAGGAGCCCTTCGGCCCTGTAGAATTCCAGCCGCCGGCACTGAGTCAAAGTTTCCTGCGCAACCAGCCACGTGAGAAACTTATATGGCGCACGAACAGTGGCCTCGAGGGTTGTACCGGCTCCAATATCCTGCGATTATTTGGACTGCCTCACTCAAAAGCTGAGCAAGCAATACATGCCACCTTTTTGCAGGATTCAGAGGCAGCACTCAGAGACCCTGACATGTTGATGGCATGTGGCACATGTTCTCATCTGTTCATCCAACCACCAGCTTATCAGATGTTGTCTTCTGGTAATTTATGCATTTTCTGCGCTAGTGACTGCCCTTTCACTCCAATCCTTCAGTGTGCGGCACTTGAATGAAACTACCACATCAGCTGAATTCACTGCAGCACAGGACAGGATGACTCTTCCGTGGCTGCTGTGGTGAGGCCTTTCTGCTTGGCTCCCACTGCCATTTCACGTGCAACAAACGCTTTCTTTTTCTCGCCGGTTCCTCTCTGTTGGTGTTCCACCTGCTTTTTCACCAGTCGTGAAAACGGGCGGGCAGGAAAAGCATTAACGGGCCCACGGGCAGGACTTTTGGGTTAGCCTAGTGTAAGTACTTGTAAAATGTAGGGGCTGATCGGGAGTTTGTCATATTCTTTGCTGAACAGCAATGCCTGTGTGCCTTGTCGACACGAACTTCTCCAATTCGCCAAGCCAATCCACTGCAGCAGTTCATGCAGAGGGTGCTCCACGCCGTATGCCGTTAGAGTATGCGTAAAGCAGCTGAGCACCTCACTGCGGCATAGAAGTTACGGTATGAGCGCCCACGCAAGCCGAATCCTGGGTATGGCAACAACGGCGCCTCAAGGCAAACATATCGTGAACAGTTTCAAACTGAACTTACTTGACAATAGCACCAGGCACAGGCCGAGAATCGCTTTTTTTCCCCGTGATAAAGCAAGTGGTGGTACCTAACACACGCAGGTGTCAGGTTGACAACTTTCGAGTCGCGTGTGCAGTCGGCACTTCTTCTTGTGCCCACCATGACGATTTTTAGACACCAAGTACATAAGCTGACTCAACTTCAGGCCGTGAACCGTGCAGCTCGGATTCTGCTTTGCGGACCAATTTGCTTTGGTTGCCCTTGCAGCACATCTGTGTTGTCCCAGCATAGGAATGCTGTGCGTGGCCAGCATTTTTCGCCAAGCCAGCAATGCTGTGGTCCACTAGTGGCCAGTAGACCCCTTGACTATTTTCGCAGGCCTGGCGCAACTGAAGAAAAATTCATAGAATGTCCTCGATTCAATATTGGAGTCGCCCCAGCAGCTTGGCCGGATGCTCTAAAGTTGCCTATGAACATCGCTTAAGCCTGGCTCTTGCCACCCAAACACGAGCCGGCCAAACGCACTAAATTCTCCAATACCAGGAAAACACTTTTCGCTCTCTTTTGAGTCGCATAGATTGGTTTGTGGACCGATACAAGTACTACGCGGACGTCAGCGAGAATGCGTAGCGGGCGTGCTTGGCTTCAGATGATGAAAAAGGTGAAATACTTTGCTGCGATCATCGACCCTTGAAGCCTTTCTTTGGTAGCAACGTTGGCATAGGCTAGTGTACAAGACAAACGGACGCATTTTTCTCGCGCTTTTGAAACAAAGGCTTGGTTTGCTAATCGCCAGCTTATTAAATTGGAACACTCCAAAACAACTTGGCGAAATAGCATTTGGGGCCGCAAGCGTTTGTCAGTCCTTCTGCCGCCTCTGTAGCCCTAAGTTCAGTGTGAGCAACACACGCCTGTACATAAAGAATTGCCCTCTCGGTTCGTCCAAGGTCGCACGGCTTTTCACCAGTCACTGGAAAGTGAGCTTGAAAAGGCTCTGTAAAATATCCTTCTTCTGCTGTTATTTACCTCTCAGTTATGTTCATGCAACTTCAGACAAGCAGTGTTCCTGTCGGTTGCTTCTTGTGCTGCAGACAACCAGTACGCGCACTACGTGACAGGTGATACAGCCCTCAACGGGCTGCTCACAAGCAAACCAAGTACAGCTGTTTAGGCTTAATTCCTCTGCTTGGTCTTTGGAAAAAGCAAACTTGCAGTTTCAACGTCCAATGGCAAATAAGACTTACCATGGGCAGACGCCAGTAACCCCAATGCAACAACTGGTTACTTGGGACTACTTCCCGTTCCTCTGCCTCTTCTGCCTCCCCCACTCCCTCTTCTGGGAAAGCCCCCTCTGCGGGAGCGACCACCAGAGATATGTGATGGTGGTGAGTTGCGTGGTGTATCCACAGAGCGAGTAGCTCCCATAAAGGCTGCTCCTGAGTTCAGCGGATCACCCAAGCCTACAGTAGGGTAGAGGAGGCCCGCATTTGGGTGTCGAACTGAATCATCAAAGTTATGGCCGCCTGCATATTGCTCGTTGGCACATAAGATAGCAGTGGCAGCGGCACTATTTGTTTGCTCTGCGTCCGCCCTTATCAAGTCCAAAAGATTATACGCCACCTGCCGTCCAGAAGGCTTCATGTATTCTGAGAGATCATCGTCACGCTCACGCCGCCCCCGCCGCCCACGGCCTCCTCTTGTTGTTTTCCTCTCATTGCTGATCTTCTCAGCACCTAGACTATTTGGATCCACCTTCTCTAGTTGCCTCAAACGATCTCGCTTCAGTTCTGTTGCATCGGTTTTTATATCCAAAGACCGGGTTGGTTGCCCAGCACGAGTGTCGTTGGACGTCTCTGCTGGAGAAGCAGTTTCGCGCTTCATCTCTTTCCGTGATGGATCTGTCGTCTGTTGCTGAGTTCCTGTGATGACGCTGGTATTAATTTCTACCTGCTGCACTTTAGCAGCGAAAGAAAACGGAACGAACTTTGGGGGGCCAGTGTCGCCCTTGTCGGACTTTACCCGCTGCTGAAGCTCAGTGTGCTCATTGAGGATTTGTTGGAGCAGTTTTCGGCGCTCCTGCACATCTGCTTTCAAGTTAAATGCTTCTCGCAACTGTTTTGCCCCTCCCCCCAGATTCTGGAAGTGTCGGGGAGTTAAAAGAGCCATTCCACGGTAGAATATCAGACCCGGCAACAACAGCAGTTTGACACCTGGCAATAGAGGCACTATATCAAGCTGCTGACAAAAACGAAGCTCAACAGCAGTAAAAGACGTACCGCGACCGTCCGTAAGCTTCAGTGAAAGTAGTCTCTTCTGATTCCCCTTGATCCCTTGAGCCCCATCGGAAAAGTCCTCTTCAACATCCTTCGTAGGCAACCGCACATCCTGGAAAGACAAAACCATGCAAAGTAGGGGCCTTTTGAGAGTATAATTGGTTGCCGTTGATTTGACATTTTCAGCTGGACCGTCAATGGCAGCGCATGCCGCAACCTCTGGGGGAGCTTGCATGGATTTGCTGTGTAGTGCGCTGAAGTTCGTCGGGTCCGCAGGGTGCGGGGCCAGATGCAAACGCCTTATATCGGCAGACAAAACATAGTCCTTGACTGCAGCGGGGGAAGAAGCGCCAGATTGTTCAATAGCTGCGAACCCTTCAGGAGTGAAATCAAGTGCCCATGGCACCAGAGCCCCTTGTATTGCAGCCGCCTCCATCATGCGCTTTACCTAATGTCGCCGCCGTCTTCCCCCGATTGGCTTGAACCAAAGGGTCTCCGACGGTGTGGACGTGACAACTCCAAAGCAGCACAAATAAGCTGATGCGTGGGGTAATGATTCGAATCTGCAGCGTGAGACGAAAGTGCCCGTCTAGAATGCAAGAGGCCCCCGTAACTATTTACTGCCAGTTTTGCCTCTAAACGCCTTGATTTACCACGGAAAATTAGGTCCATATGATTCTACAGCTACCGTGTTCAAGCTGCGCCAGCAACTGTCAGTATCTCTCAGTATCGGGCAGACCTACCAGATAAAATCTTTACGCATATTACAAAATAAAAGCAATAATTCCCATTAAGGCCTTTCTAAAAAAGGATTATCATGCAGGACAAAGCTGCACAGCAGCCTACATCACAGCCCATGCAAGCCCCGTCGGCTTCCTTTCAAGAGCACGCTGTCTGTGCAAACAACTGTCTACTGAACAAGGTCTACTTATTATCTACTATATTTTTCCATCAAAAACACAGGACTCCACCGCCTTGAGGCTTTATTGCTCTCCCACCGAGCGCAACGACTTGCTTCGGGACGTACTTTTCTGGCCATGCTTGACAAGCCACTAAGCCGCTAAGGGTCGTAGTGGTCATTCTGTATAAAAGCCTGCAGTTTACCGTATTCTCAGGCATTTGGTCGCGAGCATACCAAGCATAGGTGGTTTTGGCAACGAGGAGCTGGCGCGGACGATGTTTGCACATACTCCCCACCGGACCCCGTCTGGGGATTTAGAATTGCTACATAACGAAACGATCGGCATAAAAGTTCCAAATACATCTGTTGTAATACGGGGCAAACTTGCAGGTGAGTAGGTAGTTTCGGCACCGGGCAGCTGTCCTCAATGCTGACCATTTACAAAACCTCGTGGGCAGCTGCTCTTGCCAGATTGGGGATTGTAAACGCACTAAGCGCTCTGACTACGGGAGAGATGGAGTGATTTAACGTTGTTGAGTTTCTTGTGGGGTGTGTGGAAAGCAGGTTGTGGCGAACTGTTCGTTACGTCGCAACGAGTGGCTTGGCTTGGCGATACTGCCACGAGCTTCGCTCTGAATTACATTAGTATAGTGCTGCATGCACTTTCAACTGATCCCCGTGCGCTCATAGCAAGTTGGCACAAGCTGTTTTCCCGTCATTGTCATTGTGAGGCCCCTCGCCACCCTTGTTTGCAAGCGCTATCGCGAGAGAGATAGCTTCAGTGCGCATGGAACTATGTTCGTTTTCTTTTTCAGAGGCCTGCGATAGGCCATGCCTGTATTGTCAAATTAAGGGAGACGCCTTACCAACACTGGCTAATGGACATCCCAGTGGCGTCGCCACCTCAGAATCAGTGGAGGCACCTGAGGAAGATGAAGGATTAGCGGATGATGACGCAATGATTGAGTTGAAATTCATCCCGGATGACTCGAGGTGATGTACTTTAGTTGGGTTGAGATATAGATGGCTAGTGAAACCCCATTTGAAGTTTAAGACGCTTTCGATTAATCAATTGGGCCTATTTCTGTGCGTTGCCGGACTGTTTTTGCAGTTGTTTACAACGACTGTTCGCGGTCATGAGCGAAATGGCAGCTTTGCACCCGGAACCTGATTCGGGAGCGCTTGATGGTGACGAAGAGGAGCTTTTCGATGAAGCAGCATTACGTCGACAGGTACTGCCAGCTTGGGGGTGGAGTGGACGCATGATTACGGATGATTTTTGTGCTTTCCAGTATATTTGTGTGGTGTGTTATTTGCCCATTAGCTTAATGGCGTACAACATATCGCTCTTGGTGCGTGTTCTGCCCCATGAACAGGGCTGGGAGTTCGTTGAAAATGAAGGAGATGACGCGGCGGAAAGTGACACCGTCGACGCCTGAAAGGCGCATCCACCCGCTTTAGAGATTCGGAAGGCCCCTAAATCCGCGCACGAGACCAGGTATAATTCTAGGAATGATGGTTTCGGATTCTTGTCCGATGGACGGCCTAGTATTCTCGTGCATAGTACAGCGAGTTAATTGTGGCTGAAGCCAAGGAGGCTAGCTGCTAAAGGGGTGCAGCGGATGATTTACAGGGAACTGTTGGCAGCTGTTCTAGGAACCGTCGGCAGCTGTTCCACCTTGTGGGGAGGGTTGACGCAAACCCCTGAATAACTGTTAAGAATCAGGTTTTCTAATACCCTCTCTTCAAGGGTGAATTCGCCGTTCCAGCAGCGTCGTGACTTTACCAAATTGCCATTCCTGTTGTGGCGTCAGTTCTTTTGGCGTTCACCAGGTCCATAGACAAAAAGGCTTCGGGAAGCCTTCTGGCAGCTCGCAGTCCAGTTTGGTTGGTTGGAACGAACTGGCGCGCTGAAGCTCCCCTACTGTGGAGTATGCCAGTACTCACGTTGTTCAACAGTTGTAGCTACAATCCTTTTGTCACGGCATATGTTTCGCGTTCGCGCGCCTTGTGCTTCATTTGTGCTATATTTACGATGTCTGTGGTGAGAGGGCATCAATCAAAGCGATGTTGCCACCGTGACCGCCGCCACGTATCCTGCACAGAGCCTCTTAAAGTACATGGTTGTAGCACGGTATTCTGCCAAACTGAATTCTAGATCTAAGCACCGAGAAACCGTTTAATCACCCTCACGATGTGGAACGGCGTGCTTCAAAATGTGCAAAATTTCATTCGTCACTAGCTGTCGAAAATTTGCCCAGTTGACGAAAAAAAAACGATCTATGGCCGCAGTTATGGACGCGAGAAGCTTCCTGATACCTAATGGCAAATGTCTCCCTTCAACCAGCCAATCCTGCTTTGGATCTTTTGTCAGGCCAACGACATGCCACCGCAAAATTTCCTCACAGGCCAGTGGCGACGCAGCTGAATGCACTAACTACAAAATGGGAAGAAAATATACACCACCAATTTGTGTAGTGCTGATCAGATGCTGTAAGGGACAGGGGTCTTAGACTGCTGATGCCGCTGCACGCGCGACTCGTCAGACCTGTGGATGCTGTTCCGCGGCACGATCTACCTCGACCCGCCGAAGCACAGAATCAAGTTTCTCGTGCGCCTTCTTCAAAACAGAGTTCCGAGGGTGCCCAACTAAGTGAAAAACAGCTTCAGCAAGTGGGGCGGCAGCACCTGAGCCGAATGAGGCTTCCTCAAGCAATCCTGCCATGATTGTCAGCATAGCTGTGTATGCCACAAAGTGAGAAAGCATGGGGTTAAGCAAGGCCACGTCAACGCTCTCCAGATCGAGGAACATTGCAGCCAAACGCGTGAAAATCGGCGTTGGTCGATAGGAAGGCCGTGTCCAAATCCTTCCACTGAATGGGGGAGCGCCTGGAACTGTGGATGCAACCTCTACTCTGTCCATATCCTCAATGTACAACTGGGGACGTCACCGCATGCACACAATAGGGCTTACACACATGAGCTAAATGCACTACCTTGGTGCTACTTGCAGGGGTGCCATTGCTAGCTGAAAGCATGGCGCGTTGAGTAGCGGCAATCTAATGGAAAGAAGAGTATACTGCGACCTAGTCAGTTCTTTGCAATTGCAGTACCTTCTCACCTTCATCAAGAAAGGTTTCCTGTGTGACAACTTCGTCAGCTCAGTCTCACCAAAGAGTACGCCAACTGGGTCAATATCGATATTTATTTCTTGGGCCTTCACTCCTGACGCCGCCATGTCTTCGTAAGCAAGTTTATCTCCCCACTAAGAAAAAAGCAGCGTAAATGGAACCTGAAGCTAATATGAAGCCCAATGGCCCGCGCTATAGACGCTGCAAACCACCTCTAGTTACGAAAATCGGCGCGTACGGTGTACAAATAGAGAGCGCCATGGCGGCCTTCCCAACGTGCAGTGCAAGCGCACTCACAGATTACCTGTGTGGGCAAAGCTTACCGACGGGCATCCAAAGGCTACTGTGCGGATTTGCAGTAAGTTTCTATCCACAAGTGTTTTGGCTCGTTTTGCAAGGTACCAGGCGCTCAGCTGAGCCATAACCGCACCAAGCGAATGCCCAGAGAAAACAATCACCACCGGGGTCTCCCCACCAACAATTCTCTCTTCAAGACGATTTAACTCTTGCTCCATGAGGGGGCGAACTGCTTTATCAAATAAATAAGTAAGTCCATAGTGGAGACGCCCGCGCTTTGACAAAATTTTGTACGGCACTGCCAGCCCCATGCCGTTCAGAAGCCACTGCTGCACAAGCAAACAGGAAGAAATCTCCTTAAAAAGCGATGTGAAAAAGGTGACTCTCCACACAGTCATGTCAATGAATGAGTGACTCCGCAGACGTAGCCTCACGATGTCAACTGGCTCCTCAAAAGCCCACCTTGCTCACAAAAGTGCCACGGAAGATCCACACAATGTCAGCGTAGTCAAGGTTATCCCCGTCTAACGGCGTTGTTTTGCCATCCCTCTCAAACCGCCACACCCAAGGAGAATTATGAACGCGACTATAGGATGCAGTGAGACCACACGTGTCAGGTTGCACAACTGGAGGGCACTTCATCTCAGAGCCAATAACCTTCGGTCTCCAAGAGCCATCAATCCCTATACCTGCTGCGTTTTTAACCTCGTTCAGCATTTTACTGCCCGACGGTCCTGTAGAAATCAGCCGGCCAGGCGGCCAGCCGAACTTGCCGAATAATGACATATCTGTTATGAATGGAATGCAACCGTCAGGAGCCTCCAAAGAGCCAGAAATGCCAGCTTTGGCGCTGGTCGCGAGTTGCGCTGGCGAACCCGTTTCCTGCACTGGTTCGATGTCGTCATTAATAAAAGCTTTTTTGCTTGGCACCTCCGCAAACTGAGTGGCCGCAGCCACCTCCTGCAAGTTGTCCATCGGCTTCACTCGTGAAGTATTTGCTGGGATGCTATCAGCATTCCGACCGGCATAGTCGGCAGATGCAGAAGAATCCACTTCTACAGGAGTTCTCGCATGATGCACACTGTTCTTTTCACCATTGCGAGCCTCCGGAACGGAAGCGACGCCACTGTCTGGGTAGCGTTCTTGAAGTGGAGCAGTATTCTCAGCTTCAGTCGCCAATGCCGACTGTTCTGATGCACTTTTGTGGCCCTTGTTTTCAGCGACAAAATTCTGTCGATGACGAAGGAGTGACGCTGGCTCTAGCTCAACAAAGGGCTTCACATAAAATCGAGGAGAGAGATCACGCCACCTCATGGGAACTGCACATAGCGGAAACAAAATTATAATGAATCGCTTATTTGCTGCAAACCAGTGCGCAAGCCCTCGAAATCGCACCAATAGTGCAGCGCCATGACTAATGGGCTTGCAGGAGCTCACCAGCTTCCGCCGTCCTAAGTACTCCTATGTTGGTGACCTTCCACGGAGGAAACATGAAAGTGCTTGCTTTGTGATTCTGCACCCAATCCCATATGTCGCTCGCTTCATACGCAATTATATTCATTATCCATAAGGCATGCCAAGCTTTATACATCTGTTGTTTCCATTTCCCTTTTTCCGTGCCAGCAGTATTATCGAAAGCCGAAGCGCTCGCTTCCTGTGCCAAAACTGGTTCGTCTTCTTTTGGTGTATTCTGTCCCTTCCCTCCGCTTCTGTCCGCTTGAGATTTCCCTGAGTCTGTCCAAAAGTTGGGATAGTTGAAGCTCGAATCAAACAAAATATGATTTGGCCCACCCTTGAAACCATGGACCAGCTCCGAAACGCGAGCGAAAATGTCAAACTTAGGAGAAGGCGGCTTGCGGTCCACTGGGACGTTGCCGTCGTACACGCGTGGCTGAAATATTGTTGGGGCCTTCTTCGGAAAAGCAACCTCCGCCCCCATTTTCCTGAAGTATGAATAGATGGGGAGCTGAATATAAGATGGGTGGTCGGGATGAACATGTCCGGGAAAACCTTGCAAGAGTCGCTCTGGATATGTCTGTACTGTCTCGCATACCTTGACTGTACGGCAGAATCGCAACAAGCACAGAATGCTCTTAAAGTCTAGCTCTTTGTAAAGCAGCATATTGGACCTCCTAAACATCCAAACTTGCGAGACTTACCGTACAAAAAAAGTTCTGTAAGAGGGTAGTATAAGTGCTTGTGCTTCAGCAGAATGTCGTTGACTACTAACCCAGGATTCGTCTTCAGGATATTAGGCTTCAATTTCCCGAAGGTTCGGGCGAAGAAAAGAAATAAGCGCAGGCTGGGAGAGCGTATCAGCTCACGTCTCCAGTTCCTGTCCCGCGCCTTTAGCGCTAAGGCACTGCTTATACTCACGGCAAGTTTTAGCCCCGGACCCAGACCAAACCGGTGAGAATTGAGTCTTTTAATATATAGTGAATTAGTGTCTAAATTCGAAAGAGAACAGGCAAGATCAGGAGCTGCAACTGACGGCTGGGAAGGTGAAAAATAAAGCCCACCGCAAGTGGAGTTTTTCATAAATGCCAATGGGTGCGACTTTTTGTCCGTACCTAACCACGTCATGTCAACAGTCTGTACAATGTCCCTAAGATGTGTGTCTTCTGCTGGTTTGGAAGGTCCTCCATTAGCAGGGCGTGCATACAACACACCCCGTGTGTGAGGAGAATGCAATGCGCAACCTCCATCAGGGGCTTTGTTGGCCGCCGCAGGCCCTTCTTTCCCTACGGCCGGCGAGTACTGTTCTCTGCCAAAGTAAAAGTTGGTACCACACACGGACGCTGGACATTGAAATGACAATGAACCATCCGCATTGATGTAGACGCAATCTTCAGTGTGCTCGGAGCCATCTGGTCCTGCAGACAACTTCACCCACGCACATGCCGTGGTGGTGTTTACTGCGCAATTGTAGGACTTCGGTTAGATCTGAAGCATGGCTGCTCTGGCCTTACCAGCATTACTGTCAGGAGATGTACTATCATGGTATCGCTCAT